GGCTGAGCACTCTATAAATCAGTGAGTTTCAAAACTGTCAACCAGAAATTCTTAAGTGTAGTAGAGCTCTTGCCTGTCATACAGACAGACAGAGATTCAACACCTAGTATCATCAAAATAAGCAGACTCCTGAAGCAGAGACCACCCCAGCTTTCATCCTAACATGATTCCAACTAAAGCAAAGCTTCCAATAGCACCTTCCCCAGGCTGTGGCTCCATCCAGACAGGACTGTTCTGAGCTCAGAAGGTTTCTGTAGTCAGACATGCTTGTAGAGAATCCTACATCCATTACATAGTTGACTAGGTGATTAGGCAGGTCCTCTTGGTCAAGGTCTTGGAAGTACTGAAAATAGCTGAGGTGGAGAGGTAGAGACGCAGCTCAGTGGTAGACTTACCCAGAATGTCTGAGGCCCAGGTTCAATCCCTACTGCTGAAAACTAAGAGGGAAAGAAGAAGGAAAAAAGCTGCTGGCTTTTTTGTACCAGGAACCCCACTGTGGGGACTCATGATGGAAAGATACTGAGCTAGCCATGTGTGATGGCATACACCTGTAATCTCAGCAAGATAAGGAGTTCAAGGTCAGCCTTGGCTATGCACCTAGCCTGGCCTATGTGAAACCCCATTTGAACAAACACAGACAAACAAAACAAAAGGGAAGGTAGGAGGGAGAGACTGAACAGAGTGCCCAGGCTAGGAAGGCCTTGCTGAGGAGGTAAAGCCCACTCTGGGAATGAAATGACAAGAACAAGCTAGCCAGGTGCAGTGGTGCACAGCTGTAATCTCAGCCCCAGGGGAGGCTCAGGCAAGAGGATCTCTTGAGCTCAAGAGTTCAAGAGCAGCTTGGGCTACACAGTGGACCACAGGCTCAAACAAACAGCAATAGGCCACGAGGCGGTGAGAAACCCTCTGAGGAGGGGGGGACACTTCAAAAGCCCTGAGTCTAGATGACTTAGGCTTCCACACTTAGGCCTAGGTTTCTTATGTCAAGACTGTTCCTGGTGGCTGGAGTAAAAAGGACACAGGGCTGGGGAGACTTCTGCTCATGTCCTAGAGTAGGCTACACACCAGACTGATGGGGGCAGAACATTAGTAACCCAAGAGAAGACAACCATGAAAACCTCTGTCCTCTCTCCACCTTCAGGGCGTCTGAAGAGGCGTTTGTGAAGGAATCCAAGGAGGAAACCCCAGGCACAGAGTGGGAGAAGGTGGCCCAGCTGTGTGACTTCAACCCCAAGAGCAGCAAGCAGTGCAAAGATGTGTCCCGCCTGCGCTCGGTGCTCATGTCCCTAAAGCAGACACCGCTGTCCCGCTAGGTGCCTGCCATAAGGATGGCCACAAAGCATGGGCCTTGCTGGGGCAGAGGAGCAGCTGCTTCAGCCAGGGTGGAACTTCCTCTGGCAGCTGCCACACACAGCCTGTTCGGTTCCTCTGCATCTCTGGGAGCTGGGAAGTGGGACCCTTACCCCTTTCAACCCCAACTCCCTCCTGGCCCCATGTTCCAGCCCCTCATGACTCCTCTCAGTCCACTCAATTGTGACTGTCCCTCCTGATGTATTTTTTCTTGGCTTAAAGGGTATGTTAACTCTTTTTACACTTATTTATTATTATCCTCATTTCTCTGGAAGCTGCAACCGGTGTCAGGGCTCAGTTTGTGCTTAGAACTTTCCCAGCTTCGTGCCCTTAAGAGGTAATAATGTGTTCTTGGAAACTCAGGAGCTCCCAGCTGAAAGTAGGAACCCCAAACTATGTCTGCTGTCTCCTCCAACAAGAGGAAAGACAAGCTCTCACAGAACACCTTTGCAGCCTTGCTCTTTGTGATTCTTTAACAAGCCTGAAGGTAGGGTTTCTTCTAAGAAAACAGGCTCCCAGAACAGAATCAGCTTGCAGTGTAGAAAGCAGCTGAGGCCAGTGGCCTCTATGGTGGTGTCTAAGACTGAGTACATCACCTGCCAGACCTTCTTTCTTGGGAGTGACCAGGGCCCTCTAAGATGTGGCAGGGCCTGCTGCATTGCAGATGTACCTCCCCTCCTCAGCCCTTCCTTCCTATGGACTTGGGATAAAAACAATGACCACACCTCCTTCCCCTTCAGCAGAGGCTGTAAAACAACATTTAAGCCACTATGATCTACATGTGTTTAAAAAGATTTGAGTAACTGCCAACAGTGTAAGTTCCCTAAGTCTGCCATAACAAAGTACCAAAAACCCAGGTGTCTTAGAGCATCAGAAATTTATTGTCTCACAGTTCTGGAGGCTAAATTCCCAAATCAGGGGACCACCAAGCCACTCCTGTGGCTGCTGAGCTAAGACCCGTGCCTCTTTTCTTTTTTTTTTTTTTTTTTTTTTTTTTTTTTTTTTTTGGTTTTTCGAGACAGGGTTTCTCTTTGTAGCTTTGCGCCTTTCCTGGAACTCCCTTGGTAGCCCAGGCTGGCCTCGAACTCACAGAGATCCGCCTGGCTCTGCCTCCCGAGTGCTGGGATTAAAGGCGTGCGCCACCACCGCCCAGCAACCGTGCCTCTTTTCTAGCTTCCAGTAGTTCAGGCCTTCCTGGGCTTGCAGATACAGCCCTCTAGTTCTGTCTCCACCTTCCTTCCATATATGTCTTGTGTGTCCAATTTTTAAAAAAATATGGATACTAGTCTTACTGGATTAAAGCCCATCTTAAAGACTGTATTTTAACTATTAATGGATATAAAGTCCCTATTGCCAAAATAATACCTAAAGAATTGAGAGTTGGAATTCAACTCTCAAATGTATTTTAGGGGTGGGCATCAAAACACTAACACAGTGGACATGACCTTTAAAAGTGGCGACATCTTCAGCTCTGTATGCCCTATCCTTGCCTCTGGTGGGCTTCAGGATGCAGTGCTCAGCACTGGCAATCTGCTTCACAGCTAAGATCACGATGGAGGTGCAAACACCTGGCTCTAGTCATGAACCTTCTACTCAGAGATCTAAGACATGTCAGGCACAAGAAATGGATCTTCACTTTCTTCCCTTTTCCCAGCTTGAAGCAGGTGTTGAGAGGGTCAGAGTCACACACAGGAGGAGCTCAGCTCCTCAAGTCAACACATTGATGACCACAGGCCACAAATGCCTGTTGAGACTCAGTGTCAAAAACTGGATGATACAGATGGGCAGAGCCTGGGGGTCTCAGAGGAGGCAGAACTGGAGTAAGAGGTAGACAGAGAATGGTGGTGGTCTGAGTGTTGAACACCGACTCCATCCAACAGGACTATGACAGTCCTTATCCAAAGGCTATAGAAACCTGAAAGCTGCTGGCAAAGTTCCCCCTATTCCACCAAACCAATTTTGGCTCACTAAACTAGAATCCCAAGGATGAACATTTGGGAATCTCTCCTTTTAACTTGTGGCCATATGACTTGACTGTTACCAGGAAAGTTTGGGTGGCACTAGGCTCAGTGTTCCTCTCTCACGACTGGAGATTGAACCTAGGGCCTCACAAGGACCACATTCTGTACCAGAGCTGTAGCCCCAGACCATTTTAAATTTTGAAACAGGGTCTCACTAAGTTACTCTACTAGCTGACCTTGAACTTTTGAATTTACTTACAGGCAAGATTCTTCTCCCTCAACCTTCAGAATAGTTGATGCTATAGGTACTATCAGGCTGCGCTGATTTCTAAAGGCCAATCCTACCAACATCCCGTTCCTTCCTAAAAACATAGACCAGGCCGGGCGGCGGTGGCGCATGCCTTTATTCCCAGCACTCAGGAGGCAGAGCCATGTGGATCTCTGTGAGTTCGAAGCCAGCCTGGTCTACAGCGCGAGAGCCAGGAAAGGAGCAAAGCTACACGGAAAATCCCTGTCTCGAAAAAAACAAACAAACCAAACTAAACCAAAGAACCATAGACCAAAAATCATGGTTTTAACCACGGGAGTGAGATTAAAGAAAGAATTCATCACATTACAAGTGCATTAAGGTTTTATTAAGTAAGTAGTTAAGGGGACGCATCACAAATTTTTAGTATGCAACCCAGTTGAAGTGAACCTGGGATTTTGGGAGGGGATGGAGAGGAGGCAGAAATCAGTCAAAAAAACTGGCCACTCCCTCACCCAAATGACAATAGGGTACTGTCAGAAAAGGACGGAATAAATCTGACAGGGCTGTTTGTTGCTCCTGGGTTTTAAAATGATTTCCATGGAGCTTTCAAGGCCCGACCATACACTCAGGGTCGAGACTTCATAGCAGAGGCCGCTAATCCCAACAAGATGGCTACGACCGTGAAACCCTGGGCAGCGATCCGGGTGCGCATCATTATCTGGGAGCGATGGCTCTGGCCGCGGTGGAAGCAGTAAAGGCCATAGGAGAGGGCAGCCGCCGTACCCAGACAGCCTGGGGGGGAGGACAACACACAGAGGGGGCAACAGGTTGGGTCCCGCAGGTTCCTTGAGGATGTAGCCCGCCCCCGCTTTCCCAGAGCCATGATTTGTAGACGACAACAGGAGGGCGGGAGTGGGTTGTTCTAGGGTTGGCTTCATCAGGCCCCGCAACACGTTCCGATCCGTTTCAGTCCTCCCCGCCCCATCCTTTCGTCATATCTTCGGTCCGCTCCCCTTCCCATACCCAAAGCGTACCTGGTCCTTCCCTATTTCATTCCCCCAGGAAACCACTGTCGCCTCGGTCTTCGGTTCCTAAAGCACACACTTACCTATGGGGACCAATGGGTTCTCACGGGTCTTGCGAATAAATTTCTCCTTGAAGCTCTCTGAGTTGCTGTACACCGTGGGGCTGAAGCCCTCGATGACTGGGGTCTTGGACGGATCGAATGACGCCTCTGGATTCACAGGACCGGGAGCCGCCATACCAACCGGCACAAGAGCAGGTAGGACAAAAATCCGGACGCCGAACCCCGCCTTCTGATGAGGTCACCACGAGGGCGGGGGAATAGCCTGCTGAGGGTAGTACGCAGGCGCCTTCGCCAGGTGCATTCTAGGAGTTGTAGTAAATCCATGTGGCGGCGCCACTAAAAAGACTACATTTTCCGGGAATCCCTGCGCGCGCTGGGGGACGGAGCGTGTTAACACGCGGCTTTGAGAGTGTGCTCTAGAGTGTGTGCTGCTGCTTCGGAGTTTGAGCTTCTGGTGCGGCCGTCTGCGCGATGCCCAAGGCCAAGGGAAAGACTAGGAGGCAGAAGTTCGGTTACAATGTCAACCGAAAGCGTTTGAACCGGAATGCTCGTCGGAAGGCAGCGCCACGGATCGAGTGGTGAGGGGCCATTTCGGAGGCAGGGGCCTCGGCTGGCAGGATCGACGGCGAGGTGACAGAATCACGATCTCTGTTTCTTTGCCGTTAGCTCCCACATCCGACATGCCTGGGACCACACCAAATCCGTGCGGCAGAACCTGGCGGAGATGGGGTTGGCCATGGACCCCAACAAGGCGGTTCCCCTCCGTAAGAGGAAGGTACTGATAAAGCAAGGTTCAGGCATTTTCCTCCTCTCCACCCTAGCCCTTTCCTGTTTTCCTTCTCCACCACCTTCCTACATTGAGCTGAGTTTCAGAATTTGATCTCACACACACACCCTTCCCATGTTTTCGACAAAGTTATTTTGCTTGCACTAATTCTGGTCAAAGCCCTGTAACGACTCACACTCCCTCCTCAGCACACATATGGGCTTGGTTTGTAGTATCATTCCTCCCCAACTCACCATTTCTTCTCGGGCCTGTTTGGGAGCTCAGTGGAATCTTCTAGAATGTATCTTTTTTCTGTCCTTGACTGTTCAGAGCTTGAGATCTTTGTTTCCTATACTGCCTTCGGTTATTCTTCACCTGAGACATCTAGTTACTTCCCAACAAATCTATCTGAACCACCCTTTGCACCTTTCAAAAATAGCACCCCACTTCATCCACTAGCCTCTTCCCTGCTTTATTTCAATTCATAGTAATTTTAAGTACATGATGGTATATTATTCATTTGCACAGCTGTATCTTGAATGTGCCTCTTAATCACTTAACATAATCTTGTGTTTTGTTCTTTACTAAATTCCCAGGAATCCTAAGATGTGGCAGGTTAGTTAACCTAATAGATGGGCTTGCTGACTGAATTTGGTCCAGGCTTTGGGCAGGCTTTTCTCTATTCCTTCATGGAAGTGGAAAGTGGCACACCAGTTTTTTTAAACAAACGTAAAGCTGTATCTAAGTACTGCCAGGTAACTGACATGGAGAAGATATCTGACATCACTCTCTTGTAACTTACAAAGCATTTTTCATGTGCATTGTTTCACTGTGTTACCACACAGCAGAGTAAGAAAGAAAGAAAGAGTCACAGAAAGATGAATTGCTTGTTTCTTAAAAAAAAAAAAAAAAAGGGTGTAATATCTATGAGAATGGATATGAGCATACTATGGTGCTTGGGTGGAGGTCAGAGACAACTTTCAGGAGTTGGTTCTCTTTCCACTGTGGGTTCTAGGGATTGAACTCAGGTGGTCCATCTTGATAGCCCTGCTTGTACTTCTCTTGGTAGAGTTATTGGGACTTCAGGGGCCTAGTTCTTGTTATCTAGTTCTGTCTGACCTCTGGCGGGGATTTTCTTATATCAAGTATAGTTGTGTTGTGGTTGGCAGTGTCCTTTAATCCTGGTCCAACTTTCTCTGTTTAAAGTGCTTGTCTATTGGTCTCATAGGCTTTGTTCTTTACAGGTAAAGGCCATGGAGGTAGACATGGAGGAGAGACCCAAGGATCTTGTGCGGAAGCCCTATGTGGTAAATGGTGAGTGTGGGCTGTGTCAAAAAAAAAAAAAAAAAAAGGTGTGAGTGCTGCCCTGTAAAGCTGGAAAGGCACTCAGTCTCTTCCCTACAGTGGGAGAGACCAAGATTCAGAGAGGAGAAACATCTGATCCAGGGCTCAGAAGTAGTACTGTGTCATAGCCGAGACATTCTCTAATATTGATGAGATTTAAATGTATAAACAAAGGTAAGACAGAGACATTCACAGAAGATAAAATTAGGTGTCTGAAAGGATGAAGAAGCAGTGTCAGGTTTGTTCCCAGTTTCTCAGGAACTTAAAAATGAACTATTTGTAGAGATTCTGCTGTCATTTAATCTTTCCAGTGACAAATCTAAATTCCCTGTGTTTGACCCTGCAGGAAAGAAAGAATATTCTGCAATTCTTACCTACCCTTCCCCTTGCTTATTGTGGGCTTATTTTTATTTCTGTATTTGTGAGTTGGGAATTGAACCCAGGGCCTCATGAATGCTAAGTATAGACTCAACCTTTTACCTATACATACGTCCATTCAGGTGGGGATTTTTTGTTTTTGTTTTTTGTTTTTCTTACCAAATCTCCTGATTTGAATAGACATGTTTGATATGAAATTACTTGAGTCCTGTCTTTAGCTTATTTTTGTGATTCACATAAGAATTTTACACAGTTCAATATGGGGGAAAAGAATTACTACACCTGACTGTATATACAAAACCACACACACTTAATGTAGTATTATTTATAATTGTTTTTGTTTTTTTCTCTAGACAGGGTCTGTTTTGCCCTGGCTGGCCTTGAACTCACAGAGATCCACTTGCCTCTCTGTTTCATAAGTTCTGGAATTAAAGGCATGTGCCACCCCTGTAAGAATTAATTTTTTTTAATTTTTAAATTGTAGCTAAAAAATTACATAAAGTTTACCTTCTTGGCCTTTTAAAAATGTACAGTTTGGCTGGGTGGTGGTGGCACATGCCTTTAGTCCCAGCACTTGGGAGGCAGAGGTAGTTGAGTCTCTTGAGTTCAAAGCCAGCCTGGTTTACAGAGTTCAAGGACGGCCAAGGCTACACAAGAAACCCTGTCTTGAAAAAGCAAAAAACAAAAAAATAAAGTGTATAGTTCAATCATGTTGAATATATTCATTCTGCTATATATCAGCTCTCCTGAACTTTGGTTTTGCAAAGCTGAAGCTGCCTTTGACAACCAGGTCAAAGATGATTTTGACTGTAAGAAATTTTAGTGCCTTACACTTAGATCAGATTTGACTGCATCATTTCTATATTTTGCCCATTTGCCTAGCTTTTCTTTTCTCCTAGCTGTGCTGAGATTGAATTCACGGTCTTTTTCATGCTGGGAAAGCACACTCTGCTTTTATTTGTGGATTTTGTTTGCTTGGACAGAGTCTAGTTATATAGCTGAGGCTCTCCATGAACTGGAGGTCACTTTGGTTTAGCTCCATGGCTCCGATTTTCCCTTCTTATGGAGCAGTGAGGTATCTGGGTCTAGCCCTGAAGCCCTAGTGTTCAGCAATTCAGACCTTCCCATTACACCAGGAAGAGCTCTTCTGGGGGTAGTAGGGCTGGAAAGGAGCCCAACTTTCCTTGTTTGTGCCCTCAGGCCGGTACTGATTAAGACTGGGAGGCTTAGTGTATTTCATTTTAAATCATAACTTGAGAATTGCTTTTCAGGGAGTTGCCACACTGGTGTATGAGTAGTGGTGGGAGACTGACTTTGGGATTTTAGGGCTTGAAAAAGAGTTCTAGCTTTGAATATGGGAATGTGCTGTTAGTATAACAAGTCTTGTGTCATGGGATTGGATGGAGGGGTGTTTGGGCAGCTCAAATAAAGCAGAAGGTATTGCTTTATTCCATTTCTGGCTTCTTTTACCCCAGAACTGGAGGCAGAAGCCAGCCTCCCAGAGAAGAAAGGAAATACCTTGTCTCGGGACCTCATTGAATATGTTCATTATATGGTGGAAAATCATGGGGAAGACTATAAGGTGAGGCCTACTGGGAAGAACCGCTTGGGCTTATTGGGAAAAGACAATGGACTGTTTCAGCCTGACCTGCAATTAAATAGAATGAATGAGGAGTCTAAGAAAGCATCCCATTGTTTAGAGGTTTTTATGTGTATGAGTGTTTTGCTGTATGTATGTGTATGTGCATCACATGCATGCTTGGTACCTGTGGGGCTCAGAAGATATTAGATCCTTTGTAAGGAGATGCCATGTGAATGAGAACTCTTAACCTGTGAACTCTCTCTCCAGCCCTTTGGGCCTTCTTTGGATTGTGTGTGGGTGTGGGTGTCAGAAGACAATTTTCAGAGGCAAATTCTTGACATCCATCTTACTGAGGCAGGGTTTCCCATTTTTGCTGCTGTGTTGCGTAATCCAGGTTAGCTGGCCTTGTATTCCATTCTTCTCTTTCTGCCTCCCATCACACTGTGGAAGTACTGGGATTATGGATGCACACCACTGAATTTGTCTTTTTTTTTTTTTTAAAGATTTATTTATTTATTATGTATACAGTGTTCTGTCTGCACACATCCCTGCAGGCCAGAAGAGGGCGCCAGATCTCATCACAGATGGTTGTGAGCCACCATGTGGTTGCTGGGAATTGAACTCAGGACCTTTGGAAGATCAAGCAGTGCTCTTAACCTCTGAGCCATCTCTCCAGCCCCTGAATTTGTCTTTTTATATAGGTTCTGGGGAATGAACTCAGAAAATGAGGCTTACATAATGAGCTGGCTAGGTTTATGTCAACTTGACACAAGCTAGAGTCACTGGAGAGGAGGGAGCCTCAATTGAGAAAATATATTTTAGGGTGTAGGCAAGCATATAGGGGATTTTCTTTTCTTTCTTTCTTTTTTTGTTTTGTTTTGGACAGGGTTTCTCTGTGTAGCCCTAGCTGTCTTAGAATTTGCTCAGTAGACCAGGCTGGCCTCGAACTCACAGAGATCCACCTGCCTCTGCCTCCTAAGCACTGGGATTAAAGGCGTGCGCCACCACACCAGGCTCCAATTTTCTTAGTGGCCCTGGGTTCTATAAGAAAGCAGGCTGAGCCGGGCAGTGGTGGCGCACGCCTTTCATCCCAGCACTCGGAAGGCAGAGCCAGGCGGATCTCTGTGAGTTCGAGGCCAGCCTGGACTACCAAGTGAGTTCCAGGACAGGCGCAAAGCTACACAGAGAAACCCTGTCTCGAAAAACCAAAAAAAAAAAAAAAAAAAAGAAAGCAGGCTGAGCAAGCCAGTGAGCAGCACTCCTGTGGCCTCTGCATCAGCTCCCTGCCTCCAAGGAACATGACTCAGAATATATAAGCCAAGTAAACTCTTTCCTCCCCAAGTTATTTTTGGTCATGATGTTTTGTTACAGCCATAGAAAACATAACCAAGACATGTAGCAAGTGTTTTTACTCGTTAAACCATTTCCTTGTTTTTTTGTTTGGTTTTGAGTGCTAACTTTTGCTTCATTTTGCAAATTCATTTGATTGAATTCCAGCCTCCTGTACAAAGGCACATGTGTTAGGAATTTCCCTTGCTTTTTAAAAAGATTTGTTTACCCGGCCTGCTTGCACACATTTGTTTGTTTTTTGACACAGGGTTTCACTGTGTAACAGCCTTGGTTGTCCTGGATCTTGCTCTGTAGACCAGGCTGGCTTCGAACTCACAGAGATCCATCTGCCTCTGCCTCTTGAGAGCTGGGATTAAAGGCATGAACCAGGATAGACAGGACTATTAGAGAGACCCTAGATCTGGCATGCTGGACCTCTGCACTTAAATGGAAGTAATTGATTATGATGGGGTGTGAACTCCCTACTGCTCTCTCAGGCTCGTCTGGTCCCCTCTCTAAGGAGGGAACCCTTTTCCCAGCCCTGCAGTGCAGGAGGGCTCCATGTCTCTGGCTGTTTTGTTTTTAAGACAAAGTCTCTCAGCAGGGCAGTGGTACCTTTAATCCCAGCACTTGGGAGGCAGAGGCAGGTGGATACCTGTGAGTTCAAGGCCAGCCAGGGATACACAGTGAAACCCTGTCTTTAAATTTAAAAAAAAAAACAAAGACAGGGTCTCTGTATGTAGCCCTGGATGTCCTGGAACTCAAAATAGACCAGGCTGGCCTCAAACTCACAGAGATCTGCCTCCTCTGCCTCCTTCCTTTTTTTTTCCTTTATTATTTTAAGTATGTGAGTATTTTGCCTGCATATATGTATGTGCACCACATGTGTGTCTGGTGCCTATGGGAGTCAGAAGAGGGCATCGGATCCCTTAGGAGACTGGAGTTAAAGACGGCTGTGAACCGTGCTGGGTCCTCTAAGAACAGCCAGTGCTCTTAACCACTGAACCAACTCTGCATATCTCTAATGGCTTTTGAGGTGAGAAATCTGGACCTCAAGGATAGGAGGCGACATGCTCAATTTAGGCAATCCAGGATTTAGATGTGGCCCTCCTGATGTTGTCTTTCTTTCTAGGCTATGGCCCGGGATGAGAAGAATTATTATCAAGATACCCCAAAACAGATTCGGAATAAGGTCAATGTCTATAAGCGCTTTTACCCAACAGAGTGGCAAGCCTTCATCGATTCTTTGCAGAAAAAGAAGATGGAGGTTGACTGAGTGGTGTATACCCCCCAGACTTAGGTCTACTGGACCAAAGAAACCAAAACCAGGTTTTAAGGCGAGGAGTGTATAGTTTCAGATGATGCTGGCAAAGTCCTATAGAATCAGGTTTTACTCCTCTCTCTCTCTCTCTCAGAAACTTTTTTTTTTTTTTTTTTTTTGAGAGAGAATCAATCTAATAGCCCTAGATGTCCTGGAACTTGGCTTTGTAGACCAGGCTGGCCTCAAACCCACAAAGAGCCACCTGCTTCTGTTCCGAGTGCTGGGATTAAAGGGGAAGGTGTGTGCTCCCACACCTGGCTGGAGAAGGAACTCTTTAGAAGCCATGGTTTATGCTTTCTTGGGGGGGCTCACAGAAAAGCCAGGGCTTGCTGTTCAGTGTCCAGAGGTGATGCTTTATTTTAATGTGATCTGTACATGATAAAAGCATTTTACCTGTGTAATGGGGTTTTGGTGGTTGTTTCTCTGTGTAGCCCTGGCTGGAATTAAAGGCATGTCCTACTACTTGTGTAATGGTTTTGTGTTTACTGTGCCCAGCTAAGCTCTGTCCCAGGGAAAACTAACTTTAGTTTTCCTCCAGAAACTTGCCAGGAAGCCTGGGCTGCCATGGAAGGGTAAGGAGCCAGGTCCTGTGTGCTCACTTTTGATGGCTATGGCTTAAAGAAAACATCAGGGACTTAAGCTGCCTTCTGGGACTGGCAGACCACTGGGTTCCACTCCATTGTGTGGCACCCACTGGGCTCTCCACAGTGTGGCCATCCTCTGGGCCCAGGCCTGCTACGTGCATTGGCCTGAGAAAGTGATGCCTGTTTTACAACAGGACTATGGGCAAGGTGAGCATTTGAAGACCTAACTGCCCCCAACTATGAATCATGTAAAAACTTCTTCAGTTGCCAAGAATTCCTCTTGGGAACACCTAGAGTTTGTCTTCAGCATTCTTAAAAAGCATGGCTTTATACCTATGGCATTTGGTAAGATGCATATCCTCTCCCTGCCAGGGTTTTTATCATATCCTCCCCCAGACAGGGTTTCTTCATGTAGTCCTGGCTATCCTGGAACCTGCTCTGTAGACAAGGCTAGCCTCAAACTCAGAGGTCTGCCTGTCTCTGCCTCCTGAATGCATGTGCCATCACCCGGCTAAGATGCACTTTTATCTTTGTTATAGGGAAGGAAACCGGTCGGAAGTATCCAAAGTGAGGGTGGATATGACATCAAGTCTGTTCTGAAGGTAGCAGCCTATCCTTCCCAAAGTATCGAGCCCTACAATCTTATTTGGTGCCTAGAACAGTCCTTAGGACCTAGAGTGTACAGAGCTCCTATCATTTGGCTTTGCATCTTCTACCCTCTACAGAATTTAAATTTGTCATTGACTAGGTCTCCTTAACTCTTGTCATTTGGGTGCCTGCTTCCTGAAGCCACCTCTGGTATAGTCCTTGCTCCCAAGGCATGTAAGCTTCCTGTGTCATGGCTGGTGGTGCCTGTTTTTGCAGTCGCTGAAGATGAGACCACTGTGCAAGCATTCTTGTCGAGGTGCACACTCACTCATGATGCCTTTCATTTTGCCTGGTGTCCCTTGCCAAACTGAGCTTCTGGACAAGGACTCTGCCTGAGACTCTAGTGTCTGCCCCTGGCATGTGCTTAGGACATGCTTCCAGAATGTTCTGTGTGTGTTCTTCTCCCTCCTTGACCTGAGCATGGAGGGAGACGACTTTTTTAGCTCTGGCTTATCTCAAACTATGTAGACCAGGCTGCCCTCCAACTCACAGGGATCCATATGCCTCTCCTTCCGAGTGCTGGGATTAAGGGCGTGCTCCACTATGCCCAGCTGGCAGAAGGCTTCTGAGCTGGTTTCTATCCCTCTTGATCTGGCCCCAGCAGGTAGATCCCCTTCCAAGGGTTTGAATGCTTTGGGTCAAGAAAGAAAAAAACAAAACAAAATAACAAAAGAAGGTGGCTTTGGGTCACTGTCCCAAAGGTCAAAGGGGTAAGTGACTGGAACTCGCTGTCTGAGAACTCACTTTCCGGAACTGCCCAACAGGAGCTATAAGCACTGAGCCCACTCCTCCCTCAGGATGAGGATTCACTGAACATACCCATTTTGGCATTGTGTACCTCAGAAAGCTGGTGACACTCTAGTTTATGCAGTTGTCCTTTGTGGCTCTGTGCATCTGGGTTCATAGAGTGGACAGAAAGACCCTTTTCACACACTGAGGAACTCCACTTCTGGTCCCTTGTGTCATCTTCCAGGGACAGCAGTGGGGGAAAGTTGGAGATTCCCTCATCATAGCACCTAGAAAGGTCTTTGCCCTCTGAGGCTGGGAGGTCATAGTATCTGCTCGGCTCTGAATCTGGTGTGAGATCTGGACCCATGGCAGGTGGATGCTATAGACAGCCTGCAGGTGGCTTGTAATGTTGGCAATTCCTCCCAAACTAGTTAAGTACAGAATGTCCAGAAAGTAGTTATGTGGTTTGTTGGGTTTTTCTAGTACTGGGGATTTGAACCTAGCACCTGCTAGGCAAGCACTCTACCAAACTCAGGTCACCATCAGGCTTTCATGGCAAGTTGCCTACTGAGCCACCTCATAGGCCTGTCTTTTTACTTTGAGTCAAGACCTCACCTAATGTCCAGGCTGTCTCTGAAATCACTCTGTAAACCAGGCAGACCTCAACTGTGCCTTCTCCCAAGTAACTGGGACCACAGACCACTAGGCCTGGCCTCGGGTAAATAGACATAGTGAAACTCTTTATTCTGAAATTCATCCCCTCCACCTGGGGGATAAGACAACTGTATACGATGATACTCATTAGACAAAGAACTTTAAATCAGGAAAAAAGATCCCTCTCAACAAGTCTGATTCCAAGGTAAACTTTAAGCACTGGAGAATAAGGTGGAATCCTTAGAGCAATGATACAAGTTTCTCACCTTTCTAATGACAAGATGAAAAGTTGCCAACAAAATTTCAAATACTCTGAACTCCAAGTCATTCCTTAAATATTTAATACAAAAGCAGAAAACACTTCTAGCAAGACTGATTTGTCTTGTGGCAATTCCATTCTTGTGGGCGGGTGTCAATGGCACAGAGGGACTGATTTGTCTTGTGGTAATTCCATTCTCGTGGGCAGGAGTCAATGGCACAGAGAGACTGATTTGTCTTGTGGTAATTCCATTCTCATGGGCAGGAGTCAATGGCACAGAGAAACTGATTTGTCTTGTAATTCCATTCTCATGGGCAGGAGTCCAAGGGCACAGTGGGCCTCTCTTCTGATGACTTTGCTCACTTCAACTTGGAAGCTTTCCACTTCCCAGGTTTTATGTTGGGCAATTGGCAAATAGCACACAGCCTATTCTCAAAATGCAAACTGAAAAGCCAGGTATGATGGCCCAATGCTTCCTGCAATCCCCAAAAATGGAAGGCTGAGGAAGGATGACTGCCATGAATTCAAGGCAGCATGGGCTAGAGCAACACCCTGTCTCAAAAGGAAAACAGCACGGGATACAGCCTGGAAGGCAAGCAGTCCGCTGGTGTTCTCTCAACAGCCCTGGCAGACCGAAGGCCCCTTTGCCTGCACCAGTGTCAACACAGACCATCTGCACTGGTAATCACAGTCATGGAATGTTCATTGCAGAGACAGAATCTCATTCTCTGCTTTGCTGGCAAATAAAGGTCCCAGAAGGCTTGATGATGTGCCCAAGGCCACTCTGATGGCTCTACTAGTCCTGTTCTGAATCTAAGTACTAGGTTCCCTTCAAGTACTTGTCTCCAATTATGGTCTCAAGGCCAAGTTGGGGGAGGGGAAGCTACAGTTCTGTCTCCATTGATACCCGTAGGTTTCCTCACTGTCCATCATGATTCCAGACAGTTCTCAAATTTTCTATGACAGTCAAGCGTTTTGATTTCAGCACCTAGAAACAGAACCTTGAACTTTGGCCTATTCCTTTGATAAAACATAAATAAATAAATAAATAAATAAATAAATAAAATGCCCCCTCCCCTAACTCCATTCTTGTTCCAGTACTCAGGTTGCTTCCTTCTCTAGACTTATGTAAACATGGGCATTGGCACAGTTAGTACAAAAGCAGCAGGTTGTCTCCAGACCTGGGGAAAACCGTCCTTCACCTGTGTGGTGAACTGTACTTTGTGGTCAATAAAGGCAGGCCTTTATTGGCAGGCCAGGCCGTAACAGTAGGGAGGTGGTCAGAGTATTCTTTAATAAAGTGTTCAGGGTGATCCTCATTTGGCATTGCCAGGGCTGGCATTTAGAAAAAAGCTAGGAAATTACCTCCCCTTAAAAATGATGGCCCTGGGGCCAGAAAGGCAGAAACACAAGGCCACAGACAAAGCAGGGGCTGGAGGATGAGGGTCTGGGAGCAAGGATTTACTGTGTTCCACCCAGAACCTTCCCATGTGGAAAATGTGTGATGTCACTAGGAGTGAACAGTGAAATGGGAGACCTGTGAAGCCCACACAGGTTTGTCAACTCGTGGGAGCTGCAGGGAGGGAGCACTAAGCCAATGAGCATCACACTATGTAGGAGGGCAAGGGGAGCTGGAGCTACACTATGGCCTTACGTGAGGCAGTCACCATCTCTCCTCTGCCTGACACCTCCTGCCCCAAGTGTGCCTCAGCAGGAAGGCTTCTGCATGGTTCTGGCCTTGCTCTTGAGGGGACAAAGGAGGTGTTGCTATGATGCTCCTGCCCAAGGCCAGGGCTGGCAATGAAGATGCAGGAGGAAGCAGAACCGTGGTCTCCATGGCTGGGCAGTAAGAGGTGGCTCCAGCTTAGGAGAGAAGCTGCAAGAGCAGTTTCCAGATGTGCACAGTGCCGGGTGCCCCGAAGCCAGATCCTGCAGGGGCAATGCTGGCTCCCAAGAGGAAAACCTCCCTCTGGTTGTCACTGGAAAGCAGGCCCAGCTCCTGCTGCAGCTCCACCATACTCATGGCCCCGCTCAGGTCCTGCAGTGAACACAAGTGCAACAGAGCTGTCAGACAATGCCTGCGGTGTGAGACCACCCTTGTCGGCCAGGAAAGCCACACATGTTCAGCTATTGCTCGGGGGAAAAGCAAGACACTACATTCCAGGAGGAACCTCTAGATCCCATGGAAGAAACTCAGTGCCCTCCTTCATCTTGACTCTTTGAGGCACCCCCTTTTCATGGAACCATCCACCAGTGTGGTAAGAAGTAGAGCCCTTCCTACTTGTTAGGCACCATGAAGGGCATCTGCCTACCAAGTCTGATTCTCACAGCCCACTTAAGTGACAAGGAAGTTAGTTCAGTCATTTAGTTCCAGTAAAAGTGATAAATGGCAGAGTTAGGTTCCAAATTCATGCTGATGACCAAACTTTGGATCCTTTTGGAATCGCTCCATTTCTTTCTTTCTTTTTTCTTTTACTTTTCTCTCTCTCTTTCTTTCTTCCTCTCTCTCTCTCTCTCTCTCTCTCTCTCTCTCTCTCTCTCTCTTTCTTTCTTTCTTTCTTTTTTTGAGACACTGTTTCTCTGTGTAGCCCTGACTGTCCTGGAACTAACTCTGTAGACCAGGCTAGCCTTGAACTCAGTGATCTGCCTGTCTCTGCCTCTCAAGTGCTGGGACTAAAGGCATGTACCACCACTGTCCATTTCTTATACCGACTTCTTAGAGAAGGCAATTATGCTGATATACAAGACAACTTTTATATGATGACCATACCCTATCTTTATGCCGTATGGCAGCCTTGACTGCTTGGGACAGAATTGAAGAAAATTGAGTCATTTACAAAGTTATACAGGGTCCAAAAGAAACCTGCACTGATTTCTTACAAAGACTGACTTCAGCAGTAAATAGAATGATACCAAAATCAGAAGCTAGACAGATAATAATTGAATCTCTGGCTTTTTTTTTTCTTTTGTTTTTTTTTGAGACAGGGTTTCTCTGTGTAGTTTTGGTACCTGTCTTAGATCTTGCTCTGTAGACCAGGCTGGCCTCAAACTCACTGAGATCCACCTGGCTCTGCCTCCCGAGTGCTGGCATTAAAGGCGTGCACCATTGCTACACAGCTGAATCTCTGGCTTTTTTTTTTTTTTTTTTTTTTTTTTTTTTTTTTTTTTTTTTTTGGTTTTTCGAGACAGGGTTTCTCTGTGTAGCTTTGTGCCTTTCCTGGAACTCACTTTGTAGACCAGGCTGGCCTCGAAAGCACAGAGATCCGCCTGCCTCTGAATCTCTGGCTTTTTAAAATGCCAATGCACAATACAAAAGGATAATTAGGCCATTAAAGGCAAGATCAACCTTGGAGGAATGGATCCGAGATACAATAAATATTCAATCTCATGATCATGATGATGCTTGGATAAGAGAGATGATTTCCAGAATTTGAAGAAAAATAGTAACGTCAGATATTTCAATTGCAGCAAACAAGATCACCTAAAAAGGGACTATAAACAGGCCATTCCTAGAAACAATGTTTTTGCTAGAAATAATCCCAATAAAATGACCCTTCCTTCTGAAGTATGCAGAATGTGTGGTAAAGGCAGACATTGTACTAACAAATGTATATCAACAAGGAACAGTCAAGGTGATCCTTTGTCGTCAGAAAACTCCCTAAGGGGCCTCTTGCAGACACCATGTCAAATTAGGTTCAGTACTTTTCTGTCACTATGGCGAAGGAAACTCCTTCCCAGATCAATTAAAGAACCTAATGCCTATTATAAAAAACCATACTGCTTAGGGTGATAGAACAGCTATAGAAGAGAGAACAAAAAATTCAGGAGAACCATAAAGTGAATTTTTTGGCAAACTTCTATAAATGAACAAAGACCAAAATTAAAAATACAAATAGGGGTTGGAGATTTAGCTCAGGGGTAGAGCGCTTGCCTACCAAGTGCAAGGCCCTGAGTTCGGTCCTCAGCTCTGGAAAAAAAAACAAAACCAAAAAACAAATAAATGACATTCTCATTGAAGGTCTTGTAGACACAGGTGCAGATGTAATAATAATTGCACCAGAATCTTGGCATCAAAATTGGCCTCTTCAGGAGGTAAATGTTCAGCTTTTAGGGATTGGAACATTATCTTAAGTGAAACAGAGTGCAAGATGGGTCGAATGTATAGGGCCAGAAGGACAGAGAGGAAAATTAAAGTCATATGTGGCTAATATAGCTATGAATTTATGGGGATGTGATTTATTACAACAATGGAATACCGAGATTAACATTCCTCCAATCTCAGAAACAAACCATAAACTAACATATGTTTCTGAGAAAAATATTAGAAGGTATTATAAAGAACAGTCACCGACCATCTAGACAGTACAAGAACAGGGCACGACAGCTGCTGATCTTTCAAAGACACCAACAGTCCTACCTTTAGGTTAACAGAAAAGCTTGTATGGGTTCAGCAATGGTCTTTAACAACAGAGGAACTACAGGCCTTAGAACAGCTGGTACAAGAGCAGTTAAATGCTCAGCATATGGAAGAATCAACCAGCTCTTGGAATTCTCCTATATTTGTTATTAAAAAAAAATCTGGTAAGTGGAGAATGGTAACAGAGCTGTTAACAAGGTAATTCAGCCAAAGGGCTCTACAATCTGGAATTCCTTTGCTTTCTCTGTTACCTAAGTTATGGCCTCTTACAGTTATCGATTTAAAAGACTGTTTCTTTTCAAAACCCTTAAGAAAAACATGGAGAAAAGATTGCCTTCATGGTGCCTACTTAAAATAATTCTCAGCCTGTTAAGAGATATCAATGGAAGGATCTCCCACAGGGAATGTTAAATAGCCCAATCCTGTGCCAATATTTTGTATGACGCTGTTGGAATACATAAACAATTTCCTCAATCTATAGTTTACCATTATATGGGAGGGCGGGGTTTTGAGACAGGGTTTCTCTGTGTAGCTTTGGAGGCTGTCCTGGAACTCGCTCTGTAGACCAGGCTGGCCTCGAACTCAGAGATCCACCTGCCTCTACCTCCTGAGTGCTAGGATTAAAGGCATGCATCACCACCACCCAGCTCCATGGATGACATTTTACTAGCTGATTGAAATGTACATACTTTAGAAAGAATGTTTGAAGAAGTAAAGAAAATTTTGCCATGTTGGGGATTACAAATTGCTTCCAAAAAGACACACAGAGGAGATTCTATTAATTATTTAGGATATAAAATAGGTCTACAAAAAATTAGACCCTAAAAGGTGCAAATTTAGGAGAGATCGATTACGGACTCTTTTTGTTTTTTTGAGACAGGGTTTCTCTGTGTAGTTTTGGTGCCTGTCCTGGATCTCACTTTGTAGACCAGGCTGGCCTCGAACTCACAGAGACTGCCTGGCTCTGCCTCCTGAGTGCTGGGATTAAAGGCATGTGCCACTGCCATTCAGCATATATGGTTTTTCTTAGATTAGTTATAACCTTCTTTTATTATTTTAGACAAAAAAGGGGAAATGTGTTGATGATATATTGTGTACCCTAATATAATTTGCCAGAAGATCAGAGAACAGAACAAGCCACTATATTAAACATAGAGGTTAGGCAGTGGTGGCACACCTTTAATCCTAGCACTCATCTCTGTGAGTTCAAAGCAACCCTGGACCACATGAGATTGACTCAGTCTAGGAGAGAAACAGAGTAGTGGCTGGCACACACCTTTAATCCCAGTACTTGGGAATCACATGCTTTTAATGCCAGCACTTGAGATCTCTTGCCTTTGCTTGGGAAACACACACGCCCTTAATCCCGCGAAGTGATGGCTGGGCAGAGAAAGGTGTGAGGAGACAGGAACTAGAGGTTTTTCAGGGTGAGGAGTTGGTGAGGAAAGAGGTGGTGGCTGTGGCTTGTTTCTTTGTCTCTTCAATCTTTCAGCATTTACACCAGTATCTGGTACCAGGTTTTTTGTTAAAAGACCATTTAACAATTTCGTGTTATACCTATTATGTAAGATCATATGGTAGGGTAACTTCCAGACAATCTAGCTTGGGTGGGGGTGAGGGAAAAGGCTACTTAAAATACTGTAGTTGGCGATGGTACCTTTGAGTTTCATCATTGGCTCAAGATTCTTGGAGCAGTCCGTACATAAGGTCCTCACTTGTTGCCTTCTGTGGTGGTTTGAATGAAAATGGCTCCCATAGACTCATATATTTGAATGCTTGGTCCAAGGTTAGTAAAACTGCTTGGGACAGATTAGGTGGTATGGCTTGGTAGAAGAAAGTGTGGTGGTGGTAGTCTTCAAGATTTCAAAAGCGAAACTGTAAGCGAAGCCACCAATATACTACTCTTAAGTCACCTTGATCACAGTGTCTCTTCACAGAAACAGAAAAGTAAAGTACCTCCAGTTGGTTCAAAATGCTATAAAATATTTTTTAAAAGATAACAAAGTATTTCTAAGGCCCCAAGACACCATTAATAGTGGCACTAGGGCCAGGCACTTGGGAGACAGAGGCTGGTGGATCTCCCTAGGTTTGAGACCAGCCTGGTTTATATATCAAGCTCCATGACAGCCAGGGCTACATATCAAGATGCTGTCTCAAAAATACAAAAACAAACAAAAAAGTTAGGCCAGAACAGGCATAAATGGGAACTGTCCCAGGTATACCAGGACAAATGGTAGCCATATTTATATATAATTATCAAGTGTCCCACGACAGGCAAGGTAAATCTGAGATCAAAGAGACAAGTCAGAAACGTTGGCACAAGCCCCAAGGAACACTGACTGTGGCAGTTGCCCTGGAGTGGAGGATGGCACATAAAGTCTGTCTGTAATCCTGAAGGCTGCTGGACCCAAGAAAGATATAGTGTCAAGGACAAACCTTTTCTTACAGAGGAGCTGTGGGGGTTGAGAGTTCAGAACCCAGGGACTCACGCATACTAAACCAGCATCTTACCACTGAGTTCCACTCCAGCTCAACAACACAAACCCTGAGGAAGAGCTCTAGTAACTTCAGGCATTTAGAGACAGCAGAGCCTGTCATGGGGTGTATCCAGACTGAAGTGGGGTGATGGCTGTCAAGTGTTCACACTGTGTCCCAACATTGTGCACTCATATTACTTAATGTACCCCACTTCTTGTCACCTTTCAGCTTAGTGCAGGAGCAGGATGGTTCTAGAAGCAGGCGTTCCAGCTCCACCACCCTGTGTGTCCCTGTGGAGATTACCCCCACCCCCAGCTGCAGAGGCCCCACTTGTGAAGTGGAAACAGTATTCTGTCTTGGATAAGGCCAATAAATGCCATTTGAGCCAGGTGTGGTGGTGTACAACTACAATTCCAGCACTCAGGTAGGGACAGATTTATGAATTCCAGGCCAGCCTGGGCTGCATAATGCACCTATCTAAGTGCTGGAAACCCTGTCTCGAAAATGCAGAAAAACAAAGTATTCGAAACTACACCTGGTATATAGTAAGTTCTTAATAACTATTTCTTGCATCTCTCTTTAGTTACAGAAGAGGGAGACAAGGAGAAACAACACAAGTAAGGCTGGGAAAGATGAGAGGTGGAAGGGGAGGGGACAGTATTTCAGGCATTCTCTGGACATGGAGCTTAGGCTCCAGTCCTTCTACACACCCCCTCACCATGCCCAGGTATTTGTGACAAGTCCAACTGGCTTCAGCCCATCTCCCATAATTCTCACCTGCTTGTTGGCCACTATGACAACAGGCAGATCAGGGTCCCTGTCCAGCAGTTTCTGTAGTTCCTGCCGAGCCCAGGGCAACCGTAGCCGATCAGATGAGTCCACCATGAACACCAGCACGTCCACCTCATTCACAAACTCCTTCCAGTAGAAGCGCAGGTTCTGGCTGCCGCCAACTGAAGAGAGGCCAAGGGCCAGCTCAGAGCCCAGAGCTCCCTGTGGCCTATCTGTCTCCATCCACAGCCGCCCCCCCCCCCCCCCCCGCCCCTGCGCCCCCCCTCCCACCTCTCCAGCTCCTAAGGTTCCACTAGCCAGGGAAAAGCATTATAATCCAGAGCCAGCCAGCTCTCTTAAGAGAGACCACTACCTTTGTGTGTTGGTCTCTTTTTACTGAGCCAAGAGGTTTCAGCAGACCCCAGCAGACTGTCTGTGATAGTCCCTTCACAGGACTGGCACAGTGCTCTACAAGTGGCAGTCATTGGCTGTCTTGTCTTGGGCTGTCCCCATTCATTCTTGTCCTCCTTTTCTCTTTCCTTGGAAACACTGTACGGAGTCACACTGAACAAGGTTACCCATGTAGTGTCTGTACCTGGGCTGCCTTTCTGCCCCTCTGCTCAGCTTCCCTTGGTTACTCTGCATCCCACTCTGGTTCTGCTTCTATTATCTGTCCACTCTAAATCCCCCCAAAGCCTCAGCACAATGCCTTGGCACATAGCAGGCACTCATCAAGTATTTACTGAGTGCTTACCAGGTGCCAAGCACTGATCTGGGTGCTGGGGATACAGAAACGACGAGGCTGGAGTCCTGCTCTCAAGGAACTCCCTCCCTTACCAGAGTGGACCAGGCCATCAGATACGACACTCTAGAAAGCAAGCAATCACAACATGGGAAAGTGGCTAGAGGCTGTGGGTGGTCTGGGAATGTCTCAAGGAGGCTGGATGTGAGCTGAGCAGAGGCTGAGCAAGAGCTAGCCATGGAAGAAGCAAAAGAAAGCATCTCAGGCAGAGCAAAGAACGAGTTCCATGTATGCGAGAAAGGGAAAGTAATGTGGTAAGGTACCTCCAGGGAAAGAGGAGAAAGGACAGAAGCTGGCCCTTCCCGGTCCAGCAGCCAACACTGAGAACAGAAGTAGGAAGAGCTATGAGGAAGCAACTGCAGACCTGACGGGGGGAGGTGGATGTGCTTGAACCAGGCAGCAACAGAGGAGGAGTAGCAGAGACAGGCTGCCCAAGCACAGCTGCAGAACCAGCGCAGCTGCAGAACCAGCGCAACTGCAGAACCAGCACACCAGACTTCGTAGGTGAATTAAGGAAAGTGTCATTGGTATTGAGTTTGTCCCCTTACCAATTCTGCCCAAGCGTGTGTTCTCAGGAGGACCCCAGGCCAGAATGCTGAGACCATATGAAGGACCACTGTGGGGTAGAAAAGCTCTAGGATGTAATTAGAAATGTGGGATTTTTTACTGTTGTTGAGTTGAGACTGGATCTCACTATACAAACCAGGCGGGACTGAAACTTGTGGCAAGCTTCCTGCCATTGCCTCCCACGTGCTGGGATTAGAGGTGTGAACCACCATGCCTGACAGCAATCTGTTTGAATCCCAGACGAGAGACTCCACTGAGCCTGGAAGGTTAGCTGTCAGAATACAGGCACACGAGAACACCTTCTCACATGAGTTCTGTCAGTACCCTCAATGAACTCATGTCCTTGGCACAAGAAGAGACAGAGGAAATTCGATATCAGGGAGATCCAAAGCCCTAACTAAACATCAACGTTTGCTACAACCAGGGAGAAAGGTGTGGCCAGGGCTGGCCAGACCACAGTGCTGAAGACCAGAGGAAAAAGTCCACTCAGGCCAAGAGTAAGGCTCCCAAAGCTCAATTCTGTCACCCGAACTTCATGAACACATCTACTCCTCATGGTTTTAGTCCTGTGGCTGGAAGTCCCCTCACTGCTTCCTCAAAGACTGAGGCTAGACCTAGGTTGCCAAGAACTGCCGCCTTCTCCATACTCACCCCCTTCCAAAAATCCCAAGAAGTCTAGGACTGACGGTAGGCTCCTTAATCCTCTCTCTGATCACACACTCAGTAAGCCCTCAGACACCTACTGAAGGTCTTGGGCCAGGGTGGATTGCATCAACCTGTGACCAGGGTGCTCGCAGCCTCATCAGGTGATGGGACAAACACTGTGGCAGAAGGGGACCCAGAGTCAGGACAGAGCCAGGGAAAGCTCCAAAGGATGTCTTCACAAACTGCAATTGAGAACTGGTCATGGTAATATGGACCTGTAACCCCAACACTCAGAAGGTGGAGGGGGGGGTCCAAGAGTTCAAGAAGAGCCTCAACACTATGAGACCATCTCAAAACAAACAAAACTACAAAAACACTAAATAATGGAAGAAACTACAGTTTAAAGAATGAGTAACTGTAGTTATTAAGCATTTCAACAACAACAAAAACAAAACAAAACAAAAAAACCTTAAATAATGGAAGGAAAGAAACCACAGTTTAAAGAATGAGTAACTTTAGTTATTAAGCATTCCAACAACAACAAAAATAAAACAAACAAACTCTTAAATAATGGAGGAAAAGAAACCACAATTTAAAGAATGAGTAACAGTAGTCTATCAAGTATTCCAAGCAGAAGGAATAGTGCATGCCAAGCAGAGGAGGTAAGAAACAAGTCCCTTCATAAGGGCCTGGAGGAGGCCCTTCTGCATTAGAACACAGAAAAGCTGGGGACCTTTCGTGATTTACCCATTTCTACAAGTACCCTCTAAGCAGATTAACTGAGTAGTCTTATGAGGTTGTCTGGGGTATTTTATCAGCAATGCCTGTCAAGTGCTTGGCATATGAACCCTTAGCTGTGAGTCTGTCAATGGAAGGCACAGGTGGTGAAGGGTAGGAGGTCCATTTAGAGACACCGGAAAAGGAGGAATCCTAAATGCCAGAATGTTCTGTATCTTGTGCCCTGGAGAAGAACAGGAAGGATTTCATAAAGGGGAAATGTCCTGCTTAGATATGCATTTTACAGACTCCTCCAAAGAGTCTAGGCCCGGCCAACAGTGATGATGAGAAGGGGTCCCTTGCTCACTCTCTAACAGGTCCACCTGGAAATTCTTGGTGGGCAGCCTCACAGAGTTGAAGCCCCAGGTGGGGACGTGGCCTTCCAGTGGTGGCTTCCCAGAAAGCATGCGCAGGAACGTGCTCTTCCCAGAGCCATCTAAGCCTAGCACCAGCACTTCCCGCTGCTCCAGTTCCTCCAATGCCGGCTCATCTTCCTCGGCCTCGGGCTGCGGGACAGAGATCAAGGCTGCAGTCTCCAACATCCCTCCTGACCCTTCCTTCCTTAGGGACAACCAAGGCCTGGCGGTGCCCATGCCCGCCCTCCACGCATCCCAGTGCAGGCAGGTATGGCCTGGAATAGCAGGGCAGGAGCTGCCTTTCGAGTTCTGAACTGAAAAAAAAACCTCACTTTTCTGTTTGACTCCTAGTGATCTCGGGCACATTCTTCCCCATCGCAGATCCTTGGCTTCCTCATTCTGTAACCCCATGCCATTCCCGAGACCTCGGGGTCAGTCGCACCGGGCCTGAGGGCTCTACCCGGCATCCCCCAGGGCGGCGCCACTGCGCAGGTGCCAGGCAGCTCCTGCCGCGCCCTCAGAGCTCCCGAAACCCGACGCCTGTCTGGCATGGTCCAGGCCCTCGCACTAGCACTCCGCGATCCCAGCATGCGCAGGCCGCCCAGCCTTCGGCGGCTCGCCACACTCACCTCCCATTCGTCCCACTGAGGGAAGCGGGCGGTTTCCGCGCCCCACCAGGCCTCGCCCTGGTCCCAGCGCCGCTCCCGACCGCGGCCGAAGTAAGCTTTCCAGAGGATAAAGAGCACCGAGCCCAGCACCGCCGCGGCGCCACCCAGAGCCAGCACCAATGGGCCCAGCGGCCGCGGCGCCATCTGGCCAGGGAGCGTCGCTGGGGCCGGCGCAAAGACGACCAGCCAGCCGCAGAAGATGGTGCTGTGGCCGCGCCCACCCGCCCGACCCCGCCACACTACAAGCCCCACAATGCACCGCTCCCTGCGACGGCAGCGCGCTTCTTGCGGCGGGGATGGGGGGTTCTGGTGGGGCGGACCTTCCGGGTAGGGGACATGGTCTGATCTTTGGGTTAGTAGGTTCAGCCTGGGGTGGATCTTCTGCTCCCTTTGCCCTGTGTGGGAGGTGCGAGGCTGTGTGGGTCTGTTGATCCCCCTCAGTACTTCAGAGAAAGGACGCACCTTAGTACCGTGATCTAATTTTACGTTCAAACCCAAGCTGGTATCACTTGGGTGTCTCTCAGAACCACAGAGAAAAATCGAAGCTCTTCGTAGGGAATCATACGCCAGTAGGGTGGCAGAAGGAACTAGAACCGGAGTTCCCAATTCGAAGCAGCTTCTAACCCTCCTTTGGTTGCCTCCTAGAGGACAAGGCTTCTTGCGGTGCTGTGCATGGTGAGGTATATGGAATCAAAGTTTAGAGCAATCATCTTGTAAGTCACTTCCAGAGACAGCAAGATTTCCAGGTTCCGAATTAGAAGGAGAAACTGGAAAAAATGATTCAAGCTACAGCAGTCCCTTAGCCCTTCACTGTGGCTGCAGGATAATGGGAAAGAGCCAGTGAGTTACTCCTAGTGTCCAGCTGTGCCCGCCTTTCTCTTTAAAAGTTACCCACACTACACACTCCTTGTAGTGCCAATTTCTCTGTGTCCCAGTCTCTGTCCTTGTTGGATCCCCTTTCCTTCTGGCTACATATCTGTGCTGCTCCCCTTCTTTTTAAATTATTATTTTTTTTATGTGCATTGATGTGAGGGTGTCAGATCCCCAGGAACGAGAACTACAGGCAGTTGTGAGCTGACATGTGGGTGCTGGAAATTGAACCTGGGTCCTCTGGAAGAGTGGCCAGAGCTCTTAATCACCGAGCCATCTCTCAAGCCCCGCTCCCCCTCTATCTTAAGTTCTTATCTCTTATTTAATTTTTTTTTCTATAGGAGGTAGAGAGATGGCTTACTGGTTAAGAGTGTGGACTGCTCTTCCAGAGGACCCGAGTTCGGTTCTTTTTGTTTTGTTTTGTTTTTCGAGACAGGGTTTGTCTGTGTAGCTTCCTGCCTTTCCTGGAACTCGCTTTGTAGACCATGGCCTCGAACTCACAGAGATCCACCTGCCTCTGCCTCCCGAGTACTGGGATTAAAGGCATGTGCCAATACCGCCCGGCTATTTCTCTCTTTCTTTCTTTCTTTTTTTTTTTTTTTTGGTTGTTTGAGACAGGGTTTCTTTGTGTAGTTTTGGTGCCTGTCCTGGATCTTGCTCTATAGACCAGGCTGGTCTCGAACTCACAGAGATCCGCCTGCCTAAGCCTCCCGAATGCTGGGATTAAAGGCGTGCGCCACCACTGCCCGGCTGAGTTCAGTTCTTATCACCCACATAGTTGCTCACAACTGTAAATCCAGTTCTAGGGGATCCAACCCTCTTATCTGTCTTCTGCAAACACATGCACATGCCTCCTTGGTGCTGGGATTAAAGGCATGCACCATCATGCCTGACAGCTTGTCTGTTATTTTAACAAACATCTTTCCAGGACCCTGAAGATGTATTCCAGGGGGTCATTATGAAGCAGAATGAGGGAGGAAAGATCAATTATTAGATTTACTTAAAGCACCGCTTGTACCGTTTATTGCCAAACATGACTTCACTTGACTACCAGAAACAGAATGACCTGAAGCAATACCTAAAACACAATAAGTTGTAGCCCATATTTACCTAACAACAAATGTTTAGACCTGTCTGTAGCACAAATCCTAATTGGTCTTAATAAAAAGCTGAAAGATCAGAGAAGCAGAGCAGCCAGCCACTAGTTCTTACTCTACGAAATCCTCCGCCTGAAAGAGGACTGAGTTCCTGTCTCCTCCCGCCTTACATTCCTCTCTCTGTCCAGCCATATCACTTCCTCTCTCCATCTCCCCAGTGCTGGGATTAAAGGTATGTGCTCCCACCGCCTGGCTCCTATGGCTAACTAGTGGCTTAGCTCCACACTGTGATCTTCAGGCAAGCTTTATTTGTTAGATCACAAACAATGTCATGCCTGTCCATGTGACATATACCTTTGAAACCTCAAACTGCCACCTTGTAGTCGGACTTTTTTATCAGGACCGTTGGCTCCCCAGCAATGACAAGAGACTTATTATTAATTATGGAAGCTCAGCCTATAGCTTAGGCTTGTCCCATTAGCTCTTAAAACTTAAATTAACCAATTTCTATTCATCTATGTGTTGCCACATGACTCATGGTTTTTACCTCTCCTCTTGCATGTTGTGCTCTCTGATTCAACTGGTAACTCCACTTTTCTTCTTTCCAGACTCTTGGTTGCCAGAAGTCCCACCTAACCTCTTCCTGAATGGCTAATAGCCATTCAGCTCTTTATTAAACCAACCACAGTGACACACACATCTTCACACAGTGTAAAGGAATATTCCACAACACCACTCTATGCGTCTGTTTGCTTGCCTGCTTGCCCCCACCTTATGGTTTTATAGTATAAAATGAGAATGCAAACTGGACCTGATGCTGGGTGGTGGCGCACGCCTTTAATCCTAGCACTCAGGAGGCAGAGGCAGGTGGATCTCTGAGTTCAAGGCCAGCCTGTTCAGCCAGGGCTACACAGAGAAACTTCTCAAAAAATCAAAACCAAAACCAAACCAAACCAAAAAAACAAAACAAAAAACTGGACCTGAGACTGAAGACTTTCAGAAGCTATCTTGGCTTCCATCCATTGGTGACATCCCCTCTCTCTGACCTCACCTTGTTGTGGCTTAAGAAGCTCCATTTTATGCTAGGCATCCTTCTTGGTACCCACCAGCTGTTTGTCACTGACTGGAAGATAAGGTCCTAGTAACTCCGAGATCTGACATCCTCACACAGTCATACATGCAGCACAGTCATACATGCAGCAAAACACCAATGCATGGAAAATAAAAATAAATAAATTATTTTAAAAAAGATTTGTTTTGCAGGGATGGAGAGATAGCTCACCATTGAAAACATCGGCTGCTCTTCCAGTTGACCCAGTTTGGTTCCCTGCACCGAGAGGTGGCTTGCAGCGGTCTGTAACTCCAGTTTCAGGGATGCCAATAGCCTTCTCTGGCCTCCATGGTTACCAGGCACACATATGCACATATGTATATATGTGGGCCAAGCACCAATACATATAAAATAAAACAAAAATTTTAAATGTTTATTGGGGGTTGGAGAGATGATTCTGTGATCAAGAGGACTGGCTTGTTGGAAGTCATGCAGCCTTGTCTTGGATCAGCATATGACTGACTACCTGTCCAATGGGTTTCCTCGGGACAAGGCACCTGTGGAAACGGATTTTCAATTGGCAAGGACCAGTAGTCCAGGGGACAATCTACGAATTTGCAAAATTCATGCCCTTTGCAGGCTCTTTTCTTTCTCATTATATTGTTGATTTCTTTGGGGTTTTTTTTGTGGTGGTGATATTGTGTTCCCCAATATATTGTGCACCCTAATAAACTTATCTGGGGTCAGAGAATAGAACAGCCACTAGATACAGAGGCCAGAAAATAGTGGCACACACATCTTTAATCCTAGCATTCCGGAAGGCAGAGATCCATCCGGATCTCTGTGTTTTCAAAGCCACACTGGAAACAGCCAGGCATGGTGACATACGCCTTTAATCCCAGGAAGTGATGGCAGGAAGCAGAAAGGTATATAAGGCGTGAGGACCAGGAACTAGAGCCTGGTTAAGCTTTCAGGTTTTTGAGCAACAGTTCAGCGAGATCCATTCTATTAGAGGCTGAGGACTCATGGGCTTCCAGTTTGAGGAAACAGGATCAGCTGAGAAGTTGGCAAGGTGAGGTTAGCTGTGGCTGGTTCTGTTTCTCTGATCTTTCAGTGTTCACCCCAATATCTGGCTCCCATATTTTTATTAATTAGACACTTTAAGATTCGTGTTACAGTTTTTAGTTTTATTTTGTCTGTCACACATGGAACAGCTGTAATTTGCCCTGGGAATTCTGTTCTTGAATATTTTCCCCTAAGATTCAGCAGTAGGCTAATGTTTCTCAAATCTCTTATCTGGAATTACTAACTACAATGTCTAAATCTGGGAACTTTTCTGACTCAATAGAGACAGTTAGGTACATATGAGAAAACAACACTTGGAACATTAACTATGTCTCACAGTTCTGGAAAGGAGAGTAAGGCATGCATACACAGAATAGGGAAAAAGCCTCAGGAGTACACATTGTGCCATCTGTTGAGAGTAAGTTCCCTGGACACCAAGCACATAGAATCAATGATAGGATCTAGTGTGATCCAATGGGGAAAATGCAATGTAAAGTATGGGATGGAGAGATCCATCTTTACCACACACAGGAGCTTATATTGGTGGAAGAAGTACGGTATAGTGGAATGAGAAAAGAGTGCCTTATCACAGTCTGCCTTTTACAGAGGGATTGAGACATGGGGCCTTCTTGTAGAAAAAGGAACTGGATAAAAGCATATCTTGCAGACACGAAAGAATTGTCTGAGTTTGAATATTGTCCTTTAAACATTGTCCCCATCTCTATTACTTTTTAACTTTGTAACCACAGTAGCTGCCAGCTGACATAAGTGCTGCTAGAGCCGGATATTTCTGGCCTGATATTTAGTTAAGCCTGCAAAAATGCTGAACTCTGTCTAGAGTAAGGTTATGTAAGGGATGAGAAGGTGTATTTGGGGACGCATAAAGAGGAACAATGGGGCTTTTTATAATAATTGCAATGTATTTTTTCTTTTTTTTTTCTTTTTGGTTTTTTGAGACAGGGTTTCTCTGTGTAGCTTTGGTGCCTTTCCTGGAACTAACTCTAGCCCAGGCTGGCCTTGAACTCACAGAGATCTGCCTGCCTCTGCCTCCCGAGTGCTGGGATTAAAGGCGTGCGCCACCACCTCCTGGCTGTATTTCTTAAAATATGATATATTTCTTAAAGTCAAAAATAGTAGCCAGGCGGTGGTGGTGCACGCCTTTAATCTCAGCACTCGGCGGCAGAGCCAGGTGGATCTCTGAGTTCAAGGCCAGCCTGGTCTACAGAGCAAGATCCAGGACAGGCACCAAAACTACACAGAGAAACCCTGTCTCAAAACAAACAAACAAAACAAAACAAAAAAGGAGCCAATAATATAACTGTTCATGTAAGCATGGTAGAAAAAACTCTGTTAAAGTATAAAGACAGCTTGAGCTAATTGGGCCACTTGAGTGCAGATCCACCTGTGGGCAGACTCTTTCCTTGTGCTGACACTCCTTCCCCATCTCAAGATCTGAACCTAGAGCTGAGGCTGAATCCCAGCATTAGCTGCTCTTCCAGAGGACCCAGGTTCAATTCCCAGCACCCACATGGCACCTCACAAGTGCTTGTATTACAGTTCCAGGGGATCCAATGCCCTCTATGACCTCTTGGGACACCAGGCACTCATGTGCTGCACATACATACATACATACAAACAGATACTCACACATATACATTAAATAAAAATAAAGCTGGGTGTGGTGGTGCACATTTTTAACCCCAGCATTTGGGCGGCAAAGGCAGACAGATCTCTGTGAGTTGGAAGCCAGCTTAGTCTACACAGAGTTCCAGGTCAGCCAGGACTACATAGTAAGACAGTCTTGGAAAAAAGTTTATAAAATTTCAAAAAATTATGTGTATGTGCATATGGATATGTGCACATGAATGCAGGTACTTGCAGAGTCCAGAAGAGGACATCAGGTCGCCTGGGGCTACAGTTTGCAGGTGGTAATCAGCCTGATATGGGTGCTGGGAACTAAGCCCTGTCCTCTGCAAGAGCAGTATACTCTCAGCTGCCATATCTCCTGCCTCCCTTTGAATTTTGTATTAAAATTTAGTTTACGTCAGAGCCCCACAGGTGACCCTGGTGCTCAGGCTTTGCTTGATCAGTTTGTTCCTCCTAATGTGGCTACACCGAGCAGGCTTTCCTTGTCTCACTACTGCCTCTTTAAACAGTGTGTTCGGGCGAGCGGCTGAGCATAGTTATTGGGGCTGTGGAAGCACGGGCCTTTGTTTTGAAATTCCTATTATAGTGTGAACTAAACAGAATTGGGACTAAACACTTTCACTTTATGTCAGCACTACCTTAGAAATCAACTTGGTGCCATATACAGGACGTGGCAAACCTGAACACATGTGTAGACCATGCATAAACACCTGCAGACTACATGAAGTTGAACCAAAGGATTTTGTATCTTTTCATTTAGCTTTCATTTGTTAATTTTAAGTGATTTCTGCTGATCTGATTATTTTCTTCACAGCATTAAGTAATACTTTTTACAAAATATTCATATCTAAGATATGACTATTAGAGATAAGGTAGATTTTAGGACATTTTAAAATAAAAAAAATTTATTTTTAAAATGTGTGTGGGTATTTTTGCCTGAATGTATGTCTGCATGCCAGTCGCATGCTGAGGCCACAAGAGGGTGTCGGATCCCCTTGAATTGGAGTTACAGACACTTGTGAGCTGCCATGTGGGTGCTGGGAATTGAACCTGGGTCCTCTGGAAGGACTCTTAATCACCAAGCCTTCTCCCCAGTCCCCATTTTAACCTTTCTGTGATTTGTGATTGAATGAAAAAAAGAAATAAAAAGGAAAGAAAAGGATATGACTGCTCCTAGGTATGGTTGAGGAGAAAGTTTACTGTAGCTAAAAGCAAGAGCATAGGTAGAGGCAGAGACATCTGGGATGTTCAGAGTGGATATAGCCAGGCTGAGCTAGGTCAGGTGGAGAGAGGGGTATAGCAGCCAGGAGGCCAAAGGTACAAAAGAGGTGGGTAATAAAAATGTCTGGATTATATAGGGAAGAGCCTCTGGGGAAAGGGCAGCCCAGCTCCTGGACTGGAGAGTTCAGGGTAGAGGCTGGCCATACCCTGTGGTGGTACTGTGTTCCCCAAAATATTGTGCACCCTAATAAACTTATCTGGGGTCAGAGACAGAACAGCCACTAGATACAAAGGCCAGAAAATGGTGGCACACACGCCTTTAATTTTAGCATTCCAGAGGCAGAAATCCATGTGTTCAAGGATACAGCCAAGCATGGTGACTCACGCCTTTAATCCCAGAAAGCAAGCCTTTAATCCCAGGGAGTGGTGGTAGAAAGCAGAAAGGTATATAAGGCATGAGGACCAGAAACTAGAAGCATTTGGCCTGGTTAAGCATTTGGCTGGTTAAGCTTTTAGGTTTTGTGCAGCACAATTCAGCTGAGAGCCATTCGGAGATGAGGACACAGAGGCTTCCAGTCTGAGGAAACAAGATCAGCTGAGAAGTTGGCCAGATGAGGTTAGCTGTGGCTTGTTCTGTCTCTCTGATCTTCCAGTGTTCACCCCAATACTTGGCTCCGGGTTTGATTTTATTAATAATATAATAATTATAATAAAATTAGTAAGATTTTATTATAATACTCTTTAATGGGTAGGGACTGAGGGATGTTGGGAGAAACCGGAGGCCAGGTCCCCTTTGATATGTTAAATAGGCACCTCAGCCTTTTGTTCCGGGTTTGAAACTTAATAGTGATGTGTACTCCTCCCTAGCAGTAGACAAGGGCAAGAGTTAAAAAAATTAGGCATATTTTCCCAAAAGTCACAGTGCAACTCAATTGTGCTATTCACAAACCAAGTATAGAATTTACAGAAGACCTTAATTCCTGGTGCACTCATGGTCCTAACAGAAGGCAGGCAAAGTCTAATGCTGGACTCTGGATGTAAGATTTCCCTTCCTTCAACAACCATTCCTTCCCCCAGAGGTGACAGCAAACCTTGTACTTGGAGCAGAATTGAAGGTCGATGTTTTCAGCTTTTTATCAGGAGCAGATTTTTTTTTTTTTTTTTGAGACATCTGTATGGCGCTGGGGAGGCAAGGTCGTGGTATGATCTATTAACTGAAGTGATTAACATTATTAGATCCACTGTGGGTGGGATGGGTGGGTGGGGGGTATGTATGGTTTATGGACAGACCTCGACAAGACAGAGAGGGGATGGGAAATGGTGACAGGGCCAAAAGCCCAGGAAAGTTCGTTGTGAGCTTTTTGGCTTTGATTTTATGGTATATTTACTGTGTCGTCTCCAATGCCTTTTATAAAAGATTGATTTTATTTTTATATGTATTACGTTGTGTGGGAATGTGCGTGTGCATGTAGTGTCCTCGGAAGCCAGAAGAGGGCGGCAGATCTCGTGGAGCTGTAGCTACAGGAGGTAGTGAGATCCGGAAAGTGGGTGCTAGAACCAAACTCAGGTCCTCCACAAGTGCAGGATTTAACTCTTTAACTGCTGAACCATCTCCATCTATCTTCATTCTTTTTCCCTCTCCTCTCATCCCACCTCCCACCACGCTCCTGTCTCAGCCTCCAAGTGCTGGGATTACAGGAGCAGAGAAAGTGCCGGTAACAGGTGACCCTCCCTCCGGGAACCCCGTGGAATTTCCCTTTAGAGTCCAACCTAGAGGGCAGATGAAAGTGGTGATGGTGATGATCCCAGATCGTGGACTACAACTCCCGGCATGCCCTGCGAATCTGCGAGTCAAGTCTCGCGTGACGTACTGGGGGCTCGGTCTGGGCTGTGGTTCGGCTGCCAGCCGGCTGCAGTCCTCCGTCGGGAAGCTTCACGATGGCTCTTTTCTGCTCAGCTCCGCAGCCTCTTGGGCCATCTGGAGCCTCGGAACCTCTTTAGTGCCGGAGTTGGGGCCGCAGGCGGCGGGCGAGCAGGTGACAGATCACGGCCTGGCGCCGCTGGGGACAGTCTGAGCCTCCGGGCGCCGCGGCCTCCGGCCGGGTGGGAACCTCGAGTCCCTCGGAGATCCCCAGTGAGCCTCCGTGCACGCGCGCCGCGCACCCACGGGCTTGGCCTCGAGGGGTGGGACCGTGGAAGGGTCTGGCCAGGCGTATACAATCCAGAGGCTTTGTTTTGTACCCCCTGAAGGAGAGACGTGGGCTTGGGGTCGCTGGGGGAGAGGGAAGGGCGTGTGTTTGTCTTGCGGATGCCCTCTAGGCTGCGGTGAGTGGCCCCTGTGAACTTGAACAAAAATTCGGGTCAGTAATGCCTGCTGTGCAGTGCGTCGCAAGGGGTTTTAAAGACGAGTTTTCTGTAAGGTGCGATTACTGTTAGCCGGCGTTAGTAATAGTGAATTGTTCTCTGTTTCATAGCCCATTTCTGTCTAGTGGAAATGCTAAAATGGCTTGTGAGGCTGATAGTGGGCCATGTACAGGGCATCATTTGGTGGACTTGGGAGCGCTGTACCAACCCCGGTTGTTTATTGTTATTAGAACCTCTGGATGGACTCTTCCTCGGAAGCTTTGCTAATTTGCAGCAGCTGGGCAATGCTCCTCATTACCATCTGTCTGTCAGCATAGTCCAGCGTCATTTCACTGTGGTAAGGTGTCTTCACTGTGTCTTGTCTTTACCCTCTCAGGTGTTATTAAGATGAGCCAATGGATACGGTGAACCTTGAACTTTACCCTTTTGGGGTGTGTTTGTCACACATTGGTTGTAGTATATGTATGTTTCAACCTTGTTAACAAGCCATAAACCGCCGTGTGTCTGTCAACAGAACAGCACTGGAGTGATCCTCTGCTGTTCAGCATAAGAAAATGCCCTTTGTTATTTTTATTAGGTGGCAGGGACTCAGCTCCGAATTCTGTATAGAGAAAGCGCCTGGATCCTAGTCTTTCAATGGCTTCAAGACAACCAGAAGTGCCTGGTAAACTGAGTTCTTTTTGGTTAAATCTGTTTTGCACTTACTGATCTAAACTTATTTTCTCCAAATCACATATTAATGGTTCCTTTTTGCCGCTAGGGAAATAGATTGTCCTCATTTTAGTATTATCTCATTACCCTCCCAGCCATGCCCAGATCTAAACTTCGAGCCACTGCCCTTAAGTGTATGACAAATACATTATTTATGCCAAAGGAGAAGAATTAACAGTGTGTTTGTAGGGTATATCAGCATGATTAAATTACCCTAGGATGGAGGGCTGGGCAAAAGGTACAGTCATTGTTACACCTACCTTAGTTGTAAAAATGTTTGCATCAACATTTAGTATGTTCTTGGTTTGTGTTGCACAGTGCTGTCGGGGTTGCTGAAGTCATTGATTTCTCCTTGGACTGTTACCAGAAAGGAAGGTGATTTTTAAATCAGTCTGAATCGCCGAGTCCCTGATTCTCAGGAGTGTAGATGGTCTTGCCTCCCCATCTAGTGTGAAGATTAAACAATTTTTTTTGTTTTTTTCTCTCTATGTAGTTTGTAGTTCTTGCTGTTTTGGAACTCTCTGTTTAGGCCTGGCTGTCCTGGAACTCACAGAGGTGCTACTGCCTCTGCCTTCTGAGTGCTGGGATTAAATGCACATGCACCACTTCTGGCTCAAAAAGTTTTTGATCTCTTTGTAGGAACATTTTTCCTAGTAGAGGTTAGCTGGCTTTATGTCTTTGTTTTAATGAAGCCATTGGGAGAAGTCTTAAACATGGTTTTGAAATTGCTCCCCAGTTAGGCAGGTTAATGGAAGCTCCCTCTGTGTGTCCTAACATCTTTGTCTCTCCCATTACGTGTGTCTTCCATTCATACCACATTGTTGTAAACTCACGGTAACCGTGCAGAGCTGTGGCGGTGCACTCGTTAGGCTAGTGCTTTGGAGCACGGAAGCTTGGGGGCCCTGGCTTCAGTGTCTGCTGCACACTTGCTAGCTGTATGATACTGCTTATGTTCTGTACCAGTTTCCCAATCTGGGAATAGGGAGAAAACTTGTTTACTGAGGATTAGCTACAAGGAGGGATGTTAGTGCCTGGTAATTTTTATTTGTATGTCTGTTTTAGTTGAGATACAATGCACATACTGTAAATTCATCCACCTAAAGTGGGTAATTTAATGGTTGGTGTGTTCTTAAGGTTGTGCATCCATCAGATTAATCTACTTACAGAGCATTTTCATTCTCTCAGAAAGACTTTGTTCCCATTAAGAGTTATACCTCATTGCCCTCTCTTCCTGGCCTTTGGCAACCAGTAACCTCTTGGGTTTGTTAGTAGTTCTTAATATTAGTAATAGTCACATGGTAGCTCTGGGTCCCTTTGCTGTTTGGCTGCCAGACAGGTTGGTATCTTGAAGGATATGATGATGTAACAGGAAACTATCACTTTGAGGAAGGTTCTGGATCAGTAAACCAAACAAAATGAACCTTGCTCTCTGCTCTGGCACAGCTGAGAGTGCCCTTGAAGCATGATGCCTGCGTCACAGCTGGACATTCTGGCCGTCAGTCCTGTGGACAGGAATGGCAGGATCAAGCTGGTAGTGTTGAACAGAGTGCCTGTCTGTATTGTCTTTGATGGAAATGTTTAAGTCTCAGAACACTGGAACTAGAGGTGGTGCCAGACCACAGACCACTGCTGCTTGTAGTTCTCTTTGTGAAGGAGACAGGAAAGGTGGCGTAGGGCTTGTCATAGGTGTGGTCAGACCTCAGCCAGCCATTTTCTCTATGAACTGAGGCAAATCCTTTCACCACTAGGGTTTAGTTGCCTCGTCAGATGAGACAGTGACAGGCTGTGGAGTGAGGGGAAAAATGAGAGGAGATACCTTTAGTCTCTTTATAGTCTCCTTAGTCCTGTGTGACTGAGAGTTTAGTATCCAGGCTTTGAAATGAGACAGGTTTGCATTTGGACTGGAAATTGTGCTTTGAAGTTGAGACTTTGTACAGGTAAATTTAAATTGAGCCTAAGATTCTTTAGTCTATAAAAGTGGATTGGGGCCTGGTGTGGTTGGTATGTGTGCCTGTGGTCCCAGCACTTGGGAAGAGCTGAGGTAGGAGGACTGACAGAATTTGAGGTCAACTGTGCAAACTCCACAGTGAGTCCCAGGCAGTCAGGACTCCACAGCAAGACCCTACCTGAGAAAGGAGGGGTGAGAGAGAACAGTGTTGCCGCGCGTAGTGGAGGCTCTGGAGTGTAGTGGAGAAAGAAGGCAATTGGCCCTGTATTACCCTCCTTGGAATGGGTTAGTTGTTGCAGACAAACTGGCCTTAAGTTTCACAACTTTCTTGTCCACAGATTAACTTAAAGCCACTAGTATGTGCAGTTGGTATCCCATATTGACAGGTGTCTCTGTTCTTAGCTCTTGTGCCCAGTGGGCCTCTAGGCAAGATGTCCCTGCCCATCGGGATGTGCCGCCGGGCATTCAGCTATGATGATGCCCTAGAGGACCCTGCGCCCATGACTCCTCCTCCATCGGACATGGGCAGCATCCCCTGGAAGCCAGTGATTCCAGAGCGCAAGTATCAGCATCTTGACAAGGTATCTTACCCTGCTGACGGCTTCTGGCAAACTTACCCCCTTTGTTCTCCTCCTGCTTCAGAAGCCTTCAGTGATTCTCTGTCCCTACAAAATCGGGCAGCAATTGTTCTCTTTGTATGTTTTTGTGGTTTTTAAAAAATTCAAAATTTGAACAGTAGTGTCACTTGCATGAGAGTCTTCTGGACTCTACTTCCCAACTAAAAAGCCAAACTCCAGAACCTCTCAATGCCTGAGTTCTGATGAATCCTGCTTTCCTCTTTGTACCGTCTCTTATCTAGCCATAGAATTATTGGGATATTTGCATAGACAAAATGAGCTAGTGAGGGACTAGGACCCAAGTCTAAATATGAAGTTAATTTATGTTGTATCCATACCTCCTACTCTAGCCTGATTACTCTTATGTAGTCATTTTTTTATGTACAAAATGAAGTTTGTGAGGTGTTTTACTTCCTCTTGTGGTGTCATGGCAGTGTGCAAACGGCTTCAGATCTTTGGTCACTTTGAGAGTTTAGTTTTTGGATGGTGATGCTCAGCCTGTAATCTGTTGCAGTATTAAGCCAAAGGTTTGTCATAGAGTCCAAAAAAGCCTTAACAGGTTGGTTTTGTGATTGGCATAGCACAGGTCTCTTGAACAGCTGCTGTGTTCTTGCTTGTGTGCCTTTCCCTTGCTGCCAGGGAGCACAGCACCTCTCCTCAGGCTCCTACACAGCTCCATCTGCACTCAGGGCAGGTCAGCCCCAGGCCACTGTGTGCACTGTGCTGCTGAAGCCTAGCCCTCACCTGATTCCATCCCCGGAATACAAGAAAGATCATCCTACTGCCTGAGTAAACCAGGCCTCCGAGAAGCTCAGAGAAAGCCATTTTACCTGCAGCTTCAGTTGGAGGCCTCAGGGGAAGCATGCAGTGAGGGCTGCTTAAAGCAGACCTCGAATGGATCCCAAGTGGCTTGACTTGGACAGTTTAGCCCCTAAGTGCAGTGCCTCTCTGTCTGAGAGCAGGGAATTCTTTGTCTTAGAGGTGGTGAGGGAGTAATAGTCTTAAAGACTTGGTCGGTGTGTGGCTGAGCTGACCGAGGGCTGTCTGTGCTCTCCTTTCTGATGAGTGCTTTCTGTTTACCTTGTTACCCTTGCAGAACAGGGACTTCTTTCCAAGACCTATCCCTTCCTGCTCTTAGTCAGTTGTCAGCTGTAGTCTGAATCAGGTAGCTGTTGAAGAGAAAATGTTCTAAAGACTGGGAAGCCAGGCCGTGTGGCACACAAGTTAGAAACACAAGTTTTATTTAAAAATATTATTATTATTATTTTCTGTGGTGCTGGGGATAGAACCCAGGGTTTCACACATGCTGGGCTAGAAACAAATTCTTTTTTCTTTTGACATAGGATCTCATGTAGTCCAGGTTTGGCCTTGAACTCATGGCAGTCTTTAGCCTCCATGGTGCTGGGTGTCACCGTACTCTGTTTATTTGGTCCTACAGATGGAGTCCTTGTGTCTCACCTCTGACAGCCTAGACCTGCCAAGCAGGCCTGAAATGTATTTGGTCAGTACTCAGGTCACTGATACGTGGCCAAGCCTGAGGGAATGTTCCGCTCAGGCTGACTAAGGCTCAGTACTTGGCATATGGTTAGTGCTTTGTAAGAGGTGTCTCCATTTTGTTTCTGTTCCCTCGTGTGTCCTTTCTTTCCTCTTCCCCTCATTAATTTTTCCTCAGTTTTGGAGACAGGGTTTTGGTAGGTATTCCATCCTTGCCTTGAACTCACTGTGTAGGCCAGACTAGACTTGAACCCACACCAGTCCTGCTTCAGCCTCCAGCACTGGGATTCCGTGTGTGTGCCATCATGCCCAGTCTGCATCTGCAGTCTTAGGGGCAGACAGACTGGGAAGTTAGGCCAGTGTGATTCCGGGCTCTTCTCCTGAGGTCCTTTCCTGTTGTCTCTGTGGGCCAGTGGAGGTTGCCGCTGTCCCTTTCAGCTCTGTCTTCCCTTAGAGGTTACGTATTCTCGTAACTCTTTCTCTAAAGAAGTAAGTTTAGGTGTGTGGCCCCCCTCACCTGCTTCCTTACCTCTCTTGAACAGACAGAGGAAGGAGTGGCCAGTGTCTCTTCCCTTGCTGTGATTCCATCAACAGCCACTGACAATTCAGACAAGGCTCCTGTGGTGAAGGCTAAAGCTACCCATGTCATCATGAATTCCCTGATCACAAGTAAGCACCTGTGGTGGTATTGTGTTCCCCAAAATATTGTGCACCCTAATAAACTTATCTGGGTAAGAATAAGCCACAATATTAAACATAGAGGTTAGGCAGTGGTAGCACATGCCTTTAATCCTAGCATTCCAGAGGCAGAAATCTGTCTGGATCTCTGTGAGTTCAAGGCCACATTGGAAACAGCCAGGCATGGTGACTCATGCCTTTAATCCCATGAAGTGAGCCTTTAATCCCAGGGAGTGATGGCAAAAACAGAAAGATATATAAGGCGTGAAGACCAGAAACTAGAAGCATTTGACTGGTTAAGCTTTCAGGCTTTTGAACAGTTCAGCTGAGAGGCATCCAGTCTGAGGAAACAGGATCACCTGAGGAATTGGCGAGGTGAGGAAGCTGTGGCTTGTTCTGCTTCTCTGATCTTCCAGCATTCACCCCAATAACTGGCCTCAGGTTTGATTTTATTAATAAGTACCTTTAAGATTCATGCTATGAGCACCCGCCCTTCAGTCTCAGCAGAGTAAATTGAGGGAGGAAGAGCTTGAGCCTCAGCTGTAGATGTTGTTCAGACCTGCTTTCACAGGGCCCACATCTGACTGGCTCTGAATTTAGTCAAGGAGGAAGATGTACTGTGACTGTTAAGCACCCATTGGCTTAGATAGAGCCTTGTGGTTGCTTGATATAGTCTGGTTTTCCTGTAGTGACCAGTGGCCACTTAACACTAGATTCGGCACCTCACTTTCTGAAATCGGGGATCTAGCTGGCAGGTTGATGTTAAGGTTAGAGTTCGTTAGCAGGAGCTTTGGATCCACTGCTATTATAGGCCTAGGTGTGTTGCTAGAGAAGGAGGCACACTGGAGGGCAGCCCTCTGGCTATGCACTGCTACACGTTTGTTTGGTTTTGAGACAGGATCTTACTATGTACTCATGGGCTTCAAACTCAAAGCAGTCCTCCTGCCTTAGTGTTTGTGAGGGCTGGTATTGGTCATGTACTACTGTACCCAGATACTTTAAAAAATTTACATATGCATTTATAAATAATTTATACATATTTTCACAAATTTTTGATAGTGCTGACCAAGACCTTGTACATGTAGGTCCACCAGGAAGAAGACCAGGTTTGGTGCTTCAGTTTCTTTCCTTTTTTTAAAGGTTTATTTATTATGTATACAGCATGTATGTCTGCAGGCCAGAAGAGGGCACCAGATCTCATTACAGATGGTTGTGAGCCACCATGTGGTTGCTGGGAATTGAACTCAGGACCTCTGGAAGAACAGTCAGTTCTTTTAACCTCTGAGCCATCTCTCCAGCCCCATGCTTCAGTTTTTTTAGTTTTTTAGAATGTGTTATTGATGGCCCTAATGAGGCTTGATGAGAGCTTTTTTTTTTAACTTACTTTTCTTAAAAAAATTTATTTATGTATATAGTATGTGTGCTTGAGAGTGTTTGGAGGTGAGGAGGCCAGAAGGTATCAGATCCCCTGGAGCTAGAGTTATAGATGGTTGTGAGCCACCCAATGTGGGTGCTGAAATCTGAATTTGGGTCCTCTGGAAGTGCTTTTAATCACTGAGCCATCTCTCCAGCTCCTCTTTTTAAACTTCTGTCACAAGTTACCTAAGCTTCTTCCTTCTCAAGGGCCATTCTAGTTGTTGTGGGAAGTTAATTATTCAGTACTTGCCTCTGCATGTCAGCAATAATACCTGCCCCAGGCTGAGGTGTGCAGAGGTTCTCCTTGGTTGGCTCTTTTTATGTCAAAGCTCTTTACTTTCTTCTCCAGGAGGGCATCAGTTTGTTTTGGTCACTTCTGGAAAGTTGCCTCAGAGTCCAAACCCACTGTTTCTCTGTGACTGCACCATCTGAAGCAGTAGCTGCTAGTTGTATTCTGTAGCTTGACTATTCTGGCATTAGAAAGCACAGCTGTTGTGGCTTCCGAGGGCACCAGGCATGCACGTCGTACACAGATATACAGACAGGCAACACACCTGTAACATAAAAAAGGAGTGGAATGTCTAGATCCTAAAGTCCACCTGGTGTGGGGACTGTTCACAGCTGCCATGCTCAGGTGTAGTGTTCAAGGTTTGTAGCTTAAGAAAAAAGATCATCTCTTGTTCATTTCACAGTAAGTGACTTGTGAAATAATAAAGCAAGCTGAAAGAACATTGTTGGCTAGGCCAGGAACAGCAACAGGCAGATCATACATAAGAAACATGGCGTCTATAGGCCTGGGCTAGTTCAAGGCAGGTGGTTGTGCTATGAATCTGACTGGTACCTTGGTGCCAGCTGGCAGGAACATGACCTGCTGCCCTTTGGCAAAGCTTCTGTGCAAGTGGTAAGTCTCTTAGGGAGCTTAGTGATTTGGGAATTCTGGATGCCAGGTACCTCTGCTTGCTGTTGCTGAATGTGAAGGTGTTACGGAGTCTAAATGAGAGGAGGTAATGCATCCAGCATCCCTTTAGGGCAACTTGATTTTAGTGTGCTGTGAGGGAAGGCTGGCTTCCGAGGGATCAGAATTACCATGTCAGTGCCTGTTTGGGCACCCTTACTCTCCACTAGTCAGGGTGGCCTCTTGCTTCCGGGAAGAACAGCAGATACTTTTGTCCCGGCTGGTTTGTGACTGGTTAGGAGTTGAGCATGACTGTTCTTTCTTTTCAGAACAGACTCAGGAGAGCATCCAGCGTTTTGAGCAACAAGCAGGACTGAGAGATGCTGGCTACACACCTCATAAGGGCCTCACCACTGAGGAGACCAAGTACCTCCGAGTGGCAGAAGCACTCCATGTAAGCAACCACAACCGTTCATGGCTTGAAATACGGCTACAGATTAGACGTTTACAGCTTAGCTATTGGACAGCTGAGTCAAGTGACAAGAAGATAATGGCAAAGGGACCAGGACTGTCCTCCTAAAGCCTGGAGGTCTTAGCTGCGGATATTTTGCTTGCTTGTCTGTAAATTGAGGGCATGTTTTGCTTATATGTGACATGTATGAAAACTCTGTGAACTGTGGACTATTTTATATGCCAGAGTGGTTGGCTATGATGAGTGAGAGGAGAATCCCACAGTTCTAAGAGATAATAGTTCAGCTGGATAACATCATTCTGTTTACTTAGAGATAGGGTCTTTACATATAGGCCTAGGCTAGTATAGTAGCATATTCTTTTTTTTCTTTTTTTTTTTTTAAGATTTATTTATTTATTATGTATACAGTGTTCTGCCTGCATGCCAAGAGAGGGCACTATATCTCATTACAGATGGTTGTGAGCCACCATGTGGTTGCTGGGAATTGAACTCAGGACTTCTGGAAGAGCAGCCAGTAGTAGCATATTCTTTTAATCACAGTGTATGTGTGAGTGTGGGGGTGTGAGTGTGGGGTTTTCCAGGCTAGCCAGGGCTACATAGTGAGATCCTGTTTCACACAAACAAAAAACTCAGGCTAGCCTTGAACTTGTGATCCTCTTGCCTCTGCCTCCCAAGTATTGAGGTTATAGGTATGTGCCATCATGCCCAGCTTATACGTAACTTTTTAAAAATTAAATTCAGGAGCTAGGTGTAGTGGCACACATCTTTAATCCCAGGATTTGGGAGGCAGATGCAGGCAATCTGTGGGTTCGAGGCCAGCTTGGTTTGCATATTGAGTTCCAGGCTAGCTAGGACTACATTGAAAAACCCTGTCTTGGGGGTGCAGAGATTATTTTGATGAGGGTTTATTTAATGATAGTTAAAATTTTTCTTTGTGGCCAGGCATAGTGGTGCACACCTTTAATCCTAGAACTCAAGAGGCAGAGGCAGGTGGATCTCTGAGTTTGAGGCCAGCTTGGTCTACTGTTGGGGGCCAGCTCCCACATTTATTTACCCCAAGGACTCTTGAGGAGTGAGGGATAAGAGATGTAGATAGAAATATAGAGGAGACAGACAGAAACACAAGATAGCCTTGAGAGGGCCTGGATCAAAACCCACGGGCCCCTTCTGTCTCTACTAAGGGGCTTTTAAAGGAATGCCAAGGGGTGAAGCAAAAGACCTCCCCTCAGCACATCCAAGTACAGACCATCCCAAACGCCTGGTAACCGTGCACATGGTCAGTCCATCCCCTGATATAGTCCTGCTGTGTAAAGCAAGCTCAGATCTCACTAGAAAACCTCTGTGGGTTCCCACAGTCTACTAAGCAAGTTCCGGGACAGCCAAGGCTGTTACACAGAGAAATTGAAACCCTGTCTCGGAAAACCACAAAAACCAAACCAAACAAACAATTTTTTTCTTTGTGCTACCAGATATTGAACCCAGAGCTTCATGCACACTGCGAAGTGTTCTACCACTGAGATACATCTCCAGCCCCTCACCCCCTTGTTTTTTGTTTTATGGATTTTTCTGTGTATGGGTGATTTGTCTACATGTGTGTCTGTGTACCACTTTGGAATCTGGTATCTGCAGAGGCTAAAAGAGGGCATCAGATCTGGAACTGGAGTTACAGACAGTTGTGAGCTACCATGTGGGTGCTGGGAACCAAACTTGGGTCCTCGGGAGGAGCAGCCAGTGCTCTTAACTGCTGAGCCATCTCTCCAGCCCCTTCCTCTACCTTTTTTGAGATGCATCTTTCTGTGTAGTTAAGGCGGGCCTCAAAGTCATGGTTTTCCTGTCTCAGCCTCTCAAGTGCTGCGATTCCTGGTATGTCGCTATGCCTGGCTGTGTTGAAATGTTTCAATGACTTCCTTAAAAAATGTTTTTTTACATTTATTTATTCATTTATTTTGTGCGTGCGTGGTTTTTTTACATTTATTTATTCATTTATTTTGTGCGTGCGTGGTTAGTTCATGCCATGGAACATGTGGAGGTCAGAAAAAACTTGCAGAAGTTGATTCTTTCCCTCCACCCTGTAGGTCTAGGGATCAGACATCATTGTCAGCCTGGCAGCAAGTGTCTTTACTCACTGAGCCTTCTCATTGTGGTTCACATGGTTCTTTTAGAGAGGCCACTTCATATGGAATGGTGTTCTGTGACTTACGAATTCCCATAATCTTAACATTGATCCTTGGTGATAGATACTATATTCTGTTTTGTAAATAAAGGAGATACTGGAGGGATAAATCAGTAAGGTGCTTGCTACAGAAGCATGAGTATCAGTCCCTAGAAACCATGTTTAAAGCCAGATATGGTGGTCCATGCTGGCTGCCTCAGTGCTAGGGAGGTAAATAAAGATAGGCGTATTCCTAGAGTTGGCTGCTAGCCAGTCTAATCTAATCAGCTCCAGATTCCAGTAAGATATGATCTCAAAACAAACAAACAAACTACAGTGGTGACAGACAGTGATTCATGCCTTTCCTTCCAGCACTCAGAGGCAGAGGAAGGCAGGCAGGTTTCTGTGAGATCAAGGCTAGCCTGGTTTACATAGTGAGTTCCAGGACAGCCAGAGCTTACATAGGGAGACCTTTCTTAAAAGAAAAAAAAAAAAAAGGTGAGTGGCTTTTTTTTTCCCCTGGAGCTGAGGACTGAACCCAGGGCCTTGCGCTTGCCTACCACTGAGCTAAATCCCCAACCCCGGTGAGTGGCTTTTGATTAGTGATGGGAAGATGATCTCCTTATGCATTCCTACCCTGTGTGCACAACCCCCCCCCCCCCCCCCCCCCCCCCCCCCCCCCCCACGCCCGCCCCAGTACATATACACACATGTAGGCAAACACTCATGCACATTAAAAATAAAGCAGGGCGGCGGTGGTGCACGCCTTTAATCCCAGCACTCGGGAGGCAGAGGCAGGTGAGTCTTTGTGAGTTTGAGGCTAGCCTGGTCTACAGAGTGAATTCCAGGACAACCTGGGCTGTTATAAAGAGAAACCCTGTCCTAAAACAACAAAACAACCCATATACATATACATAAATATGTATATGTGTGTGTATATATATATACATACACACACACATATATATATAAACATGTTTTTGTTTTTTGTTTTAGCTTTGCGCCTTTCCTGGAGCTCGCTCTGTAGCTCAGGCTGGCCTTGAACTCACAAAGATCCGCCTGGCTCTGCCTCCCGAGTGCTGGGATTAAAGGTGTGTGCCACCACCGCCCGGCATATATTTTTTTTTTTTTTTTTAAGAAAGAAAAGGCTGGGCAGTGGTGGCACATGCCTTTAATTCCAGAACTCAGAACTCAGGAGGCAGAGGCAGGTGGATCTCTGAGTTTGAGGACATCCGGGGCTACACAGAGAAATCCTGTTTCAAAAAAAACCAAAAACAAATGAACAAACAAAAATCCAAGTAGCCATGGCAAGTTCCTTTGGGCATAGAAAGAACCTAAAAAGCACCAGGAGATGGTATCCGGTGTGTGTATGTGGGGGTGGGGAAGGTGCAGGACACCATGGATGGGCTGCATGTGGAATGAGTAGTCCAGATGAATCTGCAGGCTAAGTTTAAAAGCCACTGCTGTGAGAAGTCAGTGTTGAACTGGTGTCCATTTGAGCTTAGACAAGACAGATGCTTCTGGTGCTCAGTTTTTGCCATTCATCGTGTAACAGATTGTCAGCTTACACAAACTGATGTGTTGAAAGTCAGCTTGGGTCCAGCAGAGGCATAGCCCTCATGGAGGACAGACCTGCTTGCTACTCTGGAGCTTCAACTTAGACCTATAGCTCTCTGGTATAGTCTTAGACCTAAAGTTTTTTTTTTTTTTTTTTTTTTTTTTTGGTTTTTCGAGACAGGGTTTCTCTGTGTAGCTTTGCACCTTTCCTGGGACTCACTTGGTAGCCCAGGCTGGCCTCGAACTCACAGAGATCCGCCTGCCTCTGCCTCCCGAGTGCTGGGATTAAAGGCGTGCGCCACCACTGCCCGGCGACCTATAGTATTTTAACAATGCTGTGGAGGTGGTTGGTTATGGGAGAGGAGGGAGAATGAGGTAGGTTTCTTGGAGGAAACATTTTGCTAAAGAGGACAGCAAGCCCGAGTCTTAATTTGAAAGCCTGAGCAGAGCAGGTGTTGTACTGAAAGTCAGGAGCAGAATTGAAGGCCAGACCTAAGAGGTTTGCAGCTTGGTGCCTCTTCCCCTGAACGACTTGGCTTTTTTGGACACATAAGTTCTAGTGCAGGAGTGTGAGGTGCTCTAGAGCACAGCTCCATAGGAACATGGTGTCCATCCAGCGTAGAAGAAACAAAATCACTGACGTTAGGATGTGTATCTGAGTGCTTCTGCCCAGACTGCACTGCTTCGTGTCTGCTCTCCTCTGAAAAGTCTCTTCTTGCCATCTGAACAGAAACTAAAGCTGCAGAGTGGAGAGACAACAAAAGAAGAGAAGCATCCTGCATCAGCCCAGTCCACTCCGAGCAGCACCCCCCACTCATCCCCCAAGCAGAAGTCCAGGTAAGTCCTTCCTTCAGGAAAGCCAGTGCTGAGATGGTGCTGGCCTCCAGCCTGTGGTTTCTTGTTGCTTTGGTGGAAGACACTTCTTGTGACACAGGAAGAGGCCATTCAGAAATATCTATTTACTTCTCTGTTCCAGAGGCTGGTTCCCCTCTGGTTCCTCCACAGCCTTACCTGGCCCAAATTCTCACACTATGGATCCTGGGAGTGGGAATGACAAGAACTCAGCAGAAAAGTGGAGCCTCTTTGGACCGAGGCCCCTGCAGAGGTCTGACTCTGGTAAGGCAGCTCCTTCAGAAAGAGCAGCGAGGCTCTGGCTGCTGTGTGGGCTGGGGGCTGTAATCATTTGCTTTTCCTTGACAGGTTTTGCCATCCAGGCTTACAAAGGTGCCCCCAAAACCCTCTCCTATGGAGCTAATGCGTGCTCAAGCCACACGAGTAGGTGACGATCCAGCAACCTTCAAGCCGCCTAAGATGGATATCCCAGTGGTAGAAGTGAAGAAACCACCACCTCGAACCCATAATCTCAAACCCCGTGACCTGAATGTGCTCACACCCACTGGCTTCTAGAATGCTTTCTGTCCAGGGTCTGCAACTTTCCCTGGGCTCTGACATAGGAGTGATGTAGTTAACTGGAGGCTGGAGTGACATTGTGCAGATTGTCTTTGTGTGAGAGAAACCATTTTGCACTGCTTTCAAGTTGGTGGAAAATGTCAGTGGTGCTGAGTGGGGCCTCACTTTTTTTTTAAAAAATCATTTATCCTAGAGGAGAATTTGGCCTTTGCTTTCTTAGGTAAATAGTGCTGGTGTGCTTCCAAAACTATCAACATGAGCAGTTACAAATCATGATAGAGGTGCCCACCAACTCATTTGGACAGCCATGGCTTCCTGATATGCTTGAGTCTTGTGAGTGGGCTTGGACTTGTCTGAGAGCTGGGTACAGCTCATGACCACACTTGGCAGGACCCTGGCTCTCTAAGTTGAACCCCGGGTTCTTTTTCCTGATTAGTCCAGTGTACAGTTGGAGGGTTGTCTATCTGCTGTGTCACAGAACAAACACTAGTCTCGCATGGCGTCTTTTGCACTTTAACATGAAATTAATTGAGCTCCTAATTGAGTCTACTGGTTTCATGCTGATAAATGACTCCTTTTTCCCTTCCCTTACTGGGTCTTGCTCATGCTAGGCAAGTGCTCTACCACTGATTTTTACCCCTAGTTCCTGAATCCTAAGCTTTTTTTTTTTTTTGGTTTTTTTCGAGACAGGGTTTCTCTGTGTAGCTTTGAGCCTCTCCTGGAACTCACTTGGTAGCCCACGCTGGCCTCGAACTCACAGAGATCCGCCTGCCTCTGCCTCCCGAGTGCTGGGATTAAAGGCGTGCGCCACCACCGCCCAGCTTTTTTTTTTTTTTAAAGTTGTATGTGTTTTGTTTTTTGAGATAGGGTCTTACTATTGGCTAGGCTGGAACTCACTCAGTAGACTCAAAGAGAAGATCTACCTGCCCCTGCCTCCAGTGCTGGGATTAAAGGCGTATACCACCACACCCAGCTCAAGCTTTTGTTAAAGATAGGTACAATTGGATTATAGTCTTCAGGTTCATCTGAACTTGGTGTCACCTTATTGTGATAACCTTGAGAGCATTTTCCACCAAGTTAGCCTCATATGTTCAGTAACATATCTTACTGAGGAAAGGATTCTCATTGTTCACAGGTCTGTTGGTCTTGCACACTGTCACATTCGCTTGCTAGATCATTTTAGATATTAGTCTGTTTACATAATGAGCTAACCTCACAGAGAAGCTCTGGAGTCTAAGATTGTTGTAAAAATTAATTTATTTGTGTTAATCTTGTATTGACAATAAAAATCTTTACTACTTTCTCAAACCTGGGTCTCTCGTCCATTCTGCCTGCCCTGTAGTAGAGCCAGGGCATTGTAAACTTAGTGCCTTTTGTTGTATCTTTCTGACATCATGTGTTTCATTAACAGGCTCTATCCTTTCTTTGCCTGCTTTGTTAGCTTTAACTTTGTTATCTTAGCTTTAATTAACTGGCCACAGTCATATTCATAGGCAATATGATTAACTGGCCACAGTCATATTCATAGGCAATATGAAAAGTCTAATATAGAATGTGCTCTATTCAGGAAAAACTGTCTTTCCAGAAACAGGCGAACAGTACCTTGACTGATGTAACACTGATGGAGATTGTTCAGCAGAAGGGGGTCTTTTCACATCTTGAATGGAAATGTTGGACATATAGTGCATATCGTATTGCCTGTTTCCAAAGCATAGATAAATAATTTAATAAAAAATATATACACATTGTATATTTAAGCCACATTTGAATAGGCTAGGATAAGGATTATAAAAAAAGATATACTGAAGAGTTTCAAAGTGATTACAGCCTACAGATAAATAAGATAGGTTTGGTCCTATGATATTCTTAACTACTGTTTGTACTTCAGAGCTTCTAAGTAGCTGGCGACAGTCAGGAGGTATTCTTGGTACTCAATGCTTAGAAGTTTGGCTGCCTCAGTGCTGTGGGGCAGGCTGTGGGGCAGGCTCTGTGTCGGGGTTCAAGTCGGCAGCATAGAAGAGCAGCAGCTTTAACAAATGCACTTTGTCTTGGAGCTGGGGGACTAGAGGTTCTCCCAGTATGTGGATCAGGCGGCTGCGGAAGGCCTCAATCTGCTTTTCCACGTCCACCACCGTGATGTCATCTCCTTGCTGGGGCTTGGGCTTGATTCTTTTGATGATCAAATCTTTCCGATCAATCACTGAACTCCGTAGGTGCTCTGCAAGAGGGAAGGGGTCAAATAAGTGCCTTTTGTACCTGGGGATTTAAAAGTTAAAGTCCAATTTTATAAGCAAGTCCTGGCTCCTGGCTATTAGGAGACAAGTCAAAAGGTCATGTGAGTTACTGTGGGAACTCCATTTCCTGAAGATTTGTGTTCTTGCCTCAACACTGATTGTCAAGAAAAATGTTGCCGGGTAAAGCAGTCATGACTAAATAGACCCTGTCTCCAAAAAAACAAAACCCAAACCCTAAAAGATATTTATTGTATGTGTGCCATGTGTGTGCAGGTGCCCAGAGGCCAGAAGGACATCAGATTCAAGTGGAGTTACAGTTTTGAGCTGCCTGATGGAGGTGCTGTGAACTGAACTGCAGTTCTGGAAGAGCAGTAAATGGTCTTACCTGCTGAGCAACCTCTCCAAGAAACTTTACATATTAAAAATATTCTAGTTTCTTTCATTTGACTTAAACAGTAATAACTCTGCACTAAATAAAACTATAATAACCACTTAGGGGGTTGGGGAATTTAGCTCAGTGGGTAGAGCGCTTGCCTAGCAATCGTAAGGCCCTGGGTTCGGTCCTCAGCTCTGAAAAGGGGAAAAAAACAAAACAAAACAAACAAAAAACCACTTAGGGAAAAATTCATGGGATTAATTTTTTTTTAAAAACTATTTAGTGTGTGTGTTTGGGTGTGCCTTTCATTGAGGGTGCTAAAAAATGCACACTCTATGCAGCTGTGTACTGTGGCCTGAAACTGCACCCTTTGACATCTAGTTATAAGGACTGGGGTACAGTTAAGTGGAAGGTGCTTGTCTAGCATGCAGGAGGCTTGGGTTTACTCTCTAGCACCACAACCCCAGACCCCTGAAGTTTTAGATGTAAGTATGAAACAGAAAAGACTTGTCTGCCCCCAGACAGGCAGGCTGAAATTCAGATACTGGTGAGAAAATTTACTACTTTTTCTCATACAAGAATAATCAATTCTAAGTTACAGATCACCAGCATTGTAGAGAAGAAGTGAACCTAGAAGCCTATGTTTAGCTCACCCTATAGTCCAGGATTTAGGAGGCCAAGGCAAGAGGATGGCCATGAGTTCAGGGCCAGCTTGGGCTAGAGACAGACTTAAAGTTAGTGCTAGTATTTAAAGAACGTCATGCACAGCATTCTTGTTTCCAGGGCTAAGCAGGTCATGAGGTCTCTTTACTTTCTATATGACATCACTGAGTTAAAGTCAACCTCAACATAAGCATGGGCAAGTAAAATTTCCTCATTACTATGTGAGGATAATCTACAGATACCATGATCAATAATGCAGCATGTATTTCCCAAGATCAAGGACATTTACTATTGTAACCTGGTGTAATAAGAATAAACAATATCAACACAATATATCACACTTCAGATTCCCCAGCTGTACCCTTCATTTTTGCAGTCCTGGGACTGAACACGTGGCCTTGCATGTGTTAGGCCAGCGCTTTATTGCTGATCCTCAGCCCTCCAATGCCACCTTTTTTTCTAATTTAGAATCCTGTCTAGGATCACATGTTATATTTAGCACTTACACGCTTTAGCTGCTCTTTAGTTGAGAACAGTACTTTTGAAAGAAAGGGACAGGCCATTCATTTATAAATGGTCTCTGTCCCAGCAAGTTTAAAATCAACTTGATTTGGGAGGAGGTACTCTGAATTGAGAAAATGCCTCTATAAGATTGGACTGTAGGGCATTTTCTTCAGTGACCAATGTGGGTGATGCCAGCACTAGGCAGGTTCCTGGGTGTTATGAGGATGCAGGGTGAAGCCGGACATGGTGCCACACACCTCTAATCCCAGCATGTGCAGGTGGGTCTAAATTAGAGGCCAGTCTGGTCTACAAAGCAGAGTTCCAGGACAGCCAGGGCTGTTACACAGAGAAACTCTGGTGGTTGGGGGAGGCTGAGTAAGGTAGGGAAGCATGTCAGTCAACAGCAGCAGCAGCACTCCTCCATGACCTCTGCTTCAGTTCCTGCTTCCCAGTTCCTCTGGATGATGGACTGTGATAGGAGGCATAAGTGAAATCAGCCCTTTCCTCCCCAAGCTGCTATTGGTCATGGAGTTCTATCCCAGCAACAGAAACCCTGACTAGGACAGCCAGGCTATGGGAAGAATAGCATGTGAGGCTGTGTTCTCCATCCAACATGTCCGGGGGAAATGCCCCGTTTCTCCCGTGATGTCACTATTTTTGTCAGTCGTGGTGGTGTACTCCTGTAAACCTAGCACCTGGGGAGCTTGAGGTAGAACCTGGGATACATAGTAGGTCTCAGACCATCCTGAAATACAAAACAAAGTCCAATCTCAAAGAAGAAAAAAAAAATATGTACTTAGTACTGTGTTTACAAACTTTCTTAGCGACAAGGTCTGTATTGCAGGCTAGCCTTAACTTGCTAAGTAGCCAAAGGTAACCTTGAATTTCTGATTCTCCTAGAATTCTCCAACTGAATGCTAGTTTATGCTGTGTTGGGACTGAACCCAGGGCTTCATGAATGTTTGGAAAGTACTCAGCCAACTGAGCTATCGTCTTAGTCTTTCTAATCCTTTATTAATTTGCCATTTCTTCAGCTTTACCAAGGTCCTCAATAATCCCTAATGAAATCATTCTTACTTGATGAAGTTATTCAACCATGATCCTTGCCAGCATGTGCAGCCTGCATGCTACCCCGTCTAACTCTCCCAGCAACTCTGAACAGCACTATTTCATAGACTTTAAGGTTTCCCTGTCCGCAGCACTGGGGATTGAACCCAGGGACTCACACATTCAAGGCAAATGCTCTAACCCTGAGCTGCAATCCCATCCATTTTAAAGATGTATGTCCATCTTGCTGCAGATATGCTCTATATTTGTACTTTACTGACAGCTGTTTATAATATTGCTAGTCTGTGAATAACTGACTCAACAAAGGTGCTGGAGAAGCCAGGGTTCTCATGATAGGATGGTTTTTGCTTATCTACAGAACCTCATAACTAGGAGGACCACTGTATTACCATCAGCTGTAACAAAATAAGAACTTTTCTCATCACAGTGATTCCAGCTGTGCTCCCTGTACTTGTAATCAAGGAATAATGCTTTAAATTTTTGATTTTGTTATTATTATTGGTTTTTTGAGAGAAGGTTTCACTGTGTAGCCCTAACTGTCCTAGAACTCACTCTGTAGACCAGGCTAGCCTCTAATTCACAGAGATCCACCTGCCTCTGCCTCCTGAGTGTGGGATTAAAGGTGTGCACCACCTGATGTGGAGCAACCCTTTCTACACTATGAATATGTATTACTCTCATTGGTTAATAAAAAGTTGACAGGCTGGTAGCTGGGCAGGAAGTTAGGCAGGTAAGCCAAACTGAGAAGGATGGGAAGAAGGAGGGCAGAGTCAGGGAAGATGCCAGCCAGCTGCCCAGGAAGCAAGACATGCTGGTGGACAGGAAAGCCATGAGCCACGTGGCAATACAAAGATTAATAGAAATGGATTAATTTAAGTTGTAAGAGCTAGTTAGTAACAAGCCTGAGCTATCAGCTAAGCATTTATAATTAATATAAGCCTCTGTGTGGTAATTTGGGAAGCAGCTGCTGGGTATTTGGGAGCAGGAGATCAGGACAAGGAATGTCCGATTATACCACCTGGCTTCTTATTTCTATCCCCAACCCCTCCCTGAGACAGGGTTGCTCTGTGTAGTTTTGGTGCCTGTCCTGGATCTTGCTCTGTATTCCAGGCTGGCCTCAAACTCACAGAGATCCACTTCCCGAGTGCTGGGGTTAAAGGCATGCGCCACCAACACTTGGCTCGTTTCTATTTTTAAAAGTTAAAAAAAATTATTTTTATTTTATGCACGGATGTTTTGCTTGCATCTCTATTACCACATATGTGCTATGACTATGGAAGACAGAAGAGGGCACTGGGTGTCCTAGAATTGGAGTTACAGTTGTTAGTTACCATGTGGGATCTAGGAATGAACCTGGGTCCTCTATAGGAACAGCAAGTGCTCTTAATCATTAAGCCATCTTTCCAGCTGGTATTATTATTACTTTTTTTGAGACACACTATTACTATGTAGCCTTCAACTCTTCATCCTTCTGCCTCAGCTTCCTGGGTGCTGGGATTACACCAGTGTCACCAACAAGTGAGAATGATCTGAGACTTCTCACAGGACCTCCTTGTGAGCAAGTGCCCCTTACCTCTCAGCACATGCTGATAACTGGACAGCAGGAACTGCAGATGCTCAACCAGCTCATCCCATGTCTGCCACTGGGCTTTATCTGACTGCAGAGATAGTAAAAGCAGCAGGTAATGAATGCTTGTCCAGTTAAAAGTCCCAGTTACAGCACAGTTTCCAAAGCTCTTCCATGATGCCCAAACAGCAGGATTAGGGGAAGTGCTCTGGGCGAGGAGCTGAAGCAGAAAGGAAAGTACCTGACACTTGAGCAGTGATGTGGAGTTGTTCAGAAAATAGAGGGCCTGGGCCAGAGACAAGGGAAGCCGGGTGGGCGTCTCACAGCTGTGGAGGAATATGATCTCTAACACTTTGCAGCGTAGAAGATGGCTTTCCATAGTAGTAAAGAACATCTCCCTGTGTGGAGAGGAGGGAGTTAGACAGAAGGACATTCAAAGAGCACATGGCACGGTTTGCCCTGAATGTTTTGACATAATGGATGTTAGCATTTAGGCATCTGTACTGGCCTGCTAACAGTATATATTGGGTCCTAACAGTATATAACCTCAGCTGCAGCCACTAAGAGCACCCCTTGTGTGCATTCGCTATGTTTCCTTATAAAAGGTGGGCCTTGTACACCTCCCGTGTGTGTGTGTGTGTGTGTGTGTGTGTGTGTGTGTGTGTGTGTGTGTGTGTGTGTGTGTGTGTGTGTCTTTCTCTTTACCTTCCTTGTCCCCAGGGACTGGTCCCTGCCCCCTTCTCTGCCCCTTCTCTCTCCCCTTCTCCTCAATAAACCTCCTACATGGGCCCTGTTGTATGGTATGACTCCTTCCTACCCTTTTTAAAATGCAACAATGGAGGTCTACAAAACCATATGCTATAGACAGAAATGGATTTGTTCATGAAGTAGTAACTTACAGGATGAGGGAACAGTCTGACATTTGAAAAACAAAAAAAGGTATGCTGGTGCACACCCAGGGAGGGAGGCAAGGGAGGCGCTAGAGGCTGGCCAGTCATGGACTGAACTCAGGGCCTGTGCTTCAGTATGTTGTCTACCACTGAGATGAACCCTTGACCTAAAGTTCCTAATGCTTTTCATCAGAGATGATATACTCGAGGTAAGCAGAACATCTTTAAAATACATAAAGTACTTAGCAAATTAGGAACTGTATTCAGCAAAAATAGTGAAATAAAAACAAAATCAAGATAAATAAAACAATGTAGCAAACCAGGCATGGTGGCGTATGCCTTTAATCCTAGCACTCCAGTCAGAGGCAGGAGGATCTCTGTGAGATTAAGGCCAGCCTGGTCTACAAAGCTAGTTACAGGACAGTCAGAGCTGTTCTGCACAGAAACCCTGTTTCACCCCACTCCAAACAACAACAATGTTGTTCTCTTGCCTCAGGCTTGAGAGTTGAGATCACTGGCTTCAAACACCAGGCCCAGCTCTCATTATTTTTTATTTCACAATATATCCTGGAAATCAGTTAATAGAAATTTCCTTTTTTATATAGCTACATAATGTTCCATCATATAATAGGTATTTATCCTAGCCTGTGTATGGGCATTGGTTGTTCCCAATATTTTGCAATTGTGAATATCACTGTAGTGAATATCCTCATGCACATGTTTCATTATTTATCCCAGCACTCAGGAGGCAGAGGCCAGCAGATCTCTGAGTTCAAGGCCAGGCTGGTCTCTAGGGATACACAGAGAAACCCTGTCTTGAAAAACAAAGAAAGAAAGATAAACTCTAGAATGCACGTGTAGTTCTGTTAGACACTGCCAAATACTCCTACATGTCTCTCTAAGGCTCATATCATTTTTATTCTCATAAGCAATGAATAAGCACCTGTTTTCTCATAACCTCTTTAATAGAGAATATTATTGGTCTTTAAGTTTTTTACTGTGTAGGTAGGTAAGAAATGGCATCTTGGTGTAGTTTTTACTTTTTAAAAATATGAAATTGAACATCATAGGAGAATAAAATTACAGACTATTATCCTTTATAAACATAGATGTAAAAGCCTTAAATATTAGCAACATGAATTCATCAATATCAACATATTAAAAGGATAGCATGCACTGGGTTGTGGTGCACACTTTTAATTCCAGCACTTGGGAGGCAGAGGCAGGCATATTCCTTTGAGTTTGAGGCCCACCTAGTCTACAGTGCTAGTTCTAGGACAGCCAGGGCTATACAGAGAAACCCCGTCTAACCACCCCACCTCAAAAAAAACCAACCAACCAACCAACCAACCAAACAAAAACCCAAACCAAACCAAACCAAACCAAAAAACCCAACCAACCAACCAAAAGAAATGACAGCATGCAACCAAGTAGGGTTTTGATTCCTGGCATGTAAAATTAATTAAACTTTATTTTTATTTATTTATTTTTTAAAAGATTTATTTATTTATTATGTATACAGAAGAGGGTACCAGATCTCATTACAAATGGTTCTGTGCCACCATGTGGTTGCTGGGAATTGAACTCAGGACCTCTGGAAGAGCAGCCAGTGCTCTTAACCTCTGAGCCATCCCTCCAGCCAGCCCCTAATTAAACTTTAAGAAATTAATTAGCAGCCGGGCGGTGGTGGCGCACGCCTTTAATCCCAGCACTCGGGAGGCAGAGCCAGGCGGATCTCTGTGAGTTCGAGGCCAGCCTGGGCTACCAAGTGAGTTCCAGGAAAAGGCGCAAAGCTACACAGAGAAACCCTGTCTCGAAAAACCAAAAAAAAAAAAGAAAAAAAAAAAAAAAAAAAAAAAAAAAAAAAAAAAAGAAAAAAAAAAAAAAAAAAAAGAAATTAATTAGCATAATTCCCCACATGAAGAGAAGAGGAAAAATTATGATTATCTTAATAAATGCTGAAATCCTCCATTATTTATTCTTTAGAAAAGTACCAGTCAAGTAGAAACAGAACTTCTCAGTCTGACAACAGGTGCCTACAGACATCTATAACTTACATGTAATGCTCAGGACTAAATGGTTCCCTGAGATGAGGAATGAGGCCAGGATGTCTGCTCTCACCATTTCTCTAACACTCTACTTGGAAGTCTTGGTGGAGTAAGGCAAGAGAAACAGGCAAAGTCATACAGACTGGAAGGGAGGATGTCAACCTCCGTCTGCAGACATGAGTATATGGAGAGAGGGCTAAGACAATCACAAAGAGACAAAAGTCCTATTAGAATAGGTGAAGGTGTCAAGTGTGCAAGATTTTCTTTTTTAAAACATTAAGGAAACCATCTTCCATCTTTATTTTTTTTTAACATTTCTTATTAACTTTGTCTGTGTCTGTCTTCATGCCATGGCATGCGGGTGGCAGTCACAGGACACCGTGTTGGGACTCAGTTCTTTCCTCCCACTGTGCGGGTCCCAGTGATTGAACTCACACTGGCAGGCTTGGCAGCAGGTACCTGTACCTACTGAGCCATCCCGCCAAGGCTGCAAGATTTTATATACTGCCAGCAAGCCACTGGAAAATGACAGGTCAGGCTTTGTCAGGACTCATGAATACTACCTGTGTAAACCTGTGTAGTTTAACAGTTAAAAAAAAGATAACTACAAATTATACCCGAATTAATAATGAATCAAAGTAAACGGTACTTCATGTATCTTCTAGTATAATTTGGGTGGGTGGTCAATTTACCCCTTCTGAGAAAAACTTAGTGTTAGCTTTTATTTATTTTTGTCTATTCCAAGTCTAAGCTTGAAGGATGACTTGTTAATCAAATTGCTATGGTAGGGAGATTCAGGATGCCTTGACGGTATCCTGCTTCTTCCCAAGGAATTACGCCTTGACTGCACATCGATTATTTGGGAACCTCCTCCTTTCATCTCAAAGACATAAGTAGTTCTCCTACCCCTTTCTTCCTTTTTCAATTAGTTTGTGGTTTTTTTCTCTTAAAATTCTGTTTCTGGCAGGCAGAGATTTCAAAAAAAAAAGTTAATTAAAAAATGGCTTTTTAGTTCTCCTTTTACTGGAGAAATCAACCCAAACTAAAACAAACCAATCCCACTAGACTTACCTCTGACTCCTCTCAGGGATGTCCAGCACAAACCCAAACATCATCTCAGCTATTTTATTGGAGCTGCAGGTAGGAGTCCTGTCCACCTCCACAGCGATGGACAACATCCTCTGAAGCTGACACACAACCCTGGATCCAGAGCACAGGATACAAGTGAGTGGGAAGACTTGGTGAGAGGCTTCCTGAAGCTGGAGGTCCCCACCAGTGTATCCCAAGAACAGACTGCTGGGTGTGCAGGTGCATGCCTTTAATTCCAGCACTCAGAAAACCTCTGAGTTCAAAGCCAGCCTGGTCTACACAGTGAATTTCAGGCCAGCCAGAGTTACATGGTTAGACTCTCTCACAAACAAAACAAACCAAAACAAAACCAACAAGCAAACAGCAACAACACAAGGACAGAGACTATTAGAGGGTCAGCAAAACACAACAGGCCAGGGAGAGTAATCAAGTTATTAGCTGGCTCTCAGTGAGCAATTCATCCATCTGAATCCCTTTGCCAGATCATATGTGAACCTTTCAGAATTTGAGGGTGAAATAAGCAGAAGCACACAATCCTAAGGGTCTAGAGAACTTAAGACACTGTAATGTCCCTACTTTGTAAATGAAGAAACAGGTCCAAAGTGACTAACTTTATTTTAATTTCTTTGTTATGGGAGAAGACAAGCATCTGCCATTAAATTTTTAAAAATTTTAAATTAATTACTTTTATGCATGAATATTTTTCAGGCAAGTATGTCTACATGCCACATACTGTGTCCTGGTGTCCTAACAGGTCAAGAGGGCTCTAAATCCCCTGCAACTGGAGTTACAAGTGGTTGTGAGCCACCATGGGGGTGCTGGGAACTGAACTGGGTGGGTCCTCAGGAAGAGCAGCAGTGCTCTTAACTGCTGAGCCATCTCTGTAGCCCTACCATGTAATTTTCCTATTCCTGGTTTCTTTATGACACAGTAGTTCTTACCAAGACTAGTTTCAGAATGTCCACCGCTAGACTTTCACCTTCTCTCCCTTCAGACACAAATATGGGAGAGAGGCAGAGACGCGGCTGGGAATCTTGGGCAACACTTCAGAAGGGTGAGTCTGGCTTACTAGTCATTTAAATAGGTATTTGATGGAAGGGCATTGTTTTCAGAGGAAACGGCAGACAGTGGCAAATAATGGACAGATTCTGGCCTACAATGATAGGTTGTAAGTTACTATGTTATCTCTGTCCAAATCTAATCAAGTTTGTTTTTTTTAAACATGAGAACAGTTTTATTAGAGTTTGAGAGAAAACAACAGGACAGGCAAGCTAGAGGTCTTGAGCGGCCGGGAGTTGAGAGATGGATCAGACTAGAAGTCAAGGAGCAGGAAGGGGGTGTCCCCAAAGGGAGCAGGTGCCCAGTGTCGGGGAAAGCAGGCTCAGGACTTTGGTTAGTGTCCACAAAAGGGAGCTGGAAAGGGGAAGTGACACCGAATGAGAACTGGAAGGTGCAGGCATGGAGGCTTAGCAGTGAGGACCTGTAAGCAGCAGCCCTCCCTTCCTTTCTGCTGGTGGAATCCAGGTCCTAAAGCATGCCACACAAGGATCCTATCATCATTACACTCCTAGTCCAGACTAAGTCTTTAGTGAGATTCAGTCTATGTTACAGAGGTTGGTAATCTGGGGCAAGCTGCTCTTTGGGACTGGTTCCACTCTTTAAATACCAACTCTTTGCAGCCCTGGAAGACAGCTCTTTGTTTGCTCCTTACAGCTGATTGGTGTTCCTGGTCAGGTTAGGATGGGGAGACAAGTGGTCACTGCTAGTTTTCAAGACTCCTGCTCCTGAAGAGGTCTGAGTCCCATCTGGGGGCTGTGTTAATTCATTTTCAGTCACTGCTTTGACCAGCCACTTGATAACATCTCTGGAACACAGAAGAGGCGAGAAAGAAAAGTTTGCACTGCTCTTGCACCTATAGTGTTCAGACCTGCATCTCACACTGGACTCCCAGACCAGGAGGTCCCTCCAAAGGCAGCCAAGGACCTTCAGGCTGTTTTTTTTTTTAATTTTTGTTTTTTTTTTTTTTGAGACAGGGTTTCTCTGTGTAGCCTGGAACTCTCTCTGTAGACCAGGCTGACCTCTAACTCACAGAGATCCTCCTGCTCTGCCTCCCGAGTGCTGGGACTAAAAGTGTGTACCACCACTGCTCGGCTATTTTCAAAATTTAAATAAGTCTAATGAAAATCACACATTTAACTGCAGCCTGATTATAAAAGCAAACTGAAATACAAACATTTTTCTTTTTTCTTCTTTTGTGGTACTGAAGACTGAGCCTAGGACCTCGTGTATGCATGCCAGCCAAGCACTCTACTACTGGGCTGTACCTCTAGCCTCCAACACTTTCCTAGAAATTATTATATATTAGTTGTGTTTTACCATTGTGTGGTAAATACCTGACAGAAATACCTTAAGGGAGGAAGGCTTTATCTCAGCTCACGGTTTTAGAGGGTTCAGCCAATGGGTGCTTGAACCCGTGCAGTCAGGCAGAAACATCCTGGAAGGGGAGCATGGGGCAGAGGCTGTTCTTCACTTCTTAGTAGATAAAAAACAGAAAAGGGGAATGTAGGAAGTGGCCAGTATGAGTATGTGGCCCTACTTCCCCCAATCAGTGTACTATGAATTCATAAAGGAATTAACACATTCATTAGGGCAGAGCCCCCAAGATCTAACGATCTCTGGAAACACCATCACAGCCCACTGAGGTGTGCTTTACTAGTCCATTCAACTGGACAATCAAAAGTGGCTACCATAAATTGTAATTACAGAAAAGCACCTCTGGGGCAAAGATGACTTTCTGACCAGCAATTCTACCTAGAGGTGGAAAGCAGGACTAGGTGAGAGGTGGGTCATCTATGAAGGCAAGAACTAGGGCTGGAGGATGTGCAGTTGGACATACTTCACATGGGGCTCAGGCACTATCAGTAAGGTGGAAACAGCTCATATTGTTAAGATTTATTTTGTTGTTGTTTTTTGTTTTCCAGACAGGGTTTTTCTTGGTAGCCTTGGCTGTGCTGGAACTTGCTTTGTAGACCAGGCTGGCCTCAAACTCACAGAGATCTACCTGCCTCTGCTTCCCAAGTGCTTCCCAAGGCGTGCTCCACCACTGCTCAGCCCTAAAATTTATTTTGATGATTACTAATTGCTTAAGTAACCAAGTTTAAAAAAGTTGTATTGAATACACACACTTAATTGTTTCCCTCCTAAAACCACAGTAACACTAGAGAAAATAAAATTGTAGAGTACTGATTTGGGTGCAGTGGTGCACACCTTTAATCCCAGCACTCGGGAGGCAGAGGCAGGCAGATCCAGCCTGGTCTACACAGTGAATTCCAGGCCAGCCAGGGCTACATAGAAAAACCATGTCTTAAAAAACCAACAACAGCCAGGTGGTGGTGGCGCACCTTTAATCCCAGCATTCGGGAGGCAGAGGCAGGTGGATCTCTGTGAGTTTGAGGTCAGCCTGGCCTACAGAGCGAGATCCAGGAAAGGTGCAAAGCTACACAGAGAAACCCTGTCTCGAAAAACCAAAAAAAAAAAAAAAAAAAAAAAACAACCCCCCCCCCAAAAAAAACCCCAACAACAAAAAAAGGAATCAGAGACCCAAATAACCAAAACAACCCCACTCCCCTGCCAAAGGCAACTAACTTGGGGAAAACCGATGTTATGCACAAAATCAGAGAACAATTACCAAAGATAAGAGATGTGTGAGCTCCAGCCCCTTTCTATTATTTTTCTCTATAAATTATTACTGATGAAATTTAGACAGCTTTATTTTTTAATCTTAGGTGTTTGCTCATTTTATCTATATGTATGTCTGTGTACCACATATGTATGTGCCTGGTGCCCATGGAGGCTAGAAGGTGGTGTCCTATCTTCTAGAACTGGAGTTATTTATGTTTTTGAGTTGTCATGTGGATACCAGGAATCGAACCCAGGCCCTTTAGAAGGGTAGCCAGTGCTCCTAACCACTGAGCCATGCCTCCAGCCCCGCTTCTGATTTCTAAATATATATATATGTGCTTTATTTGCATGTATACCTTTGTGACAGAAGAGGGCATCAGATCCCATTATAGATGGTTGTGAGCCATTATGTGGTTGCTGGGAATTGAACTCAGGACCTCTGGAAGAGCAGCCAGTGCTCTTAACCTCTGAGCCATCTCTCCAGCTCTGCTTCTGATTTCTTAACAGCACTTCTGACAGCTAGAAGACAATTTCTTCAAAGTTCTGCACAAAATTTATTTCTAAATATCTAAACTAAACTAAAAGTAATCAGCCTACTTATTAGTCAATACACAAGAGAAAAAAGATTTTCAGACATATGAGATCTCAAAACTTTTACTTTCCATATAATCTTCAGAACAAGGGAGTAATCCCCACTACTTAGACACATTTTCAGTTCAGTTCTTTTGATTGTCCACAGTTTTGTTATTGATCCAATTTATGGTATTTAGCAATGAGGAAAATCTCATCCCCTTGTAGTCTCTGGGTTCATGAGTGACTGAGAACACTAGCAGATTAGTGTGTCTGTGAGAGAACTTCCTAAAACAATTATGCCTCACCATCACGAAAGCTCTTCTCTAATGTTGGTCCAATCTACCGATGAATTCAAAATCTGAGTAGATTGTTGGGAGAAGGTCAAACTGTGGAAGGGGAGAGCCTAGCTGGAAAAGTGGATCATTGGGAATAGGGCCTTGGGGATGCATGCTGCTTTGGCCCCTTCCTTACTAATCTCCTTTGTTTCCTGGCTGCCATGAGCTGAATAGCTCTGCTCCTGCTATGACAGATGAAAACCCCCAAAATGATGACCTTAAATAAACCCCCTTTCCTTGACTTTTCATACACTGTCAGTGATGAACTAACACACTTGTTACACACTACAGTCCCTATTCTTGTCATACCAGAGGGCTAACAGCTCATTACCTGACGTTGTGGGGCTGTTTGTCACACGAAAGAACAGTGTTTGCAATGGATTGCTGGAGGTGCTGCCGCTGTCTCCTCAAGATCTGCTGGAAGTCATCTTCCAGGGTTTGTACTACATAACGTAGAAAGAGGATTCGTCCTGGAAGAGTCTGTCCCTGTGGAAGAATGAATAAGTCAGGCTTGCTTCTCAGTCTCTTGAAGACAGGAAACCATAGGCTGTCACAACCCAAAGTCCAAGAAAATGCCATGAGTCAGAAAGTCTGTCTATCAAAGAGAGGTTGTGGGAGACAGCAGGTACTGAGTCACGGCAATAGAAACTATCAACTGCTTTGTAGAGTGTTGTACCGCTTGCATTCTCACCAACAATGACACAGACTCATTCCTCATAGTCTTGCCTAAAAATGTAAAATAGATACCAGATCAAATTTCTATCTTAGCCCTTTTAAAGTAGTGTTAGAGTTTGAATGTGCGTCCTCTACACGCTCATGTTTTGGAGGATAACACCTCAGCTGGTGTTCTTTTAGGAGGTTTGGCACCTTAGGAGATGAGGCCTAGGTGGATTGAAACAGGTCACTGGGAGCATGCCTTGAAAGGACGTATCTTGATCCAGCCCCTTCTCCTGCTGTTTGAATGCTTTTAAGTGAGTGATTTCCCCTCACTGCCACCCTTCTACTGGGGTGTTTGACTCATTACAGTTTGGACTGAAATCTGAGACCAAAAGCCCAAATAAATCTGCCCTTTTAAATTCTTTCAAGTATTTGTCACTGTGAGGACAATCCTGATACAACTATCAGCTTATTCATAGTCATGCACAAGGATCCAAAAATCGGTCATCCTGCAAAACGGAGCTGCACTGAGATAAAAATTCTTCAATGGAATGTCCCAGAATGCCTTTAGTATCCAACTTCCTCCAACCAGTACCAACCTCCTCTAATGCCACCACTATGAACCCACCAATGGACTAAAAGCCCTCATTCAGTCACCCTTTGTTTTGTTTTGATACAGGGTCTCTGTGTATTGCTGTCCTGGAACTCACTCTGTAGACCAGGCTAGCCTTGAACTCAAAGATCCACCTGCCTCCCCAAATGCTGGGATTAAAGGTACACACCACCTCTGCCCTCTATTCAGTCACCTTTTATCTACAAGCTGGGGACAAAGCCTTTAACATGTGAGGAGGTGGTAGTTATATATATATTATATATAAAAATATAAATTTTCATGATTTACTCATGGCAAGATATACATGTCTAAAAATTTATCCATTTCTTATATATTATCTTTTTTTTGGCATATAGTTGTTTAATCTCTAATCTTTTTTTTTTTTGGTTTGTTGAAACAGGGTTTCTCTGTGTAACAGCCCTGGCTGTCCTGGAACTCACTTTGTAGACTGTTGGACCATGGGCCTGGGTACCAGGTGTTTCCAAGGTCTAATCAGCAAGAGGGAGGTCTTTTGATCCATCCCTTGGCATTGTTATAGACCTTTGGATAAGGATCCAGGCCCACCTAAGTCTATCCTGTGTTTTCTTTCTCCCTCTATTTTTAACTAAGTCTCTTATCCCTCATTTTTCAAGAGTTTCTGGGGTAAATAAATGTGGGGGCTGGTCTCCTACAGTAGACTAGGATGTCCTCGAATTCACAGAGACCAGCTTGCTTCTGCCTCTCGAATGTTGGGATCAAAGGCGTGTGCCACCACCCCCGGCTCCTCTAATGATCTGTTTATCTTCTTTTTCTTAAGTCTAGCTAACAGCTTTATTTTTATAGTTTTTAGAGAATGAACTCTTAGGTTGTGACCTTTTTTTGGAATTAGGTATTTGAAGAAAGTACCTTTTCTAGTATGTACAGATTGGATTTATTTAGGGTAAGACATTTAGCAATCAGTATGGCTTGAAATTCTGGACCTGTCCCTTTTTTAGTAATACCCACTTTAGGCATGTACATGTACTGTCCTTATTCTGTTTTGTGTATGTGGTGTGTGTATGTGTACCCATGCACTTGCAGGGAGGGCAGAGGAAGACATCAGGTGCCCTGCTCTATCACGTTGTCTGATCCCCATGGTCTCTCACTTAACTTAGAAGCAGGCTGATGGCATGCAAGTCCCAGTAATCCTCTTGTCTCTGCCCCCACAGTGCCAGGGTTATAGGTGTATATAGTCACACCCATCTTTTTACATGGATGCAGGGGATTTGAATTCAGGGACTCATGCTTGCACAGTAAGTACTTTTACCTACTGAGCCTTCTTCCCAGCCTCATGCACTATATTTAAAAAACTTTTTGTGCTGGGCGGTGGTGGTACACGCCTTGATCCAAGCACTCAGGAGGCAGAGGCAGGCAGGTTTCTGAGTTCAAGGTCAGCCTGGTCTATGGAGTGAGTTCCAGGACAGCCAAACCAAACCTTATTGTTTAAATATTAATCATATTTATATGAGTGTCTATGCATGCACACATGCACATATCTATACATCTGTGGAAGTCAGTTTTCTTCTGCCGTGTGGGTTAAGGGGATTAAACTCAGGCTGTCAGCCTTGACACCAAGTCCCTTTCCCTGGTGAGCCATCATGCTGTTCCCCATATACCATGCTTTTAAGTGCATATTTAGCATTCCATGATCTATATGTGGCAGTTAAAGGCCAGAGGATAACTTAAGAGTCCTTTCTTCTCTTCCACTTTGTTGAAACAGGTTCTCTCTTTTTGGTTTTTCAAGACAGGATTTCACTGTGTAACAGCCCTGGCTGTCCTAGAATTCTCTTTGTAGGCCAGGCTGGCCTCGAACTCACAGAAATCTGCCTGTCTCTGCCTCCTGAGTGCTGGGATTAAAGGCTTGCACCACCACACCCAGCCTGAAACAGGTTCTTTGCTGATCTGTTTATTCCAACGTACCTAACCTGACATCTCTTAGGGGATGCTGTCTCCTCTCAACTCACTATGCTCACTACAGGAGTGCTGGGATTACAGATTTGCAAACTGCAATGAATTTTTAACATAGGTTCAGGACATCATGATGTTACCTACTGAACTATCTTGCTAGCCTCCATGTAGTGTACTTTTGACTGTCCTAATTTCCCCAAGTGGCTTGCTTCTCTCAGCGCTCTCTTGCTTCCCCTGGTGTCTGTCTATGGAATTGCAGACACTATCGGTAGTTCTGATACTTGACATTACCGCCTGTTTTCAAACCATTCTATTGTTTTTGCCATGCTCTGACGCAGGCAGGACAAAAACTAATCTCTTGAGCAGCTCCCAGACAAACTGGCACACTTGGGGTATGGGAAATCTGTTTCTAAGGAGGAGCTGGGAATGAGTGGTTCCTTTCTGGATGTAGCTTGTTACATTGAGTAAGGGGAAGTACCTGAGCATGGTAAACACTACAAAATGGCTACCTCTATTGATGGAACACCTTCATGGTCATGAGTTAGACTGTACTCTGCAGCTACTCTATAGTCTCTGAAGTTCTCACAAGTCTTGTAGTCCATATGTTGTCTGGTGGTTTGAATAAGATGTCCCCCCATAAGTCTCAGGCATTTGAATACTTGGTCCCTAGTTGGTGGTTGTTTGGGAAGGCCTTGGAGGAGGTGTGTCACTAGGGGTGGACTTGAGGTTTCAAAAGCCTCCCACTATTCCTAGTCTCTGCCTCCTGCTCTTGGATCAAGATGTGAGCTATCAGATGTTCCTGCCATCAGGACTTGGCTCGGTTATCATGGACTCTAACTCTCTGGAACCGTAAGTTACTCGTACCTTACAAGAGTTTTAATGTGGTCATGTCTTAAGCTTTATTGTGCACATGGGATTGAGTTATTTATCACCAGGAAAACTTTCCTCCAAGGTTGTGCTCTGCTTAAATATGCCTAACTACCAGGTGTCAGACTCTCGAAGTTTGAAACAATGCCAGAAATTGAGTCATGTTGAACCAAATTTCCTTCTTGCCTCCCCTGGATCCACATTCTGCTGGCCTTGGTGTATGCAGAGACTTCTTCCCCACTCTATGTGGTGTTTTTGGATGAATGTGGACAACTTTGAAATTTTCAACTAAAAAAGTGACTAAATGCTGTAAGTTTAATGGGCCTTAATGTAAGTAGGAGCCTGGCAGATGGTGCAGAGCCATGTGGACTTTGGAGGCCCACTCAGAGGTTTCAGGGGAACAATATTTGCAGCTGGGCTAAAGACTGTTCTTGTGATATTCTGGCAAAGAACATGGCTGCTTTTTGACCTTGTCCTAAGAATTTGCCTGAGGCCAAATTATGAAGTATTAGTTTCCTTGAAAGACATTCCAAGACAGTCCAATATTCACTCTGTGTTGTGTTATGACTCTATTCAAGTCTACAATGATGAAAGGCAAGTGGGGCAGGAAGAAATACAAAATGTCCAGTTTGACAACAAGAGCAGCATCCCAGGAAATTTAAATTGGAGCTAGCTTGTGTGAAAGACATGAGGAGATTAAGGCCTGACCACATTAGAATGAAGGGACACCTTGATGGAAGACCCCACCCAGCTAAGCTTCTGGCTTTTGAAAAGACAAGAGGAATTTTCTGTTCCTAAAAACTGCTGCAAATATGATTCAAGGGGCCACACTCCATCTCAAGCAAGCAGCCAAAGTTGGCATTGTTGCCCATGTAGTTCTGGCTTTCGAGTCATGAAGGACACATGAGTAAAAGGGTTGTGCAATCTTCCTCCACAGTTAAGGAGAGCTGCTGAGACCAGTTATGTGGCAAGGGAGTCCTTACACAGAAGCCCTGAGAAGTTATTGCACAAAGCTGTAAAAGTGAAGCCTGGACTGCATTGGAAACCCCAAAATATTGGAGATGCAGGAGCCATTAGACATCTATCTGCCAAGGGGAACTGAATACAGGGAGTAGGACCAGCACAAGAGAGAAGTATGTTGCAGGCAGCAAAGCCAGAAGGGTGGAGTCATCTAGCTCTTTGACATTAGACATGAGATAAAGGATTTGGAGTTTGCTCTGCTGTTTCCCTGTGGTCCAGCACTTCCCACTCTGCCCTATTTCCTCCCTTTTGGAATCGTAATGTTATTCTGTATCATAGTAGAGAGAAGTATATAATGTGCATTTTGAGTTTATAGAGGGTTACAGTTACATCATAAGAGATGTTAGACTTTAAACAATGGTGAGATTTTAAGACTATGGGGCTTTTGAAGTTTTGCATTTTGCATTATGATGTGGCCATGAGATTATGGGGCCAGGGAGTGGAATGTGGTGGTTTGAATGAGATTGGCCCCCATAGGTTCATATATTTGAATACTTGGTTTCCAGTCAGTGGGACTACTTGGGAAGGATTATAAGGTGTGACCTTGTTGAAGGAGGTGTCTCACTGTGGGTGGTCTTATGGCTTCCTGTTTGTGGATCTAGATGAGTTTTCAGCTGTTGCTCTAGTGCCATGCTCCTTGCCATGATGGTGATGGGCTCTTATCCTCTGAAACTGTATGCCATAAATAAACCCTTCCTTCTTTTTATTTTACTTGTTTTTCAAGACATAGTTTCTCTGTATAACAGCCCTGGCTGTCCTGGAACTCGCTTTGTAGACCAGGCTGGCCTTGAACTCAGAGATCACCTGCCTCTGCCTCCCAAAAGGCGTGTGCCACCATGCTCTAAATTCTTCCTTTTAAGTTGTCCTTGGTCATGGTGTTTAATCACAGCAATAGAACGGTAACTGAGACCTGTTGCTGACACAGTGTCTATTGGACAGCAAGGGCCTGGAGCATCTTACTTGGCCATCTTGTTGATGTCTCTATTACTGTCATTATACCTTGTTATTCCATGTCATTCTGGAATTACTGCTCCCTTGGTTTTCTAGTCAATATCATTTTGGAATTTTTCTTTAATATTCTTTTGGATTCCATCTTGTGCTCCTAGGATCCCATATTTCCCCTTTTTGGGGCACTCAACCTCCTGAGAAACAGAGTATGAGAGTATACTTTCAAGTTCCTGCATATCTGGAAATTTATTTAATGGGTATGACTATTTTGCCTGCATGTATGTATATACCACATGTGCTTCGGTTGCCCACAGAGGTCAAAAGGAGTCAGATCCCTTGCAACTGGAGTTACAGATGGATATAAGCTACCTCGTGGGTGCTGGGAATTGAATCTGGGTCCTCTGCAAGACCAGTCAGTGCTCTTAACCACTGAACAACCTTTCCAACCCACATCTTTATTTCATCCTCATACCTAACTCATAGTTTGTCTGAGTATAGAATTTGAAGTAAAAAGTCACTTGCTTGATTACTTCAGGGTGAGCGGATAAAATAACTCCAGCAGTTAAAGTTGGATGTCACTAAAGACAGAATGTGGAATTTTTTTTTTTTAACTAACTTTATAGCATCTGCTTTTGCTTATTACAGATGGTTCATGCCGTTTCTTTAGACTTTTTTGCCTACTATGTTCCAGAATGTAGTAGCTGACAGCTCCACGTAATGATTTTCAGAAGATACTCACCATCCGTACTGGATTCATTCATCCTGCTCAGCATATATACTGCATTTCTGAGTGGAAACTCCTTTGGTGCTCCAAAGTGAAGATTTCCTTCCCTGGCTACGGTCTCTTCTACAAGTGTTCTAGCTCCTGGCTGTCTCTGACCAGACTCATGACTCATCACCTTAATGTCTTCTTCCTTAGACCCCTTGAATCTTGACTCACTTTCCCCTATTTTCACAGCTGTGGAGTATAACTTTCTTCATTCATTCATTCATTCATTCATTCATTCATTTTTTTGTTTTTTCAAGACAGAGTTTCTCTGTGTAGCTTTGCGCCTTTCCTGGAACTCACTCTGTAGCCTAGGCTGGCCTCGAACTCACAGAGATCCGCCTGCCTCTGCTTCCCAGTGCTGGGATTAAAGGTGTGCGCCACCGCTGCCTGGCTTCCTTTCTTCATTTATTTACTAGCATTAATGTTTACTTGTCTGCAGTACTAGGGACTAGATTCAGGGTCTCATGCATGGCAGGCAAGTGCTCCACCACTGAGCTGTGTCACCAACCCTCCCACTAATATTTTTAGTTTGGTTTCAAGGAGAGAAGACATGAATATATTAATATCTGAGTTGGGAGACCACATTTTTTTTAACAGTAATTTTTTGGTAGGGTAGGACTGTCAGCAGGAAATAATGGCTCAGTGGGTAAAGGCAATTCCTGCCAAGCCTGACAATGAGTTCAATCCCCAAGACCCACAGGATGGAAGGAGAGAACCAACTCCTGCAAGCTGTTTTCTGACTTCCACACACAACATGGTGTTTTCAAATACACAACCACATACATACATACATACATACATACATACACACACACACATACACACACACACACACACACACACACACACACACACACACACACAAATAAATGTAGTTTAAAAATTCCTCTGCAAGGGCTGGAGAGATGGCTCAGCGGTTAAGAGCACTGGCTGTTCTTCCAGAGGTACTGAGTTCAATTCCCAGCAACCACATGATGGCTCACAACCATCCGTAATGAGATCTGGTGCCCTCATCTGGCCTGCAGGCATACATGCAGACAGAACACTGTATACATAATAAATAAATAAATCTTAAAAAAAAAATTCCTCTGCAAAAGATATATCTTCATAATTTATGTTACCTCTTCTTCCATGACATAGGTGAGCAGTTTCCAGTCCCATTCCACGGTCTTGGCATTGGCTGGATGCAGCCTGAAAGTCAAGTGACATCAATCAGAATTCTGGGGAATTTAGTGGCAGAAGGGATAGGGTCTGCACGAGGACAGGAGACAAAGCATCTTCTCACCCTGAGACTCTGGCCTACCCTCCAGTACCACACTATGTCAGTCTCTGGCCAGCTCATAGCCATTGAGCTTTACCTACCAGGACTGCATGAAGCATGTGATTTGCTGAGTTAATTACAATATTCTATCATTCACTGTGATTGTCTCAAAAATGGATTCATGTGTCATGTTAAGCCAATTATAATATGACTCAGTTTCAGAATTGTTATGTAATTATGGAAGTTGATTTTCTAACTCAAAGTACCATAAAAATTTAAAGCTGAAGACTATTCAGCCTTAGAATATTCTGGGTTCTAGCTCCAAAGCTAGAACCAAGGCAGAGTTAAAAGCTGGGTCCCAGTAGCCACTTAGGAAAACAGTATCAAATAACATCTTATTCCCAGGTTTCTAGTGAAAATAAGTTATTAAATTCCTTTACCAGCAATTGAAGCCAGTTTTGATTGGGTTTCCTGCCCCTTACAACCAACATTATTAAGAACCCTCCCCATGTCAGCTGAATAAAGCTTAGATAAGGGAAGCTGTGCCCTGAGTGTACAGTCCCTAGAAGACTAGGTCAGCCAGTGGTAATGATTCATACTGTTGAATTTTCATGAGAAGCATGTAGGCCTCCTTGAGGACATCCACAGTCTCAGAGCCACTGAGCAGGATTTTCTGGATGATGTGAGCCACAATTTCTCTGGGTGGGTAATGCTGGGGTGAAACAAAGTCCATTAAGAACTGCACAGTCCCCAAAGGAAAGTTTTCTTCAATAGTGTTTGTCACCATTCTTAGTCTTCGATGAGGGATGGGCTCTAATTTCTGACCCTTGCTCTGTAGAGACAAAGAGATAGACAGACATCAGGATGGACTCTACACTTCCTAAAAGCAAGAGGTTCTGCAACAGGTTGAAAACAGCAAAGTTTTCTATGCATTTGAAACATTTTATTAAAGAGACAAGAAAGCTCTATTAAAAAAAAAAAAACCTCTTAATGATGGATGTAGAGAAGTTAAAAGACAAGAATTCTAAATACAACATGATTTCATCTATATTAAAATGTAACAGAAAGCTGGGTGTGGTGGCACATGCCTTTAATCCCAGCACTCGGGAGGCAGAGGCAGGTCGATCTCTGAGTTTAAAGCCAGCCTGGTCTACAGAGTGAGTTCCAGGATAGCCAAGGCTACACAGAGAAGCCCTGTCTCAAAAAACAGAAGTAACAGAAACACAAATACCAAAGAGCCACGAGCAGTCAGAGACTGGCTTTGAGTTCCTAATCTTCCTGCCTCCATCTTCTAAGTGCTAGGATTATAGGGTAGTGACAAAGGTATAGTAGAGATTTTAATAGTGATAAGAAGACTTAAGTGGGGCTGGAGAGATGGCTCAGTGGTTAAGAGCACTGACTGCTCTTCCAGAGGACCCGGGTTCAGTTTCCAGCACCACATGGCAGCTAACAACTGTCTGTAACTCTAAGATCTGATACCTTACATAGACATAGATGTAGGCAAAACACCAATGCACATATAATAAAAATAAATAAATTAAAAAAAAAAGAGCACTGGCTGTTCTTCCAGAGGTCCTGAGATCAATTCCCAGCACCCACATGGTGGCTCACAACCATCTATAGTGGGATCTGATGCCCTCTTCTGGCATAAAGTTGTACGTGCAGATAGAGCACTCATACATGAAAAAGACATAAAAAGACTTGATCCCATTGTGTTGCTAGAAGAATGAATACCACTTTCTTCCTCCTCCTCCCAATCTTTCTCTTTTCTTTTTCTTTTTTTTTTTTTTTTTTTTGGTTTTTTCGAGACAGGGTTTCTCTGTGTAGCTTTGCGCCTTTTCCTGGAACTCACTTGGTAGCCCAGGCTGGCCTCGAACTCACAGAGATCCGCCTGGCTCTGCCTCCCGAGTGCTGGGATTAAAGGCGTGCGCCACCACCGCCCGGCCTCTTTTCTTTTTGAGAGGGTATCACAGCCCAGGTTTGCATCAGTACTGGCCTTGAACTCCTGATCCTCCTGCCTCTATCTCCCAAGTACTAGCATTACAGGCCTGTATCACCATGCATGGTTCTTAACCATTACATTCTATAAACAGCAAAACAATAACAAATACATATATGTATGTTTTTTTTTGTTTGTTTGTTTTTTTGAGATAGGGTTTCTCTGTGTAGCTTTGGCACCTTTCCTGGAACTCACTCTGTAGACCAGGCTGGCCTTGAACTCACAGAGATCTACCTGTCTCTGCCTCCCAAGTGCTGGGATTAAAGGTGTGTGCCACAATCACCTGGCACAAATACGTATGTTTAAAAAAATACCAATTACTTTAAAAATTGAAATGGTTATGTATAAAAGGCAACTGGGAAGGGAATACATGGAATTATTCATAATAAATGTCTGATAACACTATGAGTGAGTTTAAACACATTAAAATGTTTTTTAAAAAATACTTTTTAAAAAAATTTTTAAAAAGATTTTTATTTTCAATTTTATATATGCATGTATGTCTAGGTGTGGATTTGTGCACTGAGTGCCCTGGAGCTGGAAGTTCAGGAGGTTCTGACCCACCCTATATGGGTGCTGGGAACTGAACCTGTTCCTCTGGAAAAGTAGTAGACACTATTAAGCACTGAGCTATCTTCCAGCCCTGCCTTTTTGACTTTTAAAAATCACATTTCATTTATCTGTCTGTCTGTCTATCTATCTACCTATCTATATCTATCTGTGTGTGTGTGTGTGTGCGTGTGTTTATGAGCACAAGTGTATACCACAGTGCAAATGTGGGGGTCAGAGGACAATTTATAGGAGCCAGTTCTCTACTTCTACCATGTGGGTTCAGTCTATATATAGAATACAAGTTGCCAGGCTTGGCAGCAAGTGCCTTTACCTACTGAGCCATTTTGCCAGCCTGCCTACCTTTTGACTTGGTTTGTTTGTTTGTTTTTTCAAGACAGGGTTTCTCTGTATAGCTCTGGCTGTCCTCAGACTCAGAGATCTGCCTGCTTCTACTTCCCGAGTACTGGGATTAAAGGCATGCCCCACCACTGAGTACTTTAAACTTCTCTTCTTAAGGTTGAGGGTGTGGTTTTGGATAACAAAAAGGTTTCATGCTGTGAGATTGTCACATTTTTGTCTATATATATCTAATGTAGTTCTCATAGGTCAATGAAGACAAATGGGAAATGGTATTCACATTAAAGTTTTAAAATTTAGTTTCTACTTCCAAATTCTAAGGATGATTTGAGGCACTGAAGTGACAAGAGTCTTCTGTGATATAGGGACTGTGTGGGTATCAGGAAGAGAGAATAAAGGAATGGAAGACAAGAACTGATGAAGGCCAATGATGAGGCTCACAAAGGGAATGACATGCACAGTGCTGGTTTTTAAAGTGTGGGCTGAGATCTGAACACAGATCTAACTCCACCTTCAAGTGGGAGAAAGATAAAAATTCCATTTATATTTGGTCCATTCTCTAATGCATGGACTCTAGTCATTGTAGCACAAATCTAATTAATCTTATCAATAAAAACCAGGAGTCAGATATCGGGGTAATAACCTGAAAGATCAGAGAAGCAGAGGAGCAGCCACCAGTGACTTTTTACCTCTACGAATCCTCAGACCAAATGGAGCCAAGAGCCCGTCTCTGCCCCACCTTATTACTTCCTCTCTCCGCCTCCTGCGTGCTGGGACTAAAGGTGTGTGCCAAGAACCACCTGGTCTCTATGGTTAACTAGTGGCTAGCTCTGCCCTCTGATCTTCAGGCAAGATTTATTTGTCAGAACACAAACAAAATATCACACAAGTCATTGTAACTTTATCCAGGACCTATGGGAAGGAGACATAATCCCCAAGGGGTGAGTATACTTAGCTTACCTCCCGTGTGTCTTTATCTGGTATTAATGTCTGGAAGAAGAGATGATGCACTGGCGGTCGTAAGAAGTATTTCAGTCTATGCAGGCAAGGTCTATTGTATACCCCAACTTGTGGTATTTGTCCTTGTATCTGGGCAGACCCAGGGTTGGCAAGCTGTGGAAATGATCTCTCTTTTCTGGCTAAGGTGTCTGTGACAGACAGCCAAGGAACTTTTTCTAAGGAAAATTCAGACTGTGGAGACAGTGGGCTGGCAGAGCAACTTGGAGAGGACGGAGCTGAGATATCCATAGGAGTGTCACGATTCTGCACATCATCTGGGGCAGATTTTGGCTTGTCTCTTGCTAAGTCCAATAACCCTTGTGGTGAGTGCGACACATCTCCTGGTAAGTGTGGTGCATCTCTAACTGACTGTGGCACACCTGGTGACTGCATCACATCTCCTGATGACTGTGACACATTTCCTGGTGACTGCATCGCATCTGATAACTGTGGCACATCTGGTGACTGCATCACATCTCCTGATGACTGTGGCACACCTGGTGACTGCATCACATCTCCTGATGACTGTGGCACACCTGGTGACTGCATCACATCTGATAACTGTGGCACACTCGGTGACTTCATCACATCTGATAACTGTGGCACACCTGGTGACTGCATCACATCTGATAACTGTGGCACACTTGACTTCATCACATCTGATAACTGTGGCACACCTGGTGACTGCATCACATCTCCTGATGACTGTGGCACACCTGGTGACTGCATCGCATCTCCTGATGACTGTGGCACACCTGGTGACTGCATCATATCTCCTGATGACTGTGGCACACCTGGTGACTGCATCACATCTCCTGATGACTGTGGCACACTTGGTAACTTCATCACACTTCTTGATGACTGCATCACACCTCCTAGTGACTGTGTTACACCTCCTGATGACCTCATCATGCCTCCTGATGACCGTATCACACCTCCGGGTAACTGCATCACTTCTGATGACGGTGGCACATCTCTCAGCAGTGGTGGCACATCTTGCAGTGACTGCAGCACATCTTGTAGTGACAGTGGCATGTCTTGCAGTGACCATGGCATGTCTTGCAGTTGTGTCACAACTTGTGGATAGGACAGGTTTTGAGGTCGACCTGATGCATCTTGAGGTAGGCCCAGAGTGTCTTGGGGTGGGTATAGTGGGTGTTGATGAGGATGCCATGATAAATTTTGACGTATGCTTGGCATATTCTGCTGAGGGCATGGCACATCTTGAGGAGGGCATGGCACTTCTTGAGGTGGATGAGGCAAAGCTTGGAGTTGGCACTGCACAGTTTTTGATGGACATGACAAAGTTTGTGATGGACATGACAAGGCTTGTGGTGGACCTGACAAGGCTTGTGGTGGACATGAGGAAGCGCGTGGTGGACATGGTGAAGCTCTTAGTGGGCATGATAAGGCTTGTAGCGGGCACAGCAAGCCTTGTGGTTGGCAAGGCACATCTTGCTGTGGGCATGGCAAAGAGGCTCTCTGATTGCTGCTGCTACTGTTATTGCTTGTTGAGGAGAAGGAGCTAACATCTGAAGAGAGATGTAGGCTTGTCAAGAAGCTAAGGCCACCTTTGTACATGACTGAGCTACAGTTTGGCTCTGATGGATAAACAGAGTCCTGGCTGATAGCTGTAGGGGGTCGAGAACCTTCAAACATGTTTTCCTCCAACAAATCCAAATCTACAGGATCATTGTTGACCATTCTCTGTGCTGTAGGCTGAGAGCCTCTATCTCCCTGGGCTTCCATCACCTCTTTGCCTGAAAGACTGGCACATGTCTGAAGACTGGGTGGCTCCTTCTGAGAGGAAGCTACAGGTTCCAAAGTCAAATCAAGAGTGGCAATAGGTCTATTTTCTTCCTCACTTCTTGTCAGATCAATCACACAGAGTCCATTACGATCTTTTGCCCTTGTTCTGGTCTCTCTAGTTAGGTCAATGAAGTCCTATTAAAGATTATGACAAGAGTAGAGAAGGGCACATTAACTTTGAGAAGGCTGAGGTTTTAGCTTTTAATGATAAACATCTCTTTACTCTTTTTTTTTTTATCTCATTGATATTCTATACATATCTGCAGTGCTAGTGATTGAACCCAGGACCTTGTGCATGCTGGGTAAATGCTCTACCTCTGAGCTATATCTCAAGCTTCCTATATATCTTCTATAACATAAGTATTAGTTTTATTTTCTTTAGGTAACATTTTGCTAATGTGTGGTAGAATATTATTTTAACTAGGCAAAGATGTGTTAACATTGTTTATGCTGCAGAATATTACTTTAATTGTGTAAAGGTGTGTTACATTTGTGCTGCATGTTTAACTACGTAAAGTGTGTTTCATTTGTTTTACCTTGTTTGCCTAAGGCACCTGATGGGTCTAATAAAAAGCTGAACAGCCAATAGCTAAGCAGGAGAGGGATAGGCGGGGCTGGCGGGCAGAGAGAATAAGTAGGATGAGAATCTAGGCTCCAGAGAGAAGGGGAAGAGAAGGAGGGAGAAAGAGAGGGACATGCCCAGGGCCAGAAGTCAGGCAGCAAAAGCCAGACATGGAGACAGCAGGAAAGTAAGATATACAGAAAGAAAGGTAAAAAGCCCTGAGGCCGAATATATATATATAAGAGAAACGGATTAAAATAAGAGCTAAGACAAGGCTGAGCATTCATAACTAATAAGTCTCTGTGTCATGACTTGGGAACTGGCTGGTGGCCTGAAAAGAAAGCCTAGTACACTAACGTCAAAGCTGTCAACTTCTATACATTCATAAACTATCTAAATGCCAGATGTATGTGAGAATGCAATGGGTTTTTTTGTTTTGTTTTGTTTTTCTGATCCAAGAAAGACAGGTAAATAGTAGAGAATATTGCATCCTTCACAAAGAGAAAGCAACCTTTGCTTGAAAAGCAAATTTCCAGGATAATCTGCAACAGAAGCTAAGCAAGATGGTAAATTAATATGAGGACCTAAGTACTAAGAACACATTAAGTGTTTGTCACTGGATTCAGGATTCCCAAAGATTCCTAGTCTCACCAGAGAAGGCTCTTGAGGATGGATATGTAAATAGGAACAGATTTATTAGGGGAATATTTCAAAATTACACTCTTAAAAGGGAGAGAAAAATAGGCGACTTAGCTGGATAATTGAGCTTTTAAGGGTTAGAGTAAAATCCTCCATAATATTATGCATATGCAAGTGTAAATTTTTCTGGAAATTGGGAGGACATTTTGAGACTCAGAGGAGAGGTTTGACTAAACACAAAATGTCAAAGGCAGCATCTATGTGAAAGTACAGTCATAATGAAATGCTAAAGAAATGATGGGGCTTTGGGGTCTCTGAATTTCCAATAGAGCACAGCTAACTATAATAGCAGGATGCTGTGCAGTCTGTATCTGGATGAAGCCATAACCATCAGGTTAAATTTACATCCAATGGGGCTAGAGAGATGGCTCAGTAGTCAAGAGCATTAGCTACTCTTCCAGAGGACTGGGTTAGACTCCCAGCATCCATAAGATGGTTTACAAGCATCTGTAGCTTCAGTCCCAGGGGACTGGATACCCTCTTCTGGTCTCTATGGACATAAGACACATAGCTGATAAACAGACACAGACACAGGCAAAACATTCATACATATAAAAATTAAAAATATTTACATCCCATTATCTTGTCTCCCTGATTACTCATGTCATTTTTCTATGATTTCTTCAATTTTCACAATGATACTGCAGGATAGTATTGCCATCTCCATTATATACATGCAAAAATTAGTTTTGCGGGACCAGGTTACTTACCTAAGGATTATACAGCTAAGTAATAGGGGCAGACATTCAAATCCAACTGTCTGCCTTTCCTGTTGAGGGCCTAGGGATGCATAACTTTTTCCAATATGCAATCAGCTTTACTATCTTTGTCTTTTCTTTTTAAGTGACTTATTTATTTTATTTTATGTGCATTGGTATTTTGCCTGCACATCTGTCTGTGTGAGAATGTCATAGCCCCTAGAACTGGAGTTCCAGATAGTTGTGAGCTGCCATGTGGATGCTGGGAATTGAACCTGGGTCCTCTGGAAGAACAGTCAGTGCTTTTAACTACTCTAAACCATCTCTCCAGACCCCATCTTTCCTTTTTGGAGACAGGATCTCACTTTGTAGCTCTGGCTGTCCTCACTATGCAGACCAGGCTGGTCTTGAACTGACAGACATCCACTTGCTTCATCCTCCTGAGTGCTGGGATTAAAGGTATGCACTACTACACCTACCCTGTAATCAGCTTTAAGGATTGTTTTTAAAACAATAAGGGGTAGGTATAAAAGCAATGGTCTGAATTTTAACTAATGGAAAACCACTAATCTTCAATCCCATTCCTCAGCAGGTTGATCAAACAAATTATAGAGTTGATGATGCCAGGCAGAGATACTGTCACCACCTGTTGTGCCATGAGCCTGGAATAACACTGTGTTAGTTTCCAGGTGTCTTCTCACCTGACTGGGTACCATCACCATTGCATATTATGGTCTGGCCATGCTAACTATTGCCACCATAGCCAGCATACAATTTCTCTCATTTTTAAATGTTATTATTGTTATTTTAGTTAGTATACAAAGTGTTTCACTAAGATACTTCTTTACAAATGTTTGCCTTCTTGGTGGTCATGAATGGCTTTTTTCATCTCCCTAACTCCTTTCCCTCTGCTTTCATGCTGTTTCTCCTAATAGATGTGAAGGGTCACCATTGTCAACAGATTCAAAGATATGGAGTTCTGAGTGGGTCAAGTACAAGTCTGGTATGTACCTAGTCCTGGAATAGGAATTGTTTGGCAAAATCAAAAGCCTCAGTTTCTAGGAAAGGACCACACCGCATTGGTGCCTTTGATGATACTCAACAGCCAGTTGAACATACAGAGCTAAAAGTCTACTCCAAAGGTCTGAATTTAACTCGCCTCCCACAGACAACTGCTAAAATGCAACGTCACCAGATTGGGGGGTATAGCTCAGTGTTAGAGTACTTCCTTGCAAAAGATCCTGGACTCAAGCCGGGCAATGGTGGCATATGCCTTTAATCCCAGCACTCGGGAGGATGAAGCAAGTGGATGTCTGTCAGTTCAAGACCAGCCTGGTCTGCATAGTGAGGACAGCCAGAGCTACAAAGTGAGAAACCCTGTCTCGAAACAAAACAAAACAAAACAAAAAAACAAAAATAACAACAACAAAAAAAAAGACCCTGGACTCAATCTCCAGCAACAGACACATACATACATACATACATACATACACACATACACATCACATGTCACCCCCATTTTCAACCATCATCAGTTTGACATGAACTTCAGGATTAAAGTCAAATGCTTAGCAAGATTCATAAAGTTCTTCATCATAAGCTTAGTACTTCTAGTCTGTCTATTCCTTAACTCATGGTGCACCCCCAAATGTGCTAAATTTCTTAAGAATCTTTCGTTTGCTTCTGTTCTTTCTCTTTTTTTTTTTTTTTTTTTTTTTTTTTCCCGTTTTTCGAGACAGGGTTTCTCTGTGCAGCTTTGCGCCTTTCCTGGGACTCGCTTGGTAGCCCAGGATGGCCTCGAACTCACAGAGATCCACCTGGCTCTGCCTCCCGAGTGCTGGGATTAAAGGCGTGCGCCACCACCGCCCGGCCCTGTTCTTTCTCTTACCTGCAGTGACTATGGTCACTTTATTGATTCTCTAACTATCTCTCTTGAATTCCTTTTGTTTTTCTGAAGAAACTGAAAAGTTGCTTCCTTCCATTATTTGAACATGTCAATCTGAGTGTTTTGGCCTCCACAATTACAAGATGTATAACTGTTTTCTATGTGTAACATGTAAATTTTCTCTGTGTAGATTTAAAAAAAGAAGTTTTCTTTGTTTATTCTTCCATGTTTCTTATTTTTTGGGTCTGTACATTGGTCTCCCCCAGTCAAATCTGATAAATTTCATCAACTGTTTTTTCAAAAACATTTCTCTCATCTATCCCTGCTCCTTTAAGACTCCATTACACACATTTTGGTAACCTGCATAACTATGTAGTTATTAAGTTTTATTAATTTCCCTGTCCATTCTGTTTTTGAACTTGGTGATTTCTATATTTGTCTTGAACTTCCCTGTTTGCTCTGTCACTACTTTCCATTTTCTGATGAGTTCATTTAGTATATTTTAAAAACATTCAGTTATGGCAGATCTTTACCTCTCCCTCTCCTCCTCCAAACCCAGCCCCTCAGTTTTGTAGCAGACAACCTGCTTCAGCTTCCTATCCACCATGCCCCCATCTCCAGTGGACCCTACAGATCTTCCCTTCTAAATTCCCTCCCCGACTCATTGCTTTATCCCAGCCCCCAACTCCAGCAGGCACCCCCTGGGAACCTGTAGGCATCTCCAGCCAGAGAAGCAGCCCCCAACTCCAACACGTATCAGAAGCTATCAAAAGATGGAAAGATCTTCTATGCTCACAGATCAGTAGGATTAACATAGTAAAAATGGACAACCTACTAAAAGCAATCTACAGATTCAGTACAATTCCTTTCACAATTTCAACACAATTCTTTTTTTTTTTAAATATTTATTTATTATGTATACAGTGTCCTGCATGCATATATGCCTGCAGGCCATAAGAGGGCGCCAGATCTCATTACAGATGGTCACGAGCCACTACATGGTTGCTGGGAATTGAACTCAGGACCTCTGGAAGAACAGCCAGTCAACACAATTCTTTACAGACCTTGAAAGGACAATTCTCAACTTCATATGGAAAAACAAAAACCAAAGATAGCTAAAACAATCCTGAACGATAAAAGAACTGCTGGAGGTGTCACCATCCCTGATTTCAAGTTATATTTCAGGGCTATGGTAATAAAAGCCACATGGCTTTGACACAGAAACAGACACACATTGATCAGTGTAACTGAACTGAAGACCCAGACATAAATCCACATACTGTGGACACCTGGTTTTTGACAAAGACACCAGAAACACATACTGGAAAAAAGACAGCCTCTTCAACACATGGTGCTGGTCAAACTGGATGACTGCATGCAGAAGAATCCAGATAGACCCATTCACACTTATCACCGTGCACAAAACTCAACTCCAAATGGATCAAAGATCTCAACATAAAACCAGATACACTGAACCTGACAGAAGAGAAAGTAGGAAATAGCCTTGAACTCATTGGCATAGGAAAAGACTTTGAACAGAACACCGTTAGCACAGGCACTAAGATCAATAATTAATAATTGAGACCTCATGAAACTGAAAAGCTTCTGCACAGCAAGACATCATCATTCAGACAAAGTGGCAGCCAACAGAATGGGAAAAGATTTTTACCAACTACACATCCAATAGAGGGCTAATATCCACAATACATAAAAAACTAAAAAAACTACATATCAAGAAGACAATCCAGTCAAAAAAATGGGTAGCATACAATCCACTGTAAAGAACTCATCCTACAAACACCCTATCATAGTCCTCAATAGCAAAAGCACAAGATTCTCTGTGTAGTCTTGGTGCCTGTCCTGGATCTCTCGCTCTGTAGACCAGGCTGGCCTCAAACTCACAGAGATCCACCTGGCTCTGCCTCCCGAGTGCTGGACTTAAAGGCGTGCAACACCACCGCCCAGCCCAGTTGAATCATTTTTATGTCAGAATAGCATAAGCTGATAAAGAACTGTATACCAGGATCCATACTATATATAGGGAATAACAATATCAACAATATGGCCTATAATCTGAATGAGGTAGAGAAGTTCAATTTAAATGCTAAAATTATTATGAGATTTTAAAAAGTTACTACAATCTCAGAGCTGGGGATATATCCCAGTTTGTACCGTGTCTGCCTAAGAGACATGAAGCCCTAGGTTTGATCCCCAGCACCCCATAAACCAAGTACAGTCATACACGCCTGCAAGCTCAATATTCAGGAAGTGTAATAGGGGGAAGCAGAAGGACATCCTTAGCTACACAGGAAATTTGAGGCTAGCCTGAGCTACAGGAGACCCTGCCTCAAAAGAAAAAAAAAGTTAGTACAACCCTATTAGAAAAGAATTACATACTTAAAAACATCTGTGCATCCATATAGGGAAATTTTTCTGTAAGTAATACACACAAAAAACTGTAGCTTTCCAGACAGTGGAAATGGCTTATTATTGCTGACAATCCTAAAATTTCTTACCTCTCCTTAAAATTACGTTTATAATCTAAAGTGGTGAAAATTCATTTTTCCAAAGATGATTGTGGACCTTAAGAACAGCATTAAGTTTTCCCTTTATGGTGAAGTAAATGATTTATTAGCTATGATGGCTGTACAATCCAAGGTATTGTATGGATGGATTTTATTATGTGGAATCATATCATAAAGGTATTTTTAAAAGATGCACTAGAATAAAGACATTTATAATCTGGATAATACAAAAATACAAATTAAGTTCCTCTCCTAAGAGAGAGAACACCTACTGTGCTGGCTAGTTTTATGTCAACTTGTCACTCTAGAGTGATCTGAGAGAAAGGAACTTCAATTGAGAAAATATCTCTATAAGATCAGGCTGTAGGCAAGACTGTAGGGTATTTTCTTAATTGGTGATTGATGGGGAAGCCCAGTCCACTGTGAGTGGGGCCACACCTGGGCTGGTGGTCCTGGGTTCCGTAAGAAAATGATGGGCTGGAGAGATGACTCAGAGGTTAAGAGCACTGATTGCTCTTCCAGAAGTCCTGAGTTCAATTCCCAGCAACCACATAGTGGCTCACAACCATCTATAATGAGATCTGGTGCCTTCTTCCGGCATGCAGGAATATATGCAGACAGAACCCTGTATTCGTAATCAATGTTGAAAAAAGAAAGAAGAAAGCAGGCTGAGCAAACCAGAATGAGTCAGTCCTCATGGCCTCTGCATCAGCGCCTGCCTCCAGGTTCCTGCCCCATTGGAGTCCTGTCCCATCTTCTTTCGATGATAAACAGTGATGTGGAAGTGTAAGCTAAATAAGCCCTTTCCTCCCCAAGTTGCCTTTAGTCATGGTGTTTCTTCACAGCAATGGTATCCCTAACTCAGACACCTCCCTTTGGGTGTAGGAAGAACCTCCAAAGGCAACCTAGAACGAATGAGCACTCCACAAGTGATTTACAGGCTTATGCAGTAGCTGACCTTGATTTAGTACATATATTACGAAGAACAGAGGATGACTCCTGGACTAATAGAAGCCACAGCATCTGGAGCATGATAGGGGTTCACTAGATTTCTGTGGAGGGTTCTAGAAAGGCAGAGATATTTTTATTCACCACTTCAGGAGTAAGGACAAAGATAAAGGATCTTGAGGAAAAACCAAGGTGTAAGTGCCCCGCCCCCGGGCTTTGTACGTGATTCGTATTTGCAAAGCGAAATAAACGGTCCTTCTCCACAACTCAAAAATCGGGCCCCTGGCTCGGAAAGTAGGCCCTGGAGCGCAGCCGCCTCCGTGCCAAGGGCGGCGCTTCCCTCGCTCGCAGCCGGGGCTCCTGTTACCTCCCTGCACACATCTGTGCCCATCACAAGCCAAACAATTACGCGCTCCCGCGCGCCCGCCTCGAGGTCCGGTGGCGGCTGCGGCCTGGCCGGGATCCCCACCTCCTCCCGCGGCCAAAAGCGCTGGTGCCACCCCGGGCCGGAGGCCCCCGGCGGCCGCTGCATGGCAGTCCGCCCTGGAGCTCAGTGTGTCGCCCATGTGCTCGGCCCGCTCGGCGGCGGCGCAGCCCTGGAGGGCTGTGCGCTGGCCAGCCCGAGGCCTGCCGTCCCGGCGGCGCCGCAGCGCTCCTCGAGGCCCGAGGCCGCCAAAGGCGGGAAGACACGGCGGCGGGGAACCAGGGTCGCAACGCCCGGCTCCCGTGGGGCGTGGCGAGCGGCAGCGGGCTCACTCACCACGGTTCGGCGGGGCAGCGCGCCGGGGGTCCGGGACAGGGCCCGGCGCAGCCTCCGCGCCCTGCCCGAGCGGGTCCCGGCCGAGCTCTCGGAGCCGCTGTCGTCGGAGATCACGATGAAGTCCTCCATGGCTACGGGCCCGGCTGAGCCACGCGCCGGCGGCCAGCGACCCCGGCGACTGCGACTCCGGTTCCAGCTGCTGAAGCGACTGCAGCGACCGCGGCGCCTACCCTGGGGTTAGTACCCCGCCGGCCCCGCCCCCTCCATTGCCCCGCCCCGCCCCGAGCCCCGCCCCCCGCGGGGCCGCGGCGCGAGGGCAAGGGCGCTGCGGGAGGGCCCTGGAGGCGCCCGGCTGCTCCCTTTTCCTCAGAGAAAGGGAGGGAAAGGAGGAAGGGGGGCGGGGGAGGGGAGGGAGAGAACTGAGAGGCTGGGCCGTGCGGTTCGCGGGCAAGGAGAGACGTTGATGCCGAGGGGGTGTCCACCGCGGCTCTCAACTGACCACGGGGTGCCGTGCTGGTGACGGGCCCCCCGGCTGCAGGTGTGAGGAGGTGTGATTAGCCGGCTTGATTTACAGGGAGAGCGGGCACGGGAGGTGGGCTGACCTGGCCTCTGACAAGGCATCTCATTGACCAGGTAGCGGGGCCTCCAACTGCCAGACAGTGGGCGACCCGACAGGTTGAGGAGGCCGCGAGGGGCTCGGAAGGGTTACCTGAACTTGGTGTCTTACTGACTGGGGCAGAGCCAGTGGATTAGAAGGTGACCTGACTTCTGGCTGAGGCAGGGGAGAAACCCCACGTCTTCGTAGGTGCAGGTAGATGCGTAGGATAAATTCCAGAAGTGGAATTATTGGATCAAATCTATGTGCGGTTTTTTGTTGTTGTTCTTTGGCAAATGCTGCCAAATTACCCTAAGTTGTACCAATTTGCAGTTTCGCCAACAACATGCGTCTCAGGAATTTAAACTGTCATATGTAAGATTCATTGAGTTGCTAGTTGACTGAAACGCCGAAAAGGCACACACAAGTAGAGCTGTGAGGTCCCAGAGTACATGTATACTCCGATGCTGTGACCAAGCAGAAGCTATAAGGATAAAACTGTATCCCCAACAGAGGGAAATGTTGGTAAGTAGTGAATTCTTTGGTTTGTTTGTTGTATGGCAGGGGCATTAAAATAAAAACTGGGCCCATGGTTATTTTTAAAATGTGGGCTATTGACAAAATCCTGCTGCTTGGGCTAAAATAACTTTGAAAAATAGAGTAATGCATTCAAATTAAAATGTCTTTAGCAAAAAGAGCAGGAATAGCTGTTGGGTGCTGTAAGCAGTGTCCAGTGGAGTGTTTTTTAATCTTTAGGTGAACTTCTGAGTCAGCCAGAGGATGTGATAATAAAGATTGCAAGACCACACACCAGCATTTTCAACTGAGAAACTGAATTTTTGTGAGTGAGGCCCCCAAATTGGTATTTCTTTCAGGCTCCTAGGTGATTCTGACATTGCTTAAAGTCTGGTAAACACACTTTGAGACTTGCTGGTCTGAGCCAGGCATGGTGATACATGCCTTCATTCCTAGTACTTGAAGGCTGAGGTCAGCCAGGGTGAGAGAAAAGAGAAAAAAAAGGGGGGGGGGCTGGAGTGATGGCTCAGTGGTTAAGAACACTGGCTGCTCTTCCAGAGGTCCTGAGTTCAATTCCCAGCAAACACATGGTGCTCAAATCTATGTGTAATGAGATCTGGTGCCCTCTCCTGGCATGCAGGCAGAACACTGTATACATAATAAATAAATCTTAAGAAAAAAAAAAAAGAGCAAAAAGGAAGAGGAAGAAAATGAGACAGAGGGAAATGAAGGAGACAGGTCCCTGGCCTGGTGAGTGTGGGGGACCCGCCCCCAGTTTTTCCCCCAGGGTACTCTTGAGGAGTGAGGGACAAGAGATTTAGATAGAAATATGGAGGAGGAGAGAGAGAGATAGAAAGACAAGATCGCCTCAGGAGGGCCTGGATCCTTATCTACCCGCCCCTCCTGTCTCTTCTAAAGGACTTTTTAAAGGAATGCCAAGGGGTGGAGCAAAGACCTCCCCCCAGCACAGCCAAGTGCAGACCCTTCCAAACACCTGGTACCCACACGCGTGGTCAGTCCATCCCCTTATGCAGCCGTGCTGGATAAAGCAAGCTCAGATCTCATAGGAAACCTCTGTGGGCTCCCACAGGTGGGCAAGTAGTTTATGACCCACAGATTTCAGTTGTTTTGGTCCAGTAGGTGAACTGTTATAAAGGGATTCAGTAAGTTAAGCTCCCTGTATTGCTATCAAACATTCATTTTAACTCACACACGCCTGCCCACTGGGGATTGAGTCTAGGATGCTATACAGGCGAAGCTATATCCCTGGCTCTCCAGCCAAAGTCCCTTTTTTGAAACATGGTGTATTTTAGGCTTTGTGACTGCATTTCTCTTATAAGTTCTTTCAGTCTCTTGCTGACTCCTATCCCTTTTCTCAGACCTTAATTTTTTTTTCTTTTGGTTTTTCGAGACAGGGTTTCTCTGTGTGTAACCTTGGCCATTACAGAACTTGCTCTATACATCAGACTGACCTCAAACTCAGAGATCTACCTGCCTCTGCCTCCTGAGTGCTGGAATCAAGGCGTGTGCTACCACTGCCCAGCTAAAAAATTTTTTTTTTTTGGTTTTTCGAGACAGGGTTTCTCTGTGTAGCTTTGAGCCTTTCCTGGAACTCGCTTTGGAGATCAGGCTGGCCTTGAACTCACAGAGATCCACCTGGCTCTGCCTAAAAATTTTTTAAGTTTCTTGTTTTTAAAAAACTTTTTTAGATTTTTAATTTTATTTTATATGAGCATTTTGCTTGTATGTATGTATGTATGTATGTGTGTGCACTACATGGATGCCTAGTGGCTTCAAGAGGTCAGAAGCAGGCATTGAATCCCCTGGAACTGGAGTTGTAGATGGTTTTGAGTCATGTGGGTGCTGGGAACTGAACGTGGGTCCTTTGCAATAACACAGATTCTCTTAACTGCTGAGCCATGTCTCCAGCTCCCAGTCCTTAAATCTTAATGCTCCTTAGTGTTTTGACATGGGCCACTTCTGAATGTCACTTTCTCCTCAACTATTCCTGTGACTTCAGTGACCATCTTAATGCTAGTAACACCCAACATGTTTATCTCCAGCCCAGCCTGTCCTTAAAGTTCCATTTGCAAATCTCCAAATGGATATTGACATTTCTAGGCATCTGAACTCACCTCTGTTCTCCCCACAGAAACCATTTTCTCTTAAAAACAAAACAAAACAACAAAAACCCAAAAAACCCCTACTTGCTTTCTTTTAGTATTTTCTAAATATTAGTATTTAGTATGAGTGGATGGTGAAATCATCAGCCAGCAACTGTTCACATGAGCAATCTGCTTGATTTCTACTTCAAGTCTTATTTTAATTCCTAACTATCTTTTGCATTTATTCACTTTTTTTTGGCTTCTGCTAATGTGATTCTAGCCAGGTTACTGTCACCTCTGGCCCAGTCTTCCTGAAACTACTTGTCTTCCACTCCTTTTTTGCTCACTCAGCCAAAGGAGTCTATAAGAAAGTATGTAACATAGCTGGGGCACAGGCCTGGAGTTCCAGCACTAGGGAAGTGGAGGCAGAATCAGCAGTTTGAGACGAGTTTGGGCTCCACAGCAAGACTCTGTCTCAAACAAACAAACAAAAAGTATGAATGCATCATTTTTCCTTCAGCCACTTTCTTTCAACTTTGTCTTAACTCTGCCATAATAAAATACCTCAGACTGTCTGGTTTAAGCAGGCATTTATTTCTCCAAGATGAAGGTTGGGTGCTGGTTCATTCGGTTCCTGGTGAGGATTTTCTCACTGGTGTTGCACATGGCGAACTTAAAACTGTGTCCTCACATGGCCTATTTGGGTCTCCTGGGAGGAAAAAGAGCTTCCCACTTTTCCTTTGCAAAGCCGCCAATCCCACTAAATCAGGCCTCCTGTGCTGCTCAGTGTTTGACAACTTGACACAAACTAGAGTCCCCAAGGAAGAGGGAACCTCAGCAGAGGAATTGTCTTTTCCTGCAGCACATCCGCGCGGGGGCATTTTATTGTTTAATGATTGCTGTAGGACTTTACTGTGGACAGTGCTACCTCTGGGTGGGTGGTTCTGGGATGTATAAGAAAGCAGCTTGAGCAAGCCATGGCGAGCAAGTCAGTAAGCAGCACTCCTCCATGGCCTCTGCTTCAGTCCCTGCCTCCAGGTTGCTTCCTTGAATCCCTGCCCTGAATTCTCTCAGGGAGGGACTGTTACCTGGAAATTATAAGATAAAATAAACCCTTCCCTCCCCCAAGTTGCTTTGGGTTATGGTATTTACCAAAGCAGCAGAAAGCAAACTAGGTCACCTCCCAAGTGCTCCAACTCCAAAGACCAGAACACTGAGGGTTAAGGATTCAACGTATGAGTTTGGGGAAAATGCAAACATTCAGTACCCAAACACATTGTGAACTAAATATAAAGACAAACATAGCTTACTACATGTTTTTAGTTCATATAAATATTTAGCTACTTTTTTTTTTTTTTTGGTTTTTCGAGACAGGGTTTCTCTGTGTAGCTTTGCGCCTTTCCTGGAACTCACTTGGTAGCCCAGGCTGGCCTCGAACTCACAGAGATCCGCCGGCCTCTGCCTCCCGAGTGCTGGGATTAAAGGCGTGCGCCACCACCGCCCGGCTACTTCTTAAGCTAGATAGAGAGTAAATGTATTTACTCACTCAAAAGGTACGCCAACGGAGGTGAGTGCCTTGGTCCTGGTCTCACACTGCTTTTACTTTAAGGGGATTAGATTAGGAAATCCTGGTAAGACTACAATCAGGGTGAGAGGTGTCAACCTGTGAATCATAAATATAAAACAGTTTAATTTTCCCCCAATAGCCACTACCACTGTCTCTAGAATCCTTTTGCTTTCTGGGTAGCGACTTTCCCAAGGACAGTCTACTGTAGCCACTTTCAAAGGAGTGATTCATGTGGTCTCGTTCCAGGTGTTAAAACTTCAGCCTGACCCCTTAAAATATTTCATCTCCCATTTAACGCACAGCTTTTTCTGTTCTAGTACAGGTTAATTTGTGCCTACAGTTGCTCTCACTAGAAGGGTTGATGATGTCTCCTACCTTTCTCTCCCTTCTCTTCTCAAGTAAGAAAAACAAAGGAGAAAGAACGTTCTTGTGTGTGTGTGTGTGTGTGTGTGTGTGGAGAGGAAAGATTTTAATTATGTTCACTTTCCATCAGAATGTAAGTAGTCTACATAGATTTAAGAAAGCATTCCTTAACATATTAATTTTAAGAAGAGAAACCTCTGAACAATCAAGAGGACAAAATATACTTCAAGACTCCTAGGCATGCAGGGCACAGTCCCTGTCGTAAGACCCCAGAGACAGTATGAGGGTCTCACCAAGTTTCTCTGGTTCCTTCCAGGGAATGGATTGAAGGATGCCCTGATGGACGCTATCCATGTTTGGGTGACTTTGGAAGAATGTTCTTTGCAAGACTGTCCTTGAAGAAGTGGCAGTTGTCACTCTGCTTTCTTGAGTAACAGCTCTCCCATTGTGTAATGTTGGCTCTGTCACCTGTGCTGTGTGCACACTGTTGCCTTCTGGGCTCCTAAGTTAAGAGATTGCAGGCTCAGCCTCTTTCTCCTGGACACTCCTCCCACCAGTGTCTTCCAGGGACCTCTAACAATCTTTTATTGTTGAGGGATCCAGAGGAGCTTCTCAAGAAATGCCAGCCACCTCCTAAGCTGTGCAAGGGACTCACAAACACGGAGAACTTAACATAGTTCAAGGAGGAAGGGAATGCAGGAAGCCCCTCTTTATTACCAGCCCTTTACTCTCATGAGTATCAGAGACTCATTCAAGTCAATCGATGAGTCAATCAATTCAGACAAGTTCTTAGCTTGGGGAAAGGAGTGAGGGATACCTTGTTTAACCTTACTCTGTGGGAAGTGAATGGAAAAGGCAGAACAGCCCCCATTTCCTTCAGCTGGGAGGAAGTAATGGCTTGTCATCTGGTATGGAACAACTAATTGGAAAATTTCAAATGCCCACTGTTTTGCTAAAGAGTTTATGATAAAATTACTATTAATAAATGACTTTCAAGCATGAAATTGGTCATATAACTGTAGGGGTACAGCAGTGTTCTGATTGTATATATCTTTCTCTTCAGCGATCCTACCTAAAACTTGGTAAACACAGAGTCCCTGACTGCATCATCTGAGAATTTCTGAAGAATACCTTGCCAACCAGATGGGATGAATATCGGCCCTGGAGTTACTTTCCTTAACTGTAAGTCACATAACTAATGGTTTCTTGGTCATCCTGGGTTTGTCCCGAAACAACTTGTTTAACTAAGACTTCAAAAATGATGAGTCTTTTTCAGAAGTGTGTATGTGTGTACTTGCATACACTCTGTGTCACTTCTACATAGATTTACTCCCCTTAGATAGTAAAATAATCTCATAGCAACTGAGAGGCCAGTGTAGTCTTTTGTACTTAGTAAGAATATTTATATATTCTTTTTGTTGTTGTTGTTTTGTTTTCAAGACGGGGTTTCTCTGTGTAGCCCTGGCTATCCCTGAACTCACTCTGAAGACCAGATTGGTCTTAGATCTACCTGCCTCTGCCTCCTGAGTGCTGGGATTTAAGGTTTGCGCCACCACCGCTCGGCATTATTTATATATTCTTTATTGAGTGCCTGCTGTGTGCCAGGTACCATGTAAGAAGCCAAAGCAACGGGCAATTGGGGTGTAGCCATGTAATCTGTCATCCTAGTACACAGGTGGTTGGGGTAGGAAGATCACTATAAATTTGAGGCCATCCTGGTCTATAAGCCAAGCTAGTCAGTGCTACATGGTGACACCATGTCTCAACAAACAAACAAACAAACTGAAACATGTGGGCAGTAAGGCAGCTACTGCCTTTATCCAAAGCATTGCAGCTGAGGAGGTATCCTTGGTTTGTAATGAAGAAAAGAAACCCTCCCCCCCAATCCTGGGTGCTGGTGGCACACGCCTTAATCCCGGCAGAGGCAGGCAGATCTCTGTGAGTTCAAGGCTAGCCTGGTCTAGAAAGCTAGTTCCTGGACAGCCAGGCCTACACAGAGAGAAACACTGTCTCGAACCTACCCCCGACCACCACCAAAAAAAATGTTTCATTCCTGTACTTTAAAATATAGTAATAAATCTTAATTAAGTTGAAAATTAAACTTGGAAAAACTATAAAATTCAAATTGAAACCACAATTAGATACTACTTCATACCCATTAAGATTATTGTTTGTTTTGTTTATTTATTTTTTTGAGACAGTGCTTCCCTCTGTAGTCCTGGCTGTCTTGGAATTCACTCTGTAGACCAGGCTGGCCTCAAACTCAGAGATCTGCCTGCCTCTGCCTCCTGAGTGCTGGGATCAAAGCTGTGTGCCACCACTACCCAGCTAAGATTTTTTTTGAGAGATATTATTCCTTCATAAACCAAGCTGACCTTGAACTTGTTATGTAGCTCAGAATGGCCTCCAGCTTATAATCACCCTGTCTTAATCCCAGGAATGCTGGTATTGCAGATGTGCATATAACAGATAATTCTGCCATAAAAAGTAATAAAGTTCTGATGTATGCAACAAATGGATGAACTTTGAAGTTATTGGGCTAAGCAAAATAAGCCACACAAAAACACCAATGAGCACTTCTCCCATCCCCCACGTCTGAAATTGAACAGTGTTATAGAACTCTGTTGTCTGGTCTTGACATGACTGACATGGCTGTTGATTTGTTACACCAGAATCGTTACAAGACTGGTCCACTAACATTCCCTCATGGAAGACGGGGAGGCATGGCCTACTAGGCTAACATGCCTCAGAACATTTAAGCCCTTAACAGTTGCTGGTGGGGAGACTCTTCAGTGGTATAGCTGCTTTTAAGTTGCCCGTATCCTGTAAGTAACCCCAGTGACACTCGTCATTCACCCAAAGCTGCACTTGGTGGAATTGTTTCCTCTGTCTCTTTGTTCCTTACCTGGTGTGAAGTCATGTGTGTTCATGTCTCCCAGAAAAGTCCTGCAGCAGTCTTTAAAGTTTAAAGAAACATGTCTATGAGACCAGAAAAGGCTTGCTTCACCAAGTTACAAAAGGGAAAGACTGGTAGTTAAAAGCTGTACATATTTGTCTGGCAAGGTAGGTCAATGAGTAAAGACAATTGCTGCCTGGCAACCTGAGTTCAGTTCTCTGAACCCACATGGTGAAAGCGAGAATCATCTCCCAGAAGTTGTTCCCTGTGCCCCCCACCAATGTAAAAACAAAAAGTGTACCTATTATCCATCGAGTAGTGTTTACATTGGCTGATCTTTCTCTTTTTAATGACTATATTCAAAAGTCACTGTAAAAGGACGCTTTGCAATTTATTTAAGTAGATCCTGTGGTAAGTATTCTGTTTGTTTCTACATTTTTGGTTTTTGTTTGTTTATTTGTAGAGTTTTTTTACTATTGCCAATAATGTTTCAAGAACTTTTATTTTTTATTTTTTTGAGACTGAATGTGAGGGGTGCAGTAAAGAAACTGAAATGCCAGTCTGTAGATGAAAAGGGAAAAGTTTATTCTAAACAGCCAAGGCAAGGGCGGGGGTGGGGTGGGGTGGATCTTCAGGGTTATAAGGGAATGGGTACCTGGCAGGAAGAGAGCCAGTGGACTGGGGGCAGGGATTTGAAGTGTATAACTTGTGAGTCCAAACTGAGGGAGCCTGGAAGCCAGCATGGACCTAGATATGCTGATAGGCATCACAGGCACATGCTAATGGGAGAGCCATATGTCCCTTTTGTTAGCAATAAGGAGAATGACTCCTTTTGGCAAGTGGGTACTAGTTTCCCAAATCCCTGAGGGAATGCTGGCTTTTGTCTAATTGCCAGAATTTGGGAAAAGGAGTTTCTTTGAACCTGACAGGCACAGGTATTCACTATGTAGTCCTGGGCATGAACTTACTATGTAAGCCAGACTGGCCTGGAATTCACTGTATAGACCAGATTGGCCTGGAACTCACTATGTAGAGTCTACATTGTAGACCAATATGCTTTCAAACTCACAGAAATCTGCCTGCCTCTGTCCCCTGAGTGCTAGGATCAAAGGTGTGGGCTACCACAAAACTGTGCTTTTCTTACTAAGTCTTGCCAGTGTAGCCACTGGGAAGTTCCTACAACTTGGCAACCAGGCTAGAGGATATGTGTATGTCATCCTTGTTGATAAATTACAAACTGTCATCCAGAAAGTCTGTGCCAAATAGTATTCCAACAAAAAAGTTTGAGAGTGCTCATTTTCCAGCCCCCACACGCCGGTTATCTCATTCTCTAGTTCCAGTCAAGTAATAAAGTCTGGCATCTTGTTCTGACTCACATCTGCTTTACTACGAGTGAAGAAGTGGTGCTTTTAAATGTGCACTGTCATCTGTAGTTTTTTCTTTGCAGCTTTCATAGATACTGCTCCCCAGGCTAATGATCTGTTTCAGTAACAATCAATGGCATTTATGTGACTAGCTAGCATGTATTAAAGAAAGTATTATGTTGCTTAGATAACTTATTCAGTAGTCACCACATAACAAACACTGGTTTACAGGAGTACTGTGCAGCTGTAAGTGTACTGGGCTTTCTTTCCACCATGGGCGAACATCTCTAATTAGATTTTTAGAGGTGGACATAAATACTAATTTGAAGTTTAATTATTTATCTAGATGGATTAATGGTCCAAATTGGGGTGTAGCCTACAATAAAGAGGAAGTAAACAGTTGTTCCTAACCACAAAGCCAATCATTTTTGAGTGGAAGAACTAGCAGGCTAACTGATGATAAAGTCCCAAATCATCTTCTCCATTTGAGCACTCAACCCCCACCCCATCCCCCAGTCTGTAAACTATAGGTTTAAAAGAAAAAGATAATTTCAAGAGGATGTTAGTATTAAAACTATGATAAACCCATTCTAAATCATTTAAGTATATTGGTTTTTCTTGCCATCCTTCAAATTAGATTTTTAGAGGTAGAAATAAATACTAATTTGAAGTTGAGTTACTTATACTTTAAAACAGTATTATATGATGGAGTAATGGTCCAAATTGTGGAGTATTTGTTGGCCATGTAATTCCAACATTGAGCCACTTAGGGACTGTTGGACTCAAGCCATGAGCAGAGCTCTAAAGAACCTGTACATGCTGGGCGTGGTGGCACACACCTTTAATCCCAGCACTCGGGAGGCAGAGCCAGGTGGATCTCTGTGAGTTCCAGGCCAGCCTGGTCTACAGAGTGAGATCCAGGACAAGCACCAAAGCTGCACAGAGAAACCCTGTCTTGAAAAACAAACAAAACAAACAAACAAACAAACAAACAAAAAAAGAACCTGTACACAAAACAATCAATACATTAAACTAAAAGAATATAGGCTGATTTGGAGGAGGCTAGACTACTCACATTTCTTTGTATTTGAGTACAGTATGAAATACAGAGTGAAATAGTTTTGCATTTCTGATCTGAATAGTAATGAATTGGGATGCCAATTCAGGGCCAATTGCACTAATGACTACAAAGCCACCTTTTTGTTCGACATGATTTGTAGATGTATCCAACCTTCTTATTAAATAATAAACACGGAACCAATGCAAAGAAGAAAGCCAAGAGGTCAGAGCTAAGAGCTAAAACCTTACCCTTCCTCCTGTGGTGGTCCTACCTCTCCGAACCAGAGCTACCCCTGTGTTAAAGTCTTTATATAGAGTTCCTGTCCTGCCTTCTCATTGGTTGTAAACCCAACCACATGACCGCCTCCTCACAGCCTGTCTGTATAGGCCTCCAGGTTTTCCATGATTGGTATTAAGATTAAAGGCATGTGTATCCAATAATGGCTGTATCCCTGAACACACAGAGACTTACCCAGCTCTGCCTACAAAGTGCTGGAATTACAAGCGTACTCTACCACTGCCCTGCTTTCCTATGGCTTGCTAATAGCTCTGACCCCCGGGCAACTTTATTTATTAACATACAAATAATATTTTAATACAAATAAAATATCACCATATTTCCCCTTTTCTATTTTAATAAAAAGGAAAAAAAAGAAAAAGCTTATAACTAATATAAGAAAAACTATATACAAAAGGACAATAACTATATACAATATATACAAGTAATAAATACCTAAACAATGTCTAGTCCATTTGTATTTGACAAATTCAGAGAAAATAATTTCATTATCTATCCTATTTTGGTAAGTCCAAAATGTATCCTAATTAATCTTCAACTATAACTAACTAACCTTCAACTATAA